TTTACACTGCCCTGGGTGCTGGTGCTGCCCCTCTCCACCATCAGAACCAGAGGCCTGCAGGAGCAGCCGGCCCAGTTTGGCCACCTTGGCCCTATCTTGGCCCTGGGGCACCCTGCAGCCTCCAGAGTGTGCAGGTGTGGTGGGGGGCCCTGAGCTTGCTCCAAAGACTTTATTTTTCAGCACGAGGGATGGAATCCAGAGCTTGCTCAACAAGCTACATCCTCAGGACTTCTTTTATGTTCTGTTTTGAGACAGGGTCTCAATAAGCTCTCAAATTGCCCAGCCTGGACTAGAACATGCAATCTTCTTGCCTCAGCCTTCCAAAACGCTGTACTCCCAGGTGAGTGCCATCATGCCTGGAGCAGCTGCCCTATTTCTATGAGTGCCTCACAAAACTGAGTTCTGGAAAGGAGCAACACCTGAGTCTGGAGGTGGTGAGCAGCTTCCTTTTACACCAGGGGTTCTGGCCAGCATTGCCACCCCCCACCAAAACAAAACCAGGAGCCACACGCAAGCAGCATTTTGCAAGAGTGCAGACGGGGACAGAACAGCCAGCAGCGCTGTGGTCAGCCAGCAGGGCCAGCTCACCGATTACAGCTGGATTAGTGGGCACGGAGCCTGTTATCATCAGATGTCAATGTGTTCCCTATGCTCTGGCGCTTACAGGGGTCAAGGAACTGTGAAGCAGTTACAGAGCTAGGCAGCTTCAAAAAACACAAAGTTTTAAAAAGGACAATTCTGGTACAGTTTTTCTCTTTTACAGGGACCAACTACCCTGGCCCTCCTCCAGGTGACCTTGAATATCCCCTGGTTTTTTATGTTTTTGTTGTTGTCTTTTTGAGATAGTGTCTTGCTATGTAGCCTCAAACTCACAGTGATTCTCTTGCCTCAGCCTCTCAAGTGCTGGGATTAGAGATGGCGTGCACCATCATATCCAGTTTTTGGTTTGCTTTTCTATGACTATATCTCAAATTGAGAGTGAATTCTGAGGAACAGTGGAGGCCAGGAATGGGGACACTGACTGAGAGGGAGATAGCTCGGATTGGCAGGAGAGCCTGGCTGGTCACCTCAAGCCCCACGGTACCTATCGAGGGCCAGGTGAGGTGCAGCTGTGCTCAGCCTTGAGACTCCAGGGGAGCACCAGTCGACAGGGGCAGGTTGTGGAGCAGCCAGAATCTCATTTTGGAAGGGATGAGTCAGGAGGTCCCAGTCACACAATGGTGTGACTGATGTCTCTCCGAACTGCACTGGGCCATGTGTCACCCCTGACCCTTGGGGAGTGAGCGATCCTGGTGCTTCTGTCTTGTCCCGAGGCCTGGGCCCCAGCAATGCCACAGCAGGCACTGTATTCCCATCCCCTGCAGGACTCCCTGGAGGGCCCCACTACCTATGACATCTCCACATAATTCAGCTGTCTGTATACACCAGGGTGGGCAATTCAGTGACTCTTCTGCCTCCTAAAGCTTGTTTATTAGCCATTATCTCAAACCTCAAAGCTCCCCTGGAGTGAGTCTCTGCAGGCCTAGGTGCTGACCCACTGATCTGAGACTGGTTTATTAGAGTGTTAATGATATGCTTGTCCTCGATGAACATTTTCACCTATTAGACCTGAGAAGCACAGGAGCCCAGTGAATCAGCTCAGCAGGACACAGTCCTTTTTCCCCAACACCTTGTCCCCCAGGAAGCAGCGAGACTGGTGAACGGTGAACCTGTGCAGCCTCACCGGGCACCCACAGCAGGAGCCAGGCAGAGTAGGGCTAAGCCTCCTCTTGCCCTGAAAGACAGCCCCGAGCCCTTGAGAACTCCTGAGCCTGGCCCGCACTGCACCCTCTCCTGAGGCCTGCTCTGTTCTCTCTGAGCTTGTGATTTCAACTCTGCCCAGTAAGCCTGTTTGTGTGGGGCTGAACACTGGTCAGTCTTGTGCTCTGAGAGGCTGAGGCAGGAAGATGGCAGGTTTGAGCCCAGCCTGGGCAACCTAATAACTTAGGAAGACCACATCCCAGAATGACAACCCAAAAAGGTTGGGGATATAGTTCAGTGTGAAGATCCTGGGTTCCATCTCTAGTGCCTCAAAGAGAAAATGACAACCCTCTTTTCCAGGTTCTGAGCTGGGCATGGTGGCACATAACTATAATCCCAGCACTTGAGAGGCTGAAGCAGGAGGATCACAGAGAGTCTGAGGCCATCCTGGACCAAACCCAGCCTGAACTACACAGTGAGACCCTGTCTCAAAAAAAAAACAAGAGTCACTGTGGTACCTGGGTCCCCTCCTGGGTGGCATTCCTCTCCAGGGGAGGGGACCCACATGCCCTGGTTTTTGTAGCAGGCTCCACTCCACACCCAGGCAGGGGCCTAGCACAGGGCTCACCCAGCATCAGGCCCAGCCTGTCACTGCCCAGCTGCTCACAAACACCAGAAACAGCTTCCACGGTAGTCCAGGCAGTGACCAGGCCACCACAAAAACAGCCCTTGACTGTCTCACCCGATGGTGGCAGCTGTCAGGCCTATTTCCCACAGAAAGTTCTGCTCCAAAGGGCCAGGCCAAAAGGACACATGTCCCTGACCCCTGACCCTCTGCACCCTCTCCCCTGGGTACCCCTATCCATCCTACTGCTCACAGCAGGCTGCCCGCATATCCGGTGAGCACCTGCTGGCACCCAAACCTATCACTGCCACCAAAAGGGTTCAGGGAGTTTCTAGATAGAGACCAAGTTCCCCTGGGGTGAGGGCAGCGGGTAAGGTGGGGGTGGGGATGGAGACCACTCCGAGGCAGCTCTGAGCAGGATTTAAAATTAACTAATTGGGGGCTGGGGATTTAGCTCAGTGGCATAAGCGCCTGCCTTGCAAGTGTGCGGTTGTGAGTTCGATTCCTGGTACCGATAAAAACGAAAAAGACAAAATAAAAATAATGAAATAAAATAAAATTAACTAACTGGCTTCTCATGTTTATCTGTGAGTGTCCCAGGTTGAGGCCCCCTGACTGGAGATGGGCAGCGGACTCACAGTGAGTGGACCTCTGAATCACGGGGCCTGTCTGAGGCCTGTAGTGGCCCACAATGCCAGGGACACCTCCAAGGACTGGACAAGGCCACAGCTGAGGATCCCTGGCTCCAACCCCAATTAACTAGATAGGGACTGTGACTGCAGGTCTCCTTCCTGCAGTAACTGTCAGCCTGGAGAGGAGACAGTCCTCCTATTAGCATAACTGACTACTTGGGGCTGTGTTTGACCCGACTTCCAAGGTCCTGCTCAGTCCCTATGCTTTCTTCAGTATCCCCTCCCTTTGTAAATACTGGGCACTGTTATAACTTGGGCCCCGGTATAAAATCCAAGGAGGCAAGAGACCGAAAATTTAAGTGGCAAAGGCTTTATTTCCAGGCCTGGCGACCAGTCTCCAGGAGCCAATTTGGAGACTGTCCCCCAGAGACTGAAGGGAGGACTTTAAAAAGAGGCTGGAGGAAAAGGGTGGGGGGAGACAAAGAAACCTGCAGAGCCATCAAACTTGTTGACCCAAGTCTGGAAACTGTATTGCTGTCCACTTAGCTCTGACAATCTCGGGAGTTTCTGGTGTTTCTCAAATTACTCCCATCCTACAGACTGACATTATCTCGGAGTGGCACATCTGCAGCAATATTTGGGGAAGAAAGTGGACAGTTAATTATCCCAGGACAGCTCGTTTTCTCTAGTGGGTACAAAGGGGTCAAGAGTTACAAGAAGCTGAAACTTAAGTTTTACAAAGATCTGATATCTAACTCATTTGATGCATACAGAACAAAAGGAAAGCACCGATTGGGGTTTGGGCCATAGTATTTCCCGGTAATTTCTTTGAAGCTAAACAGTTCTTAAAATTGGGGTGGGCTCATTTTATGACAGATCATCACCGGGTCGGGAAGAGGTCACCAGAAACCCAAATTCTTTATGGCTTAGATAAATAGGTGAGGGGAGAGGGAGGTAATAAGGCGCCATACAGAACAGAAAACCGCGGTTATGTGTCAAGGTCAGGGTAAAGGGTTAAACTCAAACGCAAATCTCTCTGCACACAAGCAGGTTACTTTAAACAACTGTAAATTAATGAGCCATTCTAGTTTTCGTTAGCTCTTTAGCGGAGAATAGAGGCACCTAACAGTGATTAACAACCCTTGTTAGCTTGTTTTAGCACAACTTCTGTAGTTTGTAGAGGGCAACAATGGTTAACATACCAATTAGGTGAGATTCTTGCAATTCTTTACAGAGGAGAGTGTTGCTCAACATATCAATTTAGGTCACTTAACATATCAGTTAGGGAAAAAGGATAAAAAAACACATTTAGTAAGCCACTTTACAGGTTTGCTATAATACACATATAACCAAGCTATTTTCTTAGAGTAGGACAGGCACCAGAGAATATAGAATTCTGCTGGAGGGCTTTGAGCCTCCTGGAGCTCTAACATCACTTGTCTTTTGTTTAAGCCTTGGCCGTCCACTCGTTAGGAAGTGGCCCTGATAAGTCCACACCATGGGAGCGTTGGTCGGCTTGGCCCGGCTTCTGTAGCTGCCCTCTTGCACACACCCTCCGCGGCTCCCTAGGCCTCTGGGCTGGTGCAGCGTGGTGTTGAGTCTCTCTGAAGGCTCCTGAGCGCAAAGTCCAGGTCTTGGGTCCCCCCCACCCCCAGCTCCGCAGCCTGAGTCCCAGGCTGGGAGCTGGACCTACGATGCTGGCTGGCCTCTCCTTCGTGGGTGGAAATGAAGCGAGCGCCAGGGGAGTTCAGGACGGAGGCGGGGGTGTGGCCAGCCCCAGTCTCTCCCTTGGCGCTATCTGGCCTACTCCTGGCACGCAGCATCCCGAGGCAGAGCCAGAGAACAGGAATGCAGCGCGCAGCTCCCACTAGGAACCCGAAACTGAAAGTCTAACCTCAAAAAAAAAAAAAAAAAAAAGAAAGTCTAACCTCGCCGGGCGGGGGCTGCTGAAGGCAGTTCTGCAACTTGCAATTGGCCAGGAAGCCACCTATGCTAATGAGAGGCGGCCTACTACTGGCCGGAAAGCCCCCTATGCTAATACAGGCGCCTAGAATTGCCGGGAAGTCCCCCAGGCTGAGGAGGTGCGGTCCCCAGCGCAGAGTGTCTCTTCGCGCGGTCAGTTGCCGTTCCATCCGATCCTTCTGCCTCCCTCTTTTTACTCCTTCTCTCCGCTGCTCATGGACGACAAGTGGAATGGCAAGGACCGCAGGCACATCAAGCTGCTGTTCGCGCTCGGGTGTTTGGTGCTCCTGCTGGTGGCGACAGCAGTAGCCCTGATGCACTTTTTAGTGCAAGTCCACAGCGAAGCCTGCCAAAGTGGCCTCCGGGCGGAGGAAAAGTGCCGCAACGTCACCAATCACCTGCGCAGCCAGCTGAGCATGGCCTGGCAGGTCTGGCGAGAGGACCAGACCACCTGCAACAGGACAATGGTGAGCCGGGAAACTCCTGCAGGGAGCGCAGAGCAGGAGGGCGGGAAACCCTCCCCGGAAACCGCTGAGGCACCTGGGGGAAGATAGGGTGGCCTGGAAACTGTTCCTGATCTCCTACATCACAAGGGCCTGGTGCATATGCCTGAGTTTGGGGACATCTGAATTCTCTCTGGGTCTCTGATGTGGGCATTGCAGGCAACATAGGCATCAGGGGCGTCAGTAATCCCTCAGGGACTTGGAGGGAGCTCTGAACTCCCTCAGGGCACTGGTGTGGGGAAACTGGAAACCCTCAATAGACATCCGACAGGGCCCAGATACCCAGAGTGGGTGGGGACCTTTCTGGCAAGCACTAGCTCAATCTTGCAGAATCACACAGAGAATCTGGAAATTTCTATGCAGTTTGGGGGAAGACCTGCAGATGCTCATATGGGGGGCCTTCAAACCCCACTGCAAGGGTCACAGGCCTATTGGCAGCTCCGGTGGGCCAAGCCTGTGGGGCTGGAAATCGAGGCGCAGAGAAGAGGGTAGGAGGGGACCTCGCAGAGGGCTTGGCTTGCAGCGCCTCTGAGGACAGACCCTGCGGCGGGCCATCGGGCCCAGGACAGCAGTCAGCACCCGTCCACCAGGGCCAGAACTGCTTGGGGATTTTGTTTTTGGTTTGTCTGCTTTTTGAGACAGGGTTTTGCTTTGTAGTCCAGACTATCCTTGAACCCTCTATATAGTCTAGACTGACTGGAACTCGTGGCAATCCTCCTGCCTCAGTCTTCGGACCACTGGGAGGATTTACATGTGTCATCACCACGCACGGCTCAGAACCTGCTTTTGATCCTTGGCTCTGTCACAGGAAAAACTGAATGCGACCCTGACCAACACGAAAACTCAAGTGCAGAAGCAGCAGGAACAAATGCAGGACCTGAGGGGTGAGAAGGGCAAAATGTGGGGCTTGCGCAAGGGGTGGGGGTGGGGCTGACGGGGCTTGCGGCCACCGGCCGGGTGGGCGGGACCACGTGGGAGGGCATGGTCTCCGGGCGAGGGGCAGGGCCACGTGTTGAGAGACCCGGCGCTGTAACCTAGATGAAATCACGGATTTAAAGCGGAAGCTGCAAGAGTCTCAGGAGAGGGAGCAGCACCTCAGGTCAGAGATCCCAGTCCAAGTCAGACCACACCCCTCACCCAGCACCTCTTCCCTGAGCCCAGGACCCCCCCCCCCAGCCTGCAACATCCGTGCCGCCTGGGTGTAAAGGCGAGTCCCAGGGAGGGCAGCGTGTCCGCCGTGGAGGGGAGCAGAAGGCCGGCCCGGCCGGCAGCTGCCTGATTGCCTCATCTGCACCCCAGGAATGAGCTCAATGCCGCCCGCCAAATGGGTCCCAAAAACTCGGCCCGCCCCTTGGCCATCTCCATCGGCCTGGTGCTGGCGATGCTTCTGCTGCTGAGCCTGGCTGCGCTGCGGTCCTGAGGTCTGTGGAGCACGCCAGTGAGGAGAGGGCGGCCCGGGGAGGGTGGCTGGGGTCGGGCCCCCAGGCGTCTGATTTGCACCCTGCAGGGAAAAGCCCGCCCTCACTAGCGCGGGAGGGGCGTGGCCAGGCCTTGGTGGGCGGATTCCGGGTGGGAGGGGCGGGTCCTTGGTTGGAGGGGAAAGAGGGGGCGGGACCTGGGCGGGGAGGGAGGGGCCTGGGTGGGAGGGGAGGGGCGGGGATTGGGCGGGGCCCCCCTCTGCTGAGTCTTCATCTGTTTTACAAATTTTTTTTTTTGTCTTTTTCCTTTTTATCGGTACCAGAGATCGAACTCACGACTGCCTGCTTGCAAGGCAGGCCCTTATGCCGCTGAGCTAAATCCCCAGTCCTGTTTTACAAATTTTTAAAAATGTCTCTCGCTTTCTTTTTTTTTCTTATTAGTACATTTTAAATATACATAGTGATAACATTCATCGTAGCGAAGTTGTAGGTGCTCTGTCTTTTCCCAGTCCCTTCCTTTCAACACCTCTTCCCCTCATTTACAAGTTTTGTTTCCATTTTCTTCTATTTTTTCTTGTCACTTCCTTTTTTCCTCCCTCCTCCTGTTCTTGTTTTCCTTCCTATTTGAACATTTTTTCCTATTTCTCAGTATCTGTTATACATTTTTGCTTGTTTTTTTTGTTTTGTTTTGTTTTGTTTTGTTTTGTTTTTGGTACCAGGGATCACACTCACAACCTCGTGCTTGCCAGGCAGGCGCTGTGCCGCTGAGCTATAACTCCAGCTGTCTATTACGCATTTGAATCTGGTTTACACTTGCTCCCACTAGCAAAGGATGCAGTACTTACACATGTGTGTCTGATTTGTTTCACTGAAGAGTGTGATCTCAGGTTGCATCCATTCACCTAGAAATGTCTCTAGCTTAACCTTTAGGGCTGAGTAGTACTCCACTGTATGAAATCACATTTTTCCTAATCCATTTTAGGCTGCAGTGTGCGCCAATCTGGTTCCAGCTCTTTTGGCTTCGAAGTCCCCTGACCGACAGTTCTGCAGGATGAACGGGCAGCATGGTTTGGGTTTGGAGGGAAGGGGCAGTCTGGGGCTGGGTATGGTGGAGAGGAACTGGGCTATGTCTCCAGATGGAAAACCCTTCTATGGGGTGGGATGAGGGCACCTGCTTCTGCTTCTCACTGTCAAGGCTGAGGGGTCCCTTTCTTCTAGGGCCTTTCTGTTCCAAAAAAATAAACACGGTTTCTAGAGAAAAGAAGTTGCTCTCAGGTTCCCAGAGCGTCGCTGCCCCCCACTGGACTTCAGGGGTAGCCCCTGTGGGTGAGGCTGGGGACCCTGCTGCACCTACACCTTGAAGTCCTACCACCCAGCTACCCTCCAAAGCAAGCTCAGAACCTGGCAGGGCCCAAAGAACACACATTGTGTTCCTGCCCTCTCCCTGGTCCTAGTGGGGAAACTGAGGCTGGGGGGTAACTGTCCTGCTTTTCCCTGCCTGCTGCAGGAAGCACTGGGTTTGGGTTTAAACCACCACCCATAGGCGCATTTAGGCCTAGCCTCTGTCAAAATGTCTCTATTCCTCAAGCTCTTATTCATACTGCAGCAACCCACACTGGGACCCCCTCTTCAGAAAAGTCTTCAAGGGGCTGGGGATTTAGCTCAGCGGCATAAGCGCCTGCCTTGCAAGTACGTGGTCTTGAGTTTGATCCCTGGTACCGGTAAAAAAAAAAAAAAAAATCAGAAAAGTCTTCAAAAGTAACAGGTACAGTCCCCATGGATGGAAAGACCACCCTTCATCCAGGCTGTGCAGTCTATTCCTGCCCCAAATTTTTCTTCCTCCAAGTTCTCCTGAACCTGCAATTTCCTGCCCGTGAGAATGCAGCCTGGAGTCTTAGGTCCCAGATTTCTGCTGTGTCCTCAGTTCCCACAATGCCCAATGGTCACTGCAAGAGGGCGCCAAATCCACCCTGCTGCTGCCCAACCCAGCAGGGGACATTTGGGCTGGGTAGGTGTGTGGCACCACACCAGGCAGGGGAGGTGTGTAGCTGTCCCCTGGCTGCCGCCTCAGAGTGTAAAGGAAATTTTAAAACTTAGTCTGCCACTCTGTTCAAGGGCAGGAAAGGCAGGTCGGGCCCATTTCCATACTTACAGCATGGCAAAACTCACGCCTGCATCAGCTTGTGAGATAAGCATGACACCAACAAAGGCCCGGCTCTGTCCTCCAGCCCGAGGTTCCCAGGAGTCAGCTTGGCTCAGTTTGAGTGATTGAGTCTTCCTGTTCACCCTGGCCCTGACCTTCCTGCGATAGGATGGAAACCCCCCAACTCACTTTCCTGAAATAAATCTGCCTATCTACGGATGACAAGACAATATGTAGCTAACTATAGAATATCCTGTTATTAGCCTTCTTGAATTTTCTGCTAACCACCTGTATAAATGTCTGTTTAACCCCAAGACAGGGCTGGCGATTTGGAACTGATTTCCACCAGCCTGCTGGTGACAATAATGCTGTTTGCCTTCCAAGTGCCTCCTCTGGATCTGCTGTGTGTCTTCCATCTGGCTTCATCCTATTTATTTTTGTTTAGTTTTGTTTTTTTTTTTTTTGAGACAGGGTCTCACCATGCAAGTTCAGGCTGGCTTTGAGCTCCTTTTGTAGCCCAGGCTGGTTTTAAAGTTGCAGCAATCCTCCTGCCTCAGCCTCCAGAGTGCTGGGATGACAGGTGTGGCAGCACGCCTGGCTTCCTCTTCTGAAACAGGGTACTGGTGTGGAGGGCCCTTGCCTGGGGAGCTGCCCACCTGGGGTTTGCATCCCATAACCTGGAGCAAGGGAAGTCTATTTGGAGTGACCATCTCATTGATGGTGGTGTGATGCCTGTCATCGGAGGTGAGGCCCGGTGCCAGGAGTATGAGCAGGGTAAGACCCACCCCTGGACAGGAAGGAGGACCCATGGCTGGGAAACCGAGTCTGACCATAATTATAACGTCCTGCTTGGAGCCCAACGCCTACCCCACTAGACACCTGTACTGTACCCCACTCCAGGCAGCAACAGGAGAAAACAGAGTGGGGGTCCTCTGTCATCTAGCACTGGAAGGTTGAGGCAGTAGGGTCATCAGTTCCAGCCCAGCCCGGACAGCTTAGAGACTTAGAGATCCTAGGTCAAAAGTTTAAAAATCACCTAGAAGGCTGAGAATGCAGCTCTGTGCAAAGGCCCTGGGTTCCACCCCTGCATCAGATAGCGTTGCAAAAACGCCATCCTCTGTGTCCCTGGGGTGCACCCTCTTCAGGACACTCGACCTCAAGCCTCTGTCCTCCGGTGCGGGGGAGTGGGACGGTGCGGGGGAGTGGGACCGGCCCAGTGATGAGCTCCTGGGGACCTGCAGGTGACAGCACCTCCCCCGCACCGGTTCCAGGCAGGTAAGGAAATCGGGTCTGGCCAGGGGATCCGACAGGTCATTTCTGCCAGGCAACCCCCCCAACCGCCTGAAGCGAGTTTCTGTGCAGGAAGCAATCCCCACTCAGATCTCGCTCCTTCTCCCCACTACACCTCCACCCGGCCCAATTCGAGCCCTGTGAGGTCCCCGGGAGGCCCTGTCGCTATGCCCCACCCCCACGGTACCGTGCTGGTGAACAGTGATCTGACAATGTGACCTGTTCGCCCCCATCCTTGGAAAGGGGAACTTTCTTTTCTTTTCTTTTTTGTCTTTTTCGTTTTTATCGGTATCAGGGATCGAACTCACGACTGCCTGCTTGCAAGGCAGGCACTTATGCCGCTGAGCTAAATCCCCAGCCCAAGAACTTTCTGCATTCAGCTTTTCTCCTGACAACCTCCTTCTTCCCGGGGCTCAGGCCCCAAACTGTGTCCCACCCCTGGGTGAGAAGACCTCGGGAGGCTGAGGCAGGAGGATTATCTCACACTGCCTCAGCCTTGGCACACGGTGAACAGGTGCTCACCTAGTGTGCTGGGTAGGCAGTGGGCTGTCGGAAAGGTAAGGTGACAGGAAAGGGTGGGGCTGGGCTAGGGAGGAGACTAAGCCTTGAGGATTCAGCAGCCTGGGAAAGAGGGAGGAGATGGCTCAGATGGAGTGGGCTCCGTGTAAAGGGCCTGGGGCAGGAAGACTGGGGTGGGAGGGAAGAGAAGGGAAAGAAAGGAAGTCAAGGTGGATGGGTCCAGCTGCAGAGACAGCGGGGAGGGGGACTGAGAGGGGATGGAGGGGCAAGGAGCCTGCAGTTGTCCACTGGGTGATGTGCTCACCCTGGTCGCCAGGCTGACTGTAGAGAGAGTCCTTGGTCCCCGCAGCACCTTCGCAGCCCCACGCTCCAGGTCTCGGCCTCAGTGTCCCCGTGCCCAGGGTGGAGACAGGTTACACAGACCCCCGTGGATCCCCTTGGGAGCACTGTGCGTCGGTGCTGTGACTGTGTTCCAGGATTCAGCAGGGCGCAGAGGCCCAGCGGCTCCTGAGTCCGGAGCGCCCCTCCCGCTCAGGGCTAGCGCGGGGCGGAGCGGGCGGCCGGGCCGGCGTGGTGTCGCCGCGCCCCAGGTGCCACTGGTGGCCGCGCAGCGTCGTTGCGCGCATGGCTGGGCCTGGGCCGGAGCCGGGACGCGCGTGGCGGGCGCTCGCGCTGTGCGGGGCCGCCCTGTTCTTGGCAGCGGCAGCGGCGGGCGGGGCCCTGGTGGCCTGGAACCTGGCGGCCTCAACGGCCCGGCGCCCAAGCTGTCCTGACCCGGAGGCCAACGCCACTTCGCCGACCAGGGACCCGATACTGGATCTTGAAGAATTTCGGCGCCGGCTGGCTGACGCTGCGCAGCGCGAGGAGACTTTGATGGGGAGGCTGAGGCAGGCAGAGCGCGTCCGAGAGGAGCTGGAGCAGGCGCTGAAGGATTTCGAGGGGCGCCAGGTAGGCGAGAAGGTGGGGAGTCGGGAGGTCTATAGTGCGGCGGTGGGGGGTGCATACGTGTTCCTAAGTTCCCTTGCCTGTGCCTCAGTTTCCCCAAGTCTTTTATGATCCTTGCAATTCCTGGACTCCACCTTGTGATTAAAAAAGGCTTCACTTCGCTATTTGCTCTATAAACAGTGGCCGGGCTGAGCAGGCTCGCACATGCCTGTAATCTGAGCGCTTGGGAAGCTGAGACAGGAGGGTCTTCGAGAGTTCCAGGCCAGCCTGAACTGCAGAGAGACCTCTTCTTAAACAAACAAATAAACAAAGAATAAAATAAACGGCGGCTGGGGACACCCCAGGACCCGCCAGGGAAGGGGCTGTGCTGACTCAATGCCCACTCGAGTCCCAAGTCCGTTCCTGGCCGTACTATTTTGGGAGAGGAACACTTGTGTCACCTGTAATTAGGAGACTAAAACTGGCCTCTTGTGGAGATACCGCCGGCGCGCCCTTCGAGGCGGACTCCGTAATAACCCTCCCCAGCCCACAGCGTCATTGACCAACCATCCTCAAACCCAGTAGCTTGCATTTATTGAGTGACTGTGGAGTAGCCTGGGCCGGGGATGCAGCCCACACTTCGCCGGGCCCTGGATTCCACCCCAGGCCCTGCAATCAATAAGAAAATAAAGAAAACCCAAGCCTGGCCCACGCCCGTCATCCCAGCACTCAGGCAGGCTGAGGCAGGATCGCGTGTTCCAGCTCAACCTGACAACTTAGCCATTTAGCGAGACCCCGTCTCAAAATGACAACTAAAGAAGGATTTGGGGTGCAGTTCAGCGAGGTGGCCCAAGCTGCTGTTCCCGGGGAGAACCAGACCGCGCCCTTTTCTGCTGATCCAAGCAAGGGCCTGGGAGCGGCCGGGGTGTCATCGTCCCTGGGAGGGCGGCCCGGGTCACATCCTCCCGCCCACAGAGCAGGATGCAGACAGAGATGAAGGCGCTGGAGACTGAGACGCGCGAGGCCAGAGCACGGGAGACCCGGCTGGGGCTGGAGAACCAGGCGCTGACAGGTGCATTGGGGGCGGGGCCGGGCCTAGCCGGCGGGAGGGGCCCAGGATCCCAGACCCGGAACGGGGGACCGCGCACCACCGCCCCTGGAAGTGCGCGCGCGAGACTCCAGCGCCCCCTGAGACTCCAGCGCCCCCTGCCGAGGCGCGAGATGGTGCAGAGCCGCGCAAACCGCGGATTAGCTTCGCCTGGGACAGGTGTGCGGGGGAGGGGGGTGCGGGCTCGGGCGCGCGGCTCCCCGCTCCCTGCCCCGCCCGCAGACTCTGCTGCTGCGCCCACCGACCTCACCCCTGCGCCCCCTGCGACTCTGAGCCCCCAACCCCGCTCCTGCGCCAGCAGAGGCTCTTGCGAGCTGGGAGGCGGCGGCTGCGGAGGCCTCGCGGCAGCGGGAGAAAGCACAACAGCATGCAGGCGCGGCCGAGGCGGAGCGCGAAGCCTGCGGGGCCCGGGAGGCGGTGCTACGGGAGCGCGTGTGAGTAAGAGGCGGGCCCGCGGGGGACGGTCAAACCGGATGCAGAGCCAATAACTGCAGCGTCTCGTTCGTTCGGCCAATCAGCGCTTCGGGTGTGGTTTAGGCGGGCTGGAAGAGATGCGGGAGTGGGCGGGGCTTTGGGACACTTCCCTAGGGACAGGGAGTAGAAGAGGGGTGGGTGATGGTGGGGGTTTCTCTGGGAGCGAAGGCCACCCCCGCCGTTGGAGCTGGCAGTCTGAAGGCTGGGATCTACAGCAAATTGGGGCTGGGTGTTGGGGCGCACGCCTGGAATCAAGGCACTCGGGATGCTGAGGCAGAAGGATCGCCACACTTCCAGGCCTTAGTGAGACGTTGTTTCAAAAGAAAAGAGAGAGAGCAAATTGGAGGTCAGTGCCCCGGTAGATAACGGGGCACGGAAGGGCACAGATAAAATAGAGTCGCGCCGACATAAGAGTAGGTGGTTTGGGGGCCTGGGGGGGGCGGAGCAGGGGCTCCCAAGGGCTGTTCTGTCGGGCGCCGGTGGGGCCTGGCGTGGCCCCTGCAGACGCCCTCTGCCCGCAGCTCCGCCTTGGAGGCCGCGCTAGGCCCCCAGCGCCGAGGACCCCGGCCACGCTCAGGGTCGCGACCCCAGCCGCGGACGCGCGTTCGGCCTGGGCCCTCCGGTGGCTGCCGGCGGCCGCCGCATCGCGTGCGAGACTGAGTTCCCGGAACGACGCGGAGCCAGCGGGACGACACCCACCAGCGCCCCGAAGGAAAACGGCGCGGGAAGAAGACTGTGCACTTGTCTCCAACACTCGCTCCTGGCCCCCAGACGGGGAATCTGAGACCCACGGAGTCCGCTGCGAGCTCAGGCCCGCGTGAGGCTGATCCTACAGAAAGCAATCAGCGCGATCAGGACCAAGAAACAAAGGTGCAAATAAAAGCTGGTGCGGGGGGAGGGGCAGTCATCGAGGGACTCAGGAGGCCGAGGCGGGAGGGTCGCATGGTACCAGACCCAACATGGGCAAAGCAAGGAGTGCCCCCCCCCCGTGCACTTTAACACACAGCCATGCTGGCCCCGCGCGCTGTCATGAGACCGCAGGAGATGGTGCCGGCAAGGCCTCTGGCGAGGGAATCGGGGCTCAGGGGTTGGGAGACGGCCCCACGGTCCTATGTGTCTTTTGTTTTTTGTATCTTTTTTATACAGCCTGTATTTTAAAAAATCATACACTTGCATTATTGCCTTTTTTGCATTATTGCCTTTTAAAAATAAATTTTTTAAAGCTTTAAAACTGCCTCGGGCTGGGCGTGGGTACCTCTGTAGCCTGTCCTGCCTGTTGTCCCCCACCCACTCGGGGCTTGGGGGTGCCTGGTCCTGGAGCTCACTTGCGGGAGGTCGGGATGGTCGCGGTGAGAAGGAGGGATGCAAGAATGAGCCAGGTGCAGGGGCGCTCACCTGTCGGGAGGCTGAGGCAGGAGGACCGCTGCAAGTTCGAGGCAGGCCCGGGCTGCATAGTGAAACCCTGTCTCAAACCAAACCAAAAAGAGGGAAGGAAGGAGAGAGAGAGAAGGGAGAAAAAGGGAGAAGGTGGAGGAGAGAGAGAGACTGAGAGAGAAAATAAGACATATAGAGGAAAGGACTGAGAAAGATGGGAGGGGGGGACCGGTTTGGGACAGGGTGCGTGAGTGCTGTCTCGCGCGTGGCCACCAGAGGCCGCCCCAGCCCGCAGATGCCGTGGCGCCTGGGCTTACTGAGGCGGAGTGGCACGGTCGCAGCCGCTGCTCTGCTGGGTCGTCGTGGGCTCATTGCGGGATCCCGGAGATCCAGTCTGAGACCCTGGCTCAGCCCAGGGAGGTACCCGGGTCACCAGGACTGCGGTGACCCAGATCAAGGGCTACCAGTGTGACCTGCCCCACCCACAGAGCAGCCCCGCAGGGCCTGCACCCTCCTGCCTCGACCTCCTTCTGTGACCACTCAGGTCTGTGTCCTCAGCTAGGTGAGCGCTCGGCATTCTCTCTCACACTCCAGTTTCCCTAGTGAGTCTCTGTCTCTACCTCTCTCTGTCTCTGTCTGTCTCTCCTTGTCTCTGTCTCAGTCTCTCCTTTTTGGCAGGGCAATTGGTGCTCAAACCTAGGGATGCCCTACCGCTGAGCTACACCCCCAGGCCCCCATTATTTCCCTAGGTCTTCATAAAGTTTCTGGGCAGGATTTAAATTCCAGATGCTCCTGTCTCAGCTTCCTGAAGCACTAGAATTGCAGAACGGGCCTCTTTTTTTGTTGCTGCTCTCTTCCCCTTCTTGTTTTTGTTGTTTTATTTTGTTTTTAGAGACAGGGTCTCACTAGATAGGCCAGATCTGCCTCAGCCTCAAGAGTGCTGGGATTTTACGCCGGGCTCTGAGGGTCCCTGCATCCATCTCTGCTGTCTCCTGCATACTCTCCCCATCTAAGTCGGCTGTTGGGGTCCCTCTAATACCAGCAACCATGACAGAAGGGGTGTGGAACCTCAGGGAGACACCACTCTGAGCTGGGTATGGTGTCCATGCCAGTCACCCCACCACCTCGGAGGCTGAGGCAGGAGGGTCAAAAGCCCCAGCACAGCCTGGGCAGCTTGGGGAATTCGGGAGACCTCTCTGAAAATGTAAAAAGGGCAGGGTGTAGCAGGCGTGTGAGTCCCTGGCTTGGTCCCAGCCCTGGAATAAATAAAGCCTTCTGGCCATTGGGACTTTAACTCTTCTCTCCTCTCCTCTCCTCTCCTCTCCTCTCCTCTCCTCTCCTCTCCTCCCCTCCCCTCACCTCACCTCTCCTCTCCTAGGGCCTTCAACAGTCACGTTCCAGCCAGTGACACCAGTCCACTTCCTCCAGCCAGCCTCCCTCCCTCTAGCCAAGCAAACAACTCACCCCAATTGATTGTTTTCCGCTTAGAAAAAACAGAGGGGGGGGGGGGGAGGCCAAGGGTGACCCGATGACCCTGGGGAAGAGCGGTTCCCTGGCAGAGCTTCCTGTGACCGTGACAAATGGCTCTCAGGAAAAAACCTGCGTTGGCCAGGCGCCGGCCTGTGATGGTGTGAGTGCCCGCGCCCTCTCGGATTCCCTGAGGGATGCAGTGGGGACGGCTCCAAGTCTGTTTGAGGGACCTGGACCCCGCTGGCCGGGCCATGAGTCATGCAATCACTGAAGCACACGTTGTCGACAGCCAGCAGGACATGTGAGGTGGCCGCCTTGAGGAAGAAGACCCTGGCCACTCAGCCACGCCCCAGCCCTTTAAAAACATTTTAAATATTTGAGACAGGGTCTCACTAAACTACTAAATTGCCCAGGCTGGGCTCTACTTTGCCACCCTCCTTGCCTCCTCAAACTCACAAAGATCCTCTTGCCTCAGCCTCGAGAGTGCTGGGATGACAGTCATGCGCCACCACTCCCGGTTCCTAGCTAAGTTTTTATTAATAGAAAAGTTACCAGCGGATCTGGCTGAGTTTGCTCCGAGCCTCGTCTCTGAGACGCCCTCCCTTCTCTGGCCTTTATCTGTGCTTTGTCAGTGTTCAGGATGAAGCTCAAGGCCTCCCACACTCAGGTGCGTGCTAGCCACTGTGCTGCTCCCACCCCAAGACGGGGGGGGGGGGGTTCCTTGTGCCTGCCATGCACCTTTGCTTCTGCTGTTTTGGAGGGGCGCCAGATAATTTCTAATTCTTTGTCCAATGAGGGAAGAAGATTGAAAATCACATCTGAGTCAGATGGAGTCACACAGGTCACCCCAGAAAGCAGACAGGAGGATTAAAGTGTGAGCTCTGTCTGGGCCACCCCGAAAAGCCCGGTCCCCAAACAGAGCTTGGGGGGTGACCAGACGGGCTGCCAGGCCTGGGGTCCTGGGAAGGGGTGAGGTCTTCCAAAGCCGTGGTGCCCCCGCCTCTACCCCTGCTCTGCACAGCATGACAGCCTCCTCCAGCCATCCAGGGGGTCCCGGGCACCATCCCCTCTGTCACCTTTACATCTGCAGGCACGCATGGGCACCTCCTGGAGGTTCAAGCACACATGGGCTGTCACACTTCCCGGAGGGGGCCTGGTTGCCCCACGGCAACCCTGCGTGGTCACAGCGCTCCTTCCAGTCCCCATCACTAAGGCGGCACGGGTGCCAGGCAAGGCCCAAGAGGTCTCAGTTTACCCTGTCCCCCCACAGTCACCACTGGCTAAGACCAAGCATGGCCCGGCCCTGACGGTGGCACTACACCACTCACAACAAGGGGTGACTAAACATGGGGTGAACAGTGCCTTTGAAAACCAATGACAGTGAGCCAGGCACTGAGGCACACTCCTGCAATCCCAGCACTCAAGAGGCTGAGACAGGTGTATCATCCGGAGTTCAAGAGCAGCCTGGCTACACAAATAATTCAAATCCACCCTGAACTACATAATGAGACCCTGTCTCAAAAAGCAAACAAACTCAGGCTGAGGATTTAGCTCAGTGGTATAAGCCTGCCTTGCAAGTGCGCAGTTGTGAGTTCGAGCCCTGGTACCAATTAAGAAAAAAAAAAAGCAAACAACAACAAAAAGCCTGCGGTGGTGATGCACTCCTGCAATGCCAGCACTCAGGAGGCTGAGGCAGGAGGGTTCTTGAAAGTTCAAGACCAGCCTGAACTGCATAGTGAGACCCTGTCTCAAAAAGAAAAAGAAAAAAAGGAAGTATTTTGGGGGGAACTCATGGCAATGGGGCTTTCAGTTATGAAATCTTGTAAAACTTGTCCACACACTGCATTTTTCAGTCACATTTCACGTTTTGTTTCCTCTTCACTTGAAACTGAGGCTGGGAGAGAGGAACTCGCTGGACTGGGGTCACACATTTGAGATGGCATCGGGCCTCACCTGTCACCCATCCCCATGGCCTCCCCTGGGCCCTGCCTGGCCAACCAGACTCTTGCCTGGTTGGGCTCCCGCCCCCAGCCCCAGCAGGAATCGCTGGTGGCTGCAGAGGCTGAAGGTCGAAGGGGCTTCCTGCCACCCTGGGAACTTCCTCCTTCCCCACCGGCAGGTGGTGGCGACACCCTGGCCCCCTCCTTGTGGCCACAGACCCCTGCCCACTGCCTGGTGGCAGGGACAACAGACCCCACACCCGCCCTGTCTCTGTATAGGGGTGGCTAGTGGCAAGGTCATCTCTCCCTGCCCAGCACCCCATGTCCGTCCCTCCTGCCAGCCCAGACCTTGCCAAGTTTCTCTGTGCCCCAAGACCAGCAGCAGCTGATGGCAGGGCCAGATTGAACCCTGTGGAGACCCTGGCACCCCAGTGTGGTGCTAGCACAGAAGACTCTAGAACATTCCCAAGGCCCCGGGGAGAGCACACCCAGAATCATTTGCTACTGGATCCCCAGGACTCCGACACCCCACCTCAGGCCACACTATTCCCTTGCCATGGCCACCTGAGGATGAGCCCCAGCCTGCAGTGACCCTAGGAGCCTGAGATGGGTGTGGGGACAGGCAGCCCCAGACAGTGCGGCTCACAGATGCAGAGTGCGGGAGGGATAATGGGCAAGCAGGCCTGGGGCACCCTGCTCAGAGTTCGACCACCTCATTTGGAGGGGAAACAGGCACATGCAGTGGATACCCCATCAGAGCTCCTCAGGGACCCTCTCCCCACTCCAAGGCCCCAAGCCCTTGCTCCAGAATGGCTTGCTCACTCCAGAACTGGGGACCAAACTCAGGCCCCCAATAGCATTGCATACCCCACCCTTCTTTTTTATTTTATTTGTTTGTTTTGTTTTGGGGATCGGGTATCACACTCACCGCAAGCTTGCCAGGTGGGTGCTGTGCGCTGAACTATATTCCCAGCCCTTCTATTTTATTTTAAAGCAGGGTCTCCTAATTTCCCTGCATGATCCTGTCTCAGTCTCCAGAGCCACGGGGTTCTGAGCATGCACCACCACTCGTGGGCTGAGCAAGTATTAAGCACCTACACGAGCGGGTGGAGTGGCACATGCACACGCAGCTGCCACGAGGCCCGGTGTGCCCACGGATTGCTCACCCCAAGTGATGCCCCAGCCATGCAGGCACGCATGTCACGAGCCCTGTGAGCCATCAGCCGAAGCTGCAGAGCCCGAGGACCATCCCTTACCCCATACTCCTTGGGTAACCGTCCCAAGAAGGTTAAATGAGATAAACCCTAAGAGCTGCGCAGGGTCGTCCACACCTGTCATCCCGGCACCAGGGGGTGACTGAGGCAGGAGGATCGCTGAGAGTGTGAGGCCACTGTGGGCTGCTACACAGAGATAGCTGGTATCAGAAACACGAAAAACAGCAAAGCAAAGGCAGAGCCGGGGGCCTCGTGGCAGGGACACGGAGCGGGGGAGCGTGCACCCTCGCAGGGTCAGGGGCCAGCAGCGGAGAGGGCAGCGGGTGGGGCGCAACCACCCGTTTCCTCTGGGCCAGGAAGGGCGGGGGTGGGGGGCGGCGCCCGCGGCTATAAAGGGACTGGCGGCCCTCTGGGCCAGACGGAGGGAGCCGCATCCATGGGTCTCGCCATGCAGCCGGGGGCGCCCTACACGCGCGCGGGCGGCTCAGCGCGCGGATGCTGGTACTACCTGAGCTACTTCTTCCTTTTCGTCTCGCTCATTCAGATGCTCATCATCCTGGGGCTGGTGCTCTTCATGGTCTACGGCAACGTGCACGAGGGGACCGAGGCCAACCTGCAGGATACCGAGCGCCGCGCCGCCGCGCTGCACGCACAGGTAGTGGGGCTGGCGGGCGCTCGGGCCAACCTCACACGCGACCTCAACCTCACGGCTCGCGCCAAGGACGCGATCATGCAGATGCTGCTGAGCACTCGCCGCGACCTGGACGGCCTCAACAACAGCTTCCGCCAGTGCCAGGCCGACCGGGTGAGCCCCTTGTCTGGCCGGGCCGCGGGTTTGCTTTGCTTGCTCAGGGCTTTCTGTCGCGAGGGCGGGGGCTCGCTATGCATCAGTGCTGGGATGACAGGTGTGCACCTCCATGCCCGGCCTGTGCTTTTTTTTTTTTTTTGTACCCGGGATCAAACTCACGACCTAGGGCTTACACTGAGCCAAATCCCCAACTTGGCTTGTTCTTTTTTTAATGAGTCTTTGTCTGTTTTCTGGTCCTATAACAAAATAAATGATCAGATAATTTCTAAGGATGGCTTTGGAGCTGGGTGTGGCAGTGCACACCAGTAATATCCTAGCACTTTGGAGGCTGTGGCAGGACGATTTCGGGACCGAGGCCAGCATGGGCTATGTAGAGAGACTTTGTCCAAAACAAAACAAAAAAAAAGGCATAAAAAAAAAAGGCATAAAAGTTTATCAGAACCAACCTGGACTATGTACAGTTTCCGGCCAGGCTGTCTATACAGTGAGGCCTTGCCTCAGAAAGGGAGACAGAAACCAGGTGTCGTGGCATACACCTGTAATCCCAGCACACAGAAGGCTGAGGCAGGAGGATCGCTGTGAGTTCGAGGCCAATCTGAACTATATTGCAAGACCCTGTCTAAGAAAAACAAAAAGAGAGACAGAGAGAAGACAGACAGAATGTAGAGGTTTCTTTGGCATTCAGCTCCGGGTGCTGAATCTGGGGAGCTTGGTTCCTAACAGGCCACTACCATACATACCCAGTGGGGACCAAGCTCCAGCCAGCCCCCCTGAGACACTGAGCCCCCAGCACTTTCACTTAGGCCCAGGCTGAATGGAGCATCCCAATGTAGAGGGGCAGCCAGGAGCAGCGAGCGGCAGGCAGGGCTGGCACAGAGGGCAGTGTCCAGGGACTCAGCCTTCCAGCCCTCACCAAGGGGGCCACACACAGTGAGCGTTTGCCTTGAGGGTAGGAGCCTCCGCCCTCCTTCCCCAGCACCTCAGAAAATAATCATAGTAGCCAGACTCTGGTGCACGCTTGTAATCCCAGTTACTTGGGAGGCTGAGGCAGGATGATCACAAGTTTCAAGTAATTTGTGACCCTGTCTCAAAAATTTTCGTAAAAAATAAAGGTTAGGGATTGGCCCAGTGGTCCTGGGTTCAGTTCCCAATGGTGCATGGGGACACACAGACACATTCACTGTGGCTCCTGACTTCTGCTCACCTCTGCTTCAGTCAGGATCTCCCCGGCTGGAGACCTGGGAAGAGGTCGCCTCTCAAGGGCCTCGGACTGTGTGATGTCTGAGACTTGGCACAGGGACCCAGTGGACACGCTGGCCCTTGCACCCTGTTCACACCCAACACTCCAGCAGCACCTTTGCTCTCCTGCCAGGCATGAGGGAAGGCGCCATCTGGGGGCCGCAGCCTCTGGCAGGGCACAGGCAGAGGAGCAGACGAGGCAGGGCAGGGAGGAACTACTCAGTGGCTCCAGGCTCAGAGTCCTTCAGACCCTACATCCTGGGGCCTAGGGCAGAAATTTGCCCCCTCTCTAGAGCAGGTGGGTTCCCCAGGCCAGCCTGCTACCCAGTGAGACCCCCCAACCCCTCAGACCCCAGAATGAAGAAGATCCCCAGAAGACCTGGGAGGCTGAGGCAGGAGGGTCACAAGCTTCAGCTCAGCCAGGGCCACTAAGTGACTTAGCTATTTTTAAGTTTGAAAACTCCAGAAATAACAAAAGAAAGAAAATTCTAGAATTGGGTCTGGGAGGTAGCTCAGTGCCAAGGCCCTGTTTACATCCAGGCTCAGAGGACTGAGTCCCACATACCCCCTTCAGGTCACAGAACCCCAGATTCCACCCTGGGAATCTACCTGTTTGGATTCCAGGATGCACTCAGGATCTGGTCCAGAATCATTAAGTCTCAGACTCACACACATGACCCAGAGTCCTGGAAACCCCCGGCGTCCGGCCTCAGGCCCGGGCGGGACCCACACCTGGCTTTGTTTTTAGGACAGGGTCTCACTAGATCAAGAAGTTGCCCAAGCTACTTGGGATCTTCCTGCCCCAGTCTCCTAAGCATCTTGGATCACAAGTGTATGTCACCATGCTTGGCTCAAATTATTATTATTAATTGTCTTTTTGAGACAGGGTCTCACAGTGCAATTCAGGCTGGCCTCAAATTCGCAATGATCCTCTGCCTCAACCTCCTGTGTGCTGGGAGGACAGGCATGCACCACCGTATCTGGTTTCAAATTTTAAAAAATTTATTTATTTATTTATTTATTTATTTATTTATTTATTTATTTTGAGGTTGGGTCTCATTATGCAGTTCAGGCTAGCCTTGAGCTCACTTTGTGGCCCATGCTGGCCTCAAATTAATGATCCTCCTGCCTCAACCTCCTGAGTGCTGGGATCACAGGCATGTACCACTATACCTGGCTCTAAATTTTTATTTTAAATGTATGTATTTTTATTTATTTATTGGTGCTGGGGGTGGAACCCAATACCTTGGGCCCACTGAGTGGGTGTTTTTGTCATGAGTTACATCCCTAGCCCTGATCCTGGAATTTTCAAACTTCAACATTTGAAAATCAAATATTTCAAGGAAAGAGACACTATAGTAACTACTGTTATGTTGGGTTATCTTGTTGTGAAGCACTAGGTTACTTAAATTGTTCTGTTCTGACCTGTGTTGTTATGTTATGTCCTCTTTTATCTTAATCTCCTTCTTTTTTAAATTTGTTTTTAATAAAACAAAAACAAAAGCATTTGAAAATCATAGCTGAGTGCCCCACTCTCTCCTTGCATTTTTCCTTTGGGCTGAGAAATCCCTCGGCCCCCACTTCCTGAGAGTCAGAGGGTTCTAGGGCCCCTTGGATCACCCTGCTCCCCCTTCGTGGGAGAACAACTTAGACAGCAGCCAGGTATCCCCAGCCCATCCTGGGTGGCATCAAGAAATAAAGGTGGGGCTGGGGATTTAGCTCAAGTGGCATAAGCGCCTGCCTGGCAAGTGCAAGGTCCTGAGTTTGATTCCCCCCCCCCAAAAAAAGTCAATAAATAAAGGTGAGCCAGGCATGGTGGCTCACGCCTGTAATCCCAGCACTCAGGAGGCTGAGGCAGGAGGATCACTGCAAATTCGAGACCATCCTAGGCTACAAAGTGAGCTCAAGGTCAGCCTGAACTGCACAGGGAGACCCCATCTCAAAAAAACAAAAAAAAAAAGAAAGAAAGTGATTTTGACTTAAATGTTATGACTCTAAAACAATATTTTGTATGTGTTCATTTTTCAGCACTGGGGAGAGAGCCCGGAGCCCTTGGACAGAGCTCCATCCCCTGTCCTTTTAATGTTTTGAGTCAGGGTCTCAGTGAGTTGCCCAGCCTGGGCTCAAACTTGTGGTCCTCCTGTCTCGGCCTCCCAGTGTGCTGGGATGACAGGAGTGTCCTTCGCACTCATTCTCGGGGACTCAGCCCAAGGAAGTTTTGAAAGAGGGGTAAGGGCTGCAGAGGGGCTGCTTCCCCTTCCTTCCCTGGCACCATTCATGGCCTGACTCGGAACCATCACGACCTTCTGTAAATCAGTGGCCCGGAAGCCCCACTGTATGCCCTCCAATCACCCTAAAGCAAGCCAATTTCACAACTTGGTGCCAGGACACACACAGAAGTGTGCATGCACCACCATATTCTGGGTCCCAAAGGAAACCCTGCCCCCACCAGCCGGCAGGACACACACACACACACACACACACACACACACACACACACCCGGCTCTGGCAACCTTGATCCAACTTCCTGTCCCTGTGGACTCACTTGTTCTGGCTGTTTCCTGTCCTGTGCCTGCCACTGTCAACCAGCGTCTTCATCTGCCTTGTGTGTGTGTGTGTGTGTGTGTGTGTGTGTGTGTGTGTGTGTGAGAGAGAGAGAGAGAGAGAGAGAGAGAGAGAGAGAGAGAGAGTGCGAGCGAGTCCCATTCCCTTTAATGGCTGAGTAACATTCCACAGTAGGGCTGGGCTGCATTGAGTTTTTCAATTTGCCTTCTGGGCATTTGGTTTGTTTCCAGCTTTTGGTCACTGTGTGTCTGTGTGTGGTGTAGCTGTGGACACTGGACTGCAGGTTTCGTGTGGATTTTATCATTTTGAACCATTCGAGGAGCTGCCAGAATCATTTTTTATTCCTTTGTATTTTTTTTTTGTCAGTACCGAGGATCAAACTCATGACCACCTGCTTGCAAGGCAGGAGCTTATGCCGATTAGCTAAATCCCCAGCCCCTATTCCTTTGTATTTTTGAGATTAGGTCTCGATATGTAGCCCAGGCTGGCCTAAATCCATTGGTAATCTGCCTGCCTCAGCCTCCTGAGTGTCAGGGTGACAGGTGTGCACTACCACGCCCGGTTGAAGCTGAAAGGTTTTTAATGCTGATGAAATGTGGCATTTCCAGTCTTCTTTCCTGGCATGTAGGATTGTCAGATCCGGGAAACCACTGGCAAATGCTAGGTCATCCAGATTTAACCTCCATTAAGCAGGGGGCGGGATGTGCTCAGGGCCACAGCACTGGCTCAGCATTGTGAGGTCCAGTGCCCAGGAGCACAAAGGGAAAATAGCAGGAAATTAAAGTTTAAAAGAATAATGGGGCACTGGGCCAGGCTGTCACCTCAGCACTCAGGAGGCTGAGGCAGGAGAATCACAAGTTCAAGCTCAGCGAAACCCTGTCTCAAATAAAAAAGGGCTGGGGAGGTGGCTGAGTGTGAAGGCCCTGTATCCAACCCCAGTACTACAAAACAAAGAAACAAAAATAAAAATTAAAACAGTAATCTTGCTGGGCATGGTGGCTCACACCTGTAATCCTAGCACTAGGGAGGCTGAGGCAGGAGGACTGTTGTGAGTTTGAGACCAGCCTTGGCTACAAAATGAGCTCAAGGCCAGCCTGAACTGCATAAGTAAGACCCTGTCTCAAAAAACAAAAACAAGAGAGAAACTAACCTTGCTGACACCTTCTGTTTGGGGGAGGGGAGTACTACAGTGAACCCAGGGCCCTCCACCCAAGTTGTGCTCCACTCTCCCTGTCAATCTGTCCCTCTGTCTGTCTATTTCACACACCATGTCACTAAGTTGCCCAGGCTGGGCTTGAACTGGTGACCCTCTTGCCTCAGCCTCCCAGAACACTGGGGTGACAGGTATGCCCGCCGCACCTGGCAAATGTCCCCTTGTTATCAGGACACCAGTTGCACTGAAGTTAGGGTCGCCTTTAGGACGGTGATTTGACTTAACCACTTCTGCAAGACAGGCTGGTCCTGAGTGAGCGAGCAGGGGACACAGCCCCAGCCCTGGCTGCTGCCTCCAGGTAGACAACCCCTTTCAAGCTCACCCTTGCAACCAGCATCAGCAACTCGATCCTTTTACATTCAGAAGTACTAAATTTTGTTTTATTTGATTTTATTTTCTTATTTACTTTTGTCTTTTTGAGACAGAGTCTCACTGTGCAGTTCAGGCTGGCCTTAAGCTCACTTTGTAGCCCAGGCTGATCTTGAACTTACAGAGACCCTTCTGCCTCAGCCTCCCATGTGGTGGGATTACATGAGATGCTAAATTTTCAAAGTCAACACCAAGCCATTCTCCACATTTCTAAAGTACAGTGTTACATTTCCACATCTGGACTGCATGTGATCAGGGCAGTTAGCACATCGGTCATCAGCACACTTCTGTTTCTCCGTGCAGGGACAATCAAAGTCCTCTCTTTGAGTCTGGTGTGTTGGTGCACACCTGTAACCCCAGCATCCAGGAGACTGAGGCAGAAGGATGGCTGCGAGTTCAAGGCTAGCTTGCTATATGTGGTGAGACCCTGTGTCAAAAAGCCAAAAATAAAATCCTTGCTTGTGATTATTTTGAAGTCCACAATGAGCTCCTGCAAACTCTAGCAATCTTACTGTCCTATAGGACACTGGGACTCATCCTCGTGCCTGTGTTGGATATTACTCCACTCTTCTTCATCCCCTCCCGCCCGACACTTTTTTTTTTTTTTTGTCTTTTTAACGGTACTGAGGATCGAACTCACGACTACCTGCTTGCAAGGCAGGCGCTTATGCCGCTGAGCTAAACCCCCAGCCCCTCCGCCTGACACTTTTTGATGGCTGAGTAGTTTTTTGTTATGGCTTTTTTTTTTTTTTTTTTTTTTTTTTTTTTTTTTGTACCAGGGTCGAGGCACTTGTGACGCTGAGCTAAACCCCTGACCTGGCCAAGTAGTGTTTAAACGTAAAAACTTGATTTCTCCACGCTGCCGGGTTTAGGAGTGCACAGACCCTCCTGGCATTGCCCTGCCTGGGCCATGTGCGCGCTGCGGGTGGACGCTGAGTGTCCCGTGTCCCCGCGCCCACAGGTCACCTACACGATACACCAGCAGTACATGGCAGCGATCATCCAGAGTGAGCAACAGTGCCAGGAGCAGCTAAAGACGGACAACAAGACCTGCCACGGTGAGCGGCGGGGTGGGGTCGGGACAGGGACGCGGGGCAAGGGCTCCTTGTCCAGGACTCTGGCAGCACCTGACTCCCGCCTGTGCCTGCAGACCGGTTTTTCGTGCTGGAGCAGAAGATTAAGGTGCTGGAGATGGAGATGGCCAAGGACAAGGCGTTGTGCAGCCGTGAGAAAGAGGCGCTGGCGCTGGCCCGGCACCAGGTGGAGACACAGCGGTCCGAGTGTGAGCGCGCTCAGGGGCAGCTGGCACAGCAGAAGCAGCTGTCGGAGGAGCGGCTGCAGCAGGTGCAGGCGCTGTGCGCACCGCTGGACCGCAACAGGTTAGAGACCGAGCTGCGCATGGTGTGGCGGGACTCCGTGATAGCGCGCGCGCTGGACAACCTGAACTTCGGCGCGGGCTACAGCATGTATCACGGGCCGGGCACAGACCCGGTCTCGTTGCGCCGAGCCTGCGACCAGCTGCCCGCAATCATGGCGACTAAGAGCGAGGAGCTGGCTCAACGGCTGCGTGCGGACATCGAGCGCGTGGCGCGCGAGAACGAGCGGCTGCATGCTCAGAAGCTGGAGGCGGAGCAGCGCGTGCGCGCCGGGCAGACTGCGGCGGAGAAGGCGCAGCAGGAGGCGGCGCAGCGCGAGGCCAAGTTCCGCGCCGAGTGCTCGCGCCAGACAGACCTGGCGCTGGAGGAGAAGACAGCGCTGCGCAAGGAGCGCGACGCCTTGGCCAAGGAGCTGGAGGAGCGCAAGCAGCAGGTGGCACAGTTGCAGATGCAGGTGGCGGTGAAGAGCGAGACGCTGAGCACCTGCGTCAAAGCAAAGGTGTGCGGTCCGCGAGGCTCCCGTGGGAGAGGCGGGCCTGGGACCGCAGGACCTGGGTGGGGACTAGGATGGGGGTGGGCAAGGAGGGCGGGGCAGAGCGGAGTGGTGCACCCCTGACATCCCAGCACTTGCGAGGCAGAGGCAGGAGGGTGGGACGACCTCAGGCCTAGCCCGAACAACTCTGTGACTCCATGAAACTGTCGCAAAATTTAAAAATAATGTAAAAGGGGCTGGAGGTGGAGCTCCGTGAGAATGCCCTGGGCCTGACACTGGGAAAAAAAAAAAAAAAAAAAAACCCAAAAACAAAACCCAGCTGCAGCGGGATCCGCATGGAGTTGGCGACAGGCGTGGCTGTGAGGAAGGCGCAGCAGTGTTGAGGTTGGGGCCGGATTTGGGGTACTGGGCTCAGGTGTGGCTCTGGAGTCTCCAGGGGCGTTAAAGGGCTGGCGTTGGGCCCAGGTGGCGTTGGTCTGGAGGGCGCCGCTGGAGTGGCCCTACGGGGACCCTGAGGCAGCCAAGCCCCTGGAAACACGGGCCCCCTGTGTGCCTAGGGCTCAGGCCCTGGCTCCATCAGCCTCCCTTCCTTCCACAGTCGCAGCCGCTGACCCCTTCTCGCGCCGTGGCTCCGGTCCCCAACCCGCCACCCATTGGTGAGTGACTGTGACAGTGCTGGCGGGCAGGTGGATGGCCAGCCCCTTCCCAGTAGGGCACTGTTCAGCCCCCGCTCCCTTTACAGACCCGGTCAGCCTGGATGAGTTCCGGAGGAAGATCCTGGAGTCTCAACGTGGTGTCGTGCTCCAGGTCAGGTAAGGCTTGCTGCACGGGCCTGCGACCCCAGCTGGGGGAGGAGCAGCAGACTCTTGGCATGCGCAGCCTCTACCTCCTGCCGCTGCAGGGGAGCACGGCCAGTTCTGTCTTCCTGATGCTCCGGCCCGACACTCCTGCCTCAGTCTCTGAGCGCTGGGCCGATGAGTATGCACCCCCACACCTGGCTTGAATTAGCTACCGTTATCCTCACTTTCTAAATGGGGAAAGCTAGGCACTGAGTGGGCCTGATGAGGGCTTCTCTCACCCTGGCTACCCTGGAGGCTGAGGCAGGAGGATCATAAAATCGAGCTCAGCCTGGCCAACTTAGGGAGACCCTATCTCAAAATTGATAAAAAGGGCAGGGGTGAAGCTCAGGGATGAGAACTTGCCTAGTGTTCGGGAAGCCTTGGGTTCAAATCCTCAGCACCAGAGTAAACGAAAAGTGCAGGTGCTGGCCTCGGGGCCTAGAGAAGCCAGGTGAGGGCACCGAGGTCATCTGGCACCTGCTGTGCCTGGCTCAGTGCCTATACCCTCTCACCCAAGGCTAGGCTTCTGCCGGGCAGCACCTGGCATATGTGCCACAAGTTAGGTGACCATGCCCTCCCAGAGGACCCTGAGCCCACCAGGTCCTCCCTCCCACACACAGCGACCCACATGCCTTAGCATGGAGGCTTAGGAGGCCCTGGGTGGCTTTGGCAGTTCGGGTTGGGGCAGGGACTAGGGCTGGGTGGGCACCGCACTGTGTCTCCAAGCCTTCGATGGGGCCCTGACCCCGCAGGAGGGTGGGAAGAAAATGCTGAGGGAACCACACCCTCCCCAAGGGGACACAATGTTCCTCTCTCCACGTTGGCCCACAGCCCTAATGACAAGGAAAGAGAGTCTATTATTATCCCCACTTCTCAGAGGAGGAAACTGAGGCCCCTGTTGGGGTCACGCATTGGCCAGGCTCCCAGCCCAGGACTGTCCGGCAAGGCTGAGAACCGGGGAAGCTCTTGACATTGTTTACCCCAAATGACGTACCAAGAGACAGAACAATGAGCTCTTAAGCCTGTCTCCTGTCTCTGGCCTCAGGGCCACAGGAAGGGCTCTGGCCCAGCCTTCCCCTGGGGACCGGGCTGGGAGCTGGGTTTCAGCCATTGCTGGGCACCGTGGGGCTGGTTTGGCCCTTACATTGTCAGCAGCTTTTTGTTTGTTTTTGGAAACAAACTCTCAATGTTGCCCAAGCTGGCCTCAAATTCCTGAGCTCAAGTGACCCTCCTGTCTCAGCCTCTTCAGTGGGTGAGGCACCCCCAGGCATGCCCGGGCTGGTACTAATATGGATCCTGGATGCCCCTACTCAGGCCCTGTCAGCCCAAGGTTGTAAACCAAGGGCAGATCCAGAGCCAAGCATCAGCCAGACCCGACCTCAAGGGGGCCCGACCTCTTGGTATTTGTGGTCCTTTTGAGCTTTTGTGGGTTTGGGACCTTGCGCATGCCAGGCAAGCGCTCACCACTAAGCACACCCTCACCCTTTATTTACATGGCTTGATCAATTTGAGAACTGAATTTTATTTGCAATGCACCTATTCAGTTACCCAGCTCTGGTCTTTTTCTCCCCCTCCTTCAGTACTGGGGACAGAACCCAGGGCCTCTGCACTGCACTGTGTCCACAGCCTGTTTTTATTCTGAGACAGGGTCTTACTAAATCACAAAGTTGCCCAGGCTGGGTTCAAACTTAGCAGCCTCCTGCCTCAGCCTCCCAGGATGCTGGGAGGACAGCAATTACAAAACAATGAGCCAGGCACAGGGTCCCTCCTCTGGAGGCCCAACTACATGGGAAGCTGAGGCAGGAGGACTGCTTGCATCCAGGAATTTGAAGCTAGCCTGCACTACACAGCGAGCCCCTGACTCAGAAAAACAAAATACACAGTTTATGTAAAAAGAAACCCTAGGTGAGATCTGATCCAAGCACTGTGGAGGTGGATAGAGCAACAAATCGAGGTATAGCTGCTGCACCAAAGACAACAACTGAAAAAGGGGCGGAAGGATAAAGGATAAGTGAAGAGGCTGAGGTCTCTGGAGGGGATTTCTGTAGGGTCCCATTTCCACCCTGAGGTGACCTTTGACCTGAGACCGAAAGGGACAAGGGAGACCTTGGGTGCCGGGAGTGAATGGGGCTTCCTTTCTGGCAGCACTGGGGACCAAACCCAAGGCCTTAGCACCGCACTGCATTCCTGGCCTTTATTAAGTTTATTTTGAACCGGGTCCTATCCTTCCATTGCCTGGGATTGGGGCTGGAGTTTGTGACCCTCCCGCCCCGGCCCTGAGGCCCCAGGTCTGCACAGGGCCTGGCCTGGGTCTGAGCCCGCCTGCGAGCTGCCCCCTCCTCTGTAGGGGCTGAGGCGGCCGCGACCTCGAGACGGAGGGGACGATGCGGGGACACCTATACCGACGCCGCCCGCGGGCCCCACGCCGCATGACGCCAGGACGCAAAACCCCGCAGTGGCATCACAGGCCGAGGTGGCGCTGCGCGCTGACATCGTCTGCAGAGGCCACGAAGCCCGACCTGCAGGGCCCTGGCTTCTGGCACGCGCACGCGGCAGCAGCGGTGCCTCGCGCACCCCACCTCTGCTCGGCGCCCACAGCACCCCGGCTACCCCGCACCACCCTCCTGCTTGCTTATCTCCAGCACCGGGACCGGAGGTGCGAACAGGAAGCCATTGGCTGCCGCACCCCGCCCCCGGCTTCCCGGTCAGCTCTAGAGAGTTTCTAGCCCTTTCTCAGGAGTTTCGAGGCTCCCCGGGGAGTTCCAGGAGCCAAGGAGGCCCGGCCCCAGGATGAGCGCCCTACCGGCCCCGCACGCACACCCCAGCCCTGCCTGCGGTCGAGACACACTAGAGCCACTTAATAAATGTTAGAAGCATCCCGTGGCTCCGGGCTCCTCCTTCCACCTGTGAAGACCCCGTGGGGCCTCGAGGGAAGACCTGGGAGATTGCAGGTCCCTGTGGCTTTGCGTTTTCCAGGCTTCCAGCAGGGGTAAGAGCAGTGCTCCCCAGCCAGAGGCCCCAAGTGGGTATTTTGCAGAAAAAGTGCGAGGGGAGCTGGGGTGCAGGTGCCCCCAAGCCGGGTGGTGCAGAGCGCGGGAAGGGGAAGGCAGGGCTGGGGGGAGCTCGAGGCACCGTGGTGCGGAGGAACCATAGAGAAGCCCACAGGTCAGCGGTTGCAAAAGTTGTGGAAAGCTTTGTCCCCCTGGGGTGGTGTAAAGGCAAGTCCTTATCCGCCTGTCACTCCAACTCTGGGAGGCTGAGGCAGGGGGTCACCAGTCTAGCCCAGCCTGGGCAGTTTGGCAAGACCCTAATTCAAAATAAAAAGGGCTGGCATGCAACTCCTGTATCAAAAACAAAACAACCGCAAATCCTGTTGTGCCTTGCTGGAGTTCAGCGAGAAGATGCCAGAGTCTTATTTCTAAGCAGACTCCAGGAAACGGAGCAAATAGCCATCGAGGGAAAAAGGCTAAAATTGTAGTGCAGACCTCACCCCCAACCCCTCCCGGGTGGCCTGGGCCACATCCCGCCCTGGCCGTGAGTCATGGGGTCTGGCTTGCAGTGTTACCTCAGGCAGGCAGGCAGGCAGGCAGGGGACAAAGGAGCACAGTTTCCGGGATGCGGAAGCCCGGTCAGGAGAAGCTCCCACAGGAAACACTTGGCTGGGGCTTTCAGGCCGGGCAGGGTCGGCGGGTGACCTGGATAGGACTGTCAGGACCCCCAAGGAAACGGGGGCTACCCTGGCTCTCAGCTGCTCCTGTGAGCCGAGTCTTTTGGAGCCATGAGTGCTGGACAGGGCTGACTCAGGGTCCACATGAACACACCCCAGGGTCTCCATCCCCATGTGTCCATCTCTGCTTCCATTTTCTCATCTGAGAAGTGGGAATTGTAATAATAGTAATTTTTCTTTGTCTTTTTCGTTTTTATCGGTACCAGGGATCAAACTCACAACTGCCTGTTTGCAAGGCAGGCGCTTATGCCGCTGAGCTAAATCCCCAGCCCCAATAATAGTAATTTAAAACCCAAGCACAGTATGTGTGCCTGTCCTCCCAGCACTCTAGGAGCTGAGGCAGGAGGATCCGGAGTTTGAACCCACCCTGGACAACTTAGACCCTGTCTCAAAAAGGTGTGGGGAATGCAGCTCAGTGGAGGGCCCATTCTCTCTACTCCTTGCTCCTAAAAAGTGTGACAGTCAGCATTGTGGCCTCCCCAGATGCGGATCCTTCCTTGTCCCCCTCAAATTCCAGAATGCATGCTCCTCTGACCACCTCAGGGGCTCATCCACCCCCAGCCCCTTCCCTGCAGTGGTATGCATCCTTGTAGGCCCTGGGCAGTAACAGCTGAATCTTTTATGGGGAGCTCTGACCTGGGGGGCTTCCTGCGCCTCTATAAATAACCCATCACTTCCCACAAACACCTCATCTTTCTTGGAAAAAGAAGCCAGAGCCAAGGGCTGGGTCCCACAGGTGCCAGACTCCAAGAGGGCAGGGGCAGCTTGGCCAGTTGGCCAGCCAGCAGCGGCCCACACACCTGGCTTATGCCTGGCATGGGGCTGCCAGGGTCTCCTCCACTCAGCCAGCACTGGCCAGAACCCTTGGCTTTGCTTTCTGCCCCATACCTCAGTTTAGCTATGTGAAAAATGAGTACAACAGTGACTGCCACGGGTCTGGCTCACTGTATGGCCTTCTCCCTCAGGAACCCCCACTCAGAGTGCACCCTGATGGGTGGACTTGCAAAGCTTTGCCAAAGCGCCATGTTTCACAGTGAATCCTGAAGAAAGCACCTTCAGCTACCAATTCTGGCTGGTTTCATTTTTTATCTCAGTCCCAGGCCCCTCCCATTGGGCTGCATCCCCAGACTTTGTTTTTTATTTTGAGACAGGGTCTGAGTTACCCAGGCTGAGCTCCAGCTTGTCCTCCTGCCTCAGTCTCCCAAGCGCAGTGGAACCACCAGGTGCTAGGGATGGAACCTGAGCTCTCAAACATGCAAGGCAAACACACACAGCAGAGCCGCACTCCAGCCCTTTTTATTTTTGTTTTGTTAAATGACTCAGGCTGGGCTCAAACCCTGCGACACCCCTACCTTAGGCTCCTGAGCAGAGCAGCTGAGACAAACAGGCAAACAAATTCCCTGTGCCGAGGAAGGCAGGCTCTGCCCGATTGGCCTTCCTTAGGGTGCGGCGCCCTCTGCTGGCCACTCGCCCCGCATCGAGCTCCCAGCGTTTCCAGAGGCGCTTCCCGCAGGTGGTGCTGGCCTATGAAAGTCATCCCAGCACTTTGGAGGCTGAGGCAGGCAGAATGCAAGTTTGATGCCATCCTGGGCTACAGCTCAAGGCTAGTCTGAACTGCATGGTGAGACTTTGTCTCAAAAACCAAAGGAGGGATTTAGCTCAGCAGCACAAGCGCCTGCCTGGCAAGTGTAAGGTCATGAGTTCAATCCCCAGCACAAAAAATAAATTTAAAAAAAAGCAAGGGGCTGGGGATTTAGCTCAGGGGCACAAGTACCTGCCTGGCAGGACGAGGATGTGAGTTTGATTCCAGTATCACACACACACACACACACACACACACACACACACACAAATAAAAAGGAAGGCTGGGTGGTGGTATGTGCCTGTAATCTCATTACTCTGGAGGCTGAGGCAGGAGGATTACCCCAAATTAAATACCAATCTGGGATACATACTGAGTTCAAGGCCAGGTTGGGCCATGTCTACAAAAACCAAAACAGAAAGAAAAAGAAAAGACAAGGCCTTCCTGTGCAGTCTTGAGCTCTGTTCAGCTGGTCCCTTCTGGGTATGGTCATGCAGCAGTACCCAGCCCTAACTGCAGTCATCCATGTCCCTGAACTGTCCCCAGACCCTGCCCACTGTCTAGCACACAGAAGGCAGATGCCAGACTCACATTTGAAGCCCAACAGCCCAAGCGCTGGGGACTTCTTGTGGGTCACCACTTCTCTGAGCTGTTTTCCCGAGGAACAAAACACCTACTGCGTCACACTGTTACCCACATTCCACAAAGGCCAGGTATGATGATGCTCACCTGTCATCCCAGCACTCGGGAGGCTGAGACAGGAGGATCACTGCAGGTTCAAGGCAGGCTGGAGCTACCTAGGGAGACCCTATATCCAAAAAAGAAAACCCAAAGATGAAACCACACATCTGATCGACAGGTACACAAGAAGCCAGGACTCAGCAGTGTTGGAAACGCCAGTGTCTGGTGGGGACCCCAGGAGAGGTGGTCTGGGAGGCCCTGTGATGCAACATGTCCAAATCACATGAGTCTCACAGCCCTCTGGTATTTGCAAGATAAATGAAGACACTTGGAGGCTGGCCACTGGGCTCAGCGGTCAGCCCTCACTGAGTATGAAAGAGACCCTTGGTTCCAACTCCAGCACCAAAAAATAAAATCAAAGCAGCCGGGCATGGTGGCACACACCTGTAATCCCAGCACTTAGGAGGCTAAGGCAGGAGGCTCTTAAATCAGAGGCCAGCCTGCGGATGTTTGGCCAGGTGCAGACCCCAAAGCAGGCCGGCCTGAGATCTTCCAGTCTCCATAGAGCCCAAAATGACCCGCGCTGGCCCCAGAAGGTCCTCGGTCTCATGGTATGTTGGGTTGGGGTCTCTGGGGTACTGCGAAAACTGGGTGCTCCTCACTTGCCCACACAGAAGTCCCGAAATATGACATCTAGGATCTCCTCACTGCCGCCTCCACCTGTGAGCTGGGTCAGGTGCCTTCTGGCAATGCGCAGGGCCTCGGCGGCCAGGGCCAGGTCTCCTGCCTGCCTGTAGTGGCCCAGTGCATCCAGACAGTGCTGCAAGTGGTGGCGGTGCCGTGCACGGGTCAGGAGCGGCGGGCCTGTGCTCGGGTTCCCGCACCTGGAAGGGAAATAGTCTCTCCAGATCTGCAGAAGCCTTGCAAAGTGGGCAAGCTTAGGTTAGGCATTGGCGCTGCACACCTATAATCTCTATACTTGGGGAGACTGAGGCAGGAGGTTCCCCAAAGTTCCAGCCAGCTTGGGCAACTGGATGACTGGTCTCAACCTCAATACTCAGTAAATAAACAAAATGGCAGTTTACTCCATACTGCAGATAGAGACACAGGCTGGAAGCGGGCAGGACTCACAAGACAGCCAGGTCCTTCTTCAGGGCCTCCAGCAGGCCGTCCAGCCCCGCCCCAGTCAGGCAGGACAGCAGCAGATAGGGATATGGCCCGGGCCGGGGACATGGGCCTTCGGAGGGCAGCAAGTCGCATTTGTTCAGCACCAGCAGCAGATGCGGGCTGCTCCCCTTGGGCTCCCGACAGGCCAGGGGTGCCACAACCGCGTCTAGGAAGTCGCGGGAGGTCGGAGCGGCCAGGTCAGTGACGTCCAGCACCGCCAGCACCAGGTCAGCCTGCTCCAGCCTGGAGGCAAGAGAGAACAGGAGGGCGCTGGGGGGGGGGGGGGGCGGGACAATGGGATGGCGGGCGTGGCCATCCTGGACAGGGTAAAGCCACTAGGGAGGGGAAGCTGGTGAGGTGAACTGCCCACTGGAGGGAGTGTGGCAACCTCTCCCTATAGGAAGAAGGGAAAGTGAATGCATCAGCCAGTGGAGGTGGAGGCAGGTGTACTCCTCACCTCTCCCAGGCTCGCCGCACACCCTCCTGCTCCACAGGCCCCACGCCCTCCCGCAGCCCCGCTGTGTCGCTCAGCAGTGCAGGGAACCCAGCCAAGTCCACGGGGGTCTCCAGCACATCACGAGTGGTTCCCGGCTCCGAGGACACGATGGAAACTGGTTTCTGGCCTGGAGACATGGAGGTCGGAGAAAGGGGTAGGCTGGGGCGGTAGAGCTCCTGCTGCAGCCTCTTCTTGCTGGACTGGAGCTTTGGTCAGCCCCAGCATCTTCCGCAGACTCCAGTCTCTCAGGTTCCACTCCCCCACCCCCACCCCCGGTGAGCTCCTCCACCTACTGAGCAGGTTCACCAAGCTGCTCTTGCCGGCATTCGGTGGTCCTGCAACCACTACGTGCGCCCCCGAGCGGAGCCTCTGGCCGCGCCTGGCGTCCTGCAGGTGCATGCCCAGTGCCAGCTCCAGCGCCTGCACCTCTCGGTCAGCTGCAAGCAGAGGACAGGGAGTCAGAAGCCTCCAGGGCTGCGACTCAGGCTGTGCCGTCAGCTTCCATGCTCAGACCCACCTTGCTCCAGGACACCCTCCTCCAGGTTGTCATCTTCTGCGAAGTCTATGTAGGCCTCCACGTGAGCCAGGGCCTGTACGAGGGGGCCATCAAGCTAAGCCCCCACTGGCCCCCATCTGACACCAGGTCAAGCCCAATCCAAGGAACCGCACTGGCATCTTCATATGGCAAAGGGTGAGGGTGGGTGGGGAAAGACAGTCAGGACAGGGCCGGAGGCGGGGAAGAGCCTTGGGGCACTAGCCTTGGTGAGGGTCTCGGCCCAGCCGCGGGACAGCTGACCCAGTTCCCCGTCCAGCTGCCGCAGGGCCTGCCGCCTTTGTGCCTCAGTTTCCGCGTGGATCAGGTCTGCCAGCCCCTCCACCTCGGGCAGGCTCAGCTTCCCATGGGCGAAGGCCCGCCTGGTGAACTCGCCAGCTTCCGCTGGCCGCAGCCCAGGGACACCGCCTGCGGGAAGTTGGGACCTTAGCGCCCGCGTCCTGCGGCCCAGGGCCTCGCCCCGTGCCCACGCGGACCCTGGCCGCTGTCGCTCACCCAGAGCCTCGAGGACGCCGTTCACTACGGCGGGCCCTCCGTGCACGTGGAACTCGGCGCAGTCCTCGCCCGTGAAGCTCCGTGGCCCTGGAGCGGCAAAGGGGCGGGTCAGGGGCGGGGCGCCGCGCGGGCCCGCGTCCCGGAGGGAGGTGGCTTCACCTGGGAACCAGAGCACCAGCGCGCGGTCCAGCGGGGCACCCGAGCGCGGGTCACTCAGCAGGCGCAGGCTGGCGCGGCGCGGGCGGGGCAGGGCGCGGGGAGCCGTGAGGCTCTGCAGCGCCTTGAGGCTAGAGGGGCCACTGGTCCGGATCACCGCGACGCCGCAGCGGCCGTGGCCGGAGCTCAGCGCGAAGATGGTGGCCCCAGGGGCCGTGCATAACCTGGGACGGGAGAGAGGCTCTAGGGTTTGGGTGGGGGCCGGGCTGGGCTCGCTGTGTACCCGGGGACGGGCAGACTGAGGCTGGAAAGGGTACGGCAGTAATCAGGCCGGGAAACCCAGAGAACCCGAGCAGCACCCCACCCCGCCACACCCCACCTGCGAGGTCCCCAGGCCGCCAGGCTCCTCAGCTTCCGCCACATGGATTTAACTTGCTACTCGCCTGCCCGACCTTGCAGCACTGCTTCAATGTGGAGCAGCAGGCCCGGTCCACCCTGCGATGTGACTGGTAAAGCGCTCCACGCTTCTGAACTACCATTGGGTGATTTACAACAAGTCCCGCCCACAGATTGAAGCTCCGTTGTCCTATCAGTGTAGCGCGATGATTGCAACGCAATCCTTTGCAATGTTGGACTGAATTGTTAGGGTCCTAGAGCTGCAGAGGAAAGAAAGGATGGGTGGGGAGAACGACAGAGCTTGGCATACAGGGAATCGCAGCAAGGCTAGGTTTGAGTCCAGTATCTCCACCTGGCTAGTTTGTGGCCCGAGGCGAGGCAAAAACGGTTACGCTGTTTTCCTGCCCAAGAAAGGTGCCTCATCAGCAATCTGAGTGCCTGAGGCCGGAGGATCTTTGGTTCCAGCCCAGAATAAACAATTTAACGAGACGCTGTCTCAAAATAAAAGCTACAGAGGGCTGAGGATGAGTTCCGAGGGGCCTTCGTCCTGGCCCAGGGAAAATCTTGCCCAAACTTTTTGGGAGCTCCCTGTTACCACTCCCCGCTTCCTTCCCGGCCCCGACCCCCGTACCCCCGCTAGACACCTCCTCCTCTGGGTCCTCGCCAGGCCCCCTCGTCTAGGAAGCCGTCCAGGAGCCCAGCGCAGCCCCCGCCCGGTTCCCGAGTCCCGGGATCGCTTTCAGGTTAACTCGGGACAGCGCCGAGCCCGAGAAAGCGCTGATCTCGGAATTCCGGGCGTGGGGGCGGGGCCTCGGGAGCCTGGCCCTGATCGATCTTATGGTTCTCGGCAGGAGCGGGCGGGACACCCACGCCAGGCGAGGGGTGCGGACAGCGCGGGGCCGGGCTGCGTCCTCATCCTTCCCCGCTCGACTTTGTCATACGCAAAATAGGGATCCACGGGGACATCCTTTGTTTCCCTCTATGGGTGATTCCCTCTATGATTAAGTACACACCCAGCGTCTACTATATGCTCTGCAGGGACCGGACTTTAATCAGGTTCTCAGTCGAATGTAGTGGGGACTTAACGAGACCCTGCCTCAAAATAAAAAATAAGACAAGGGCTGCGGGATACAGGTTGGTGCAGAGGCTCTGGCTTCAACTCCCAGTACAGCAGAAAACAACACAAAACAAATGTTTGTTTATCTGAAGTGTGCATTAAGCTATAATTGTTTTTATTTAAATTTTGCTGGGAGTAAGGGTAGCGTAGGCTGAGAGGCATGAGATCCTACACTTTGAGCAGCGAATGCAAAGGTCCTGGGGCAGGCCCACTATCATCAGTGACCCCATTCTTGCTAGGGTGCTTGAGCTATTCCCAGAATCTCACAGGACCAGGCCTGTCCTTCCCACGTCCTACCGCAGCTAAACAATCAGTCTGTAGTTTGCAAATCGGGAAACCCGGGCTCCAGAGCGCAGACCAGAAGGTTATATTGGTTGGGACAAGTTGAATAATGCACCTTGGTGCGGGCGGAGACAAGCACCAGAGATTAGACTGGGCGGGCGGCGATGAAGCCCAGAGAACCACGCGGGCAGGCCCGAGAACCAGAGTGTGCAGGCAGGCAGCGCTGAGAACCAGAGTGACGCGCTGGCTGGGAGGGAGCTGGCTCCGCGCGGGCGGGGACGAGAAGCAGCGCCGGGAGCGGGGACGAAGCGGCGCGGGCGGGCGCGGCCTTTGTCTCATCCGCGTTCGGCCCCATGCGCTCGCGGCCCCCCGGCGCCCGGGCCGCGCGCAAAGCTTGACCCAACTCGCCATGGCGGAGCCCACCTCGGGCGCCGGGGGCGCGGTCCTGGACGCGGAGCGGGACAAGCGACCCCCGCCAGAGGGCGAGCCTGCGGCCCCCGCCTCCGGAGTGCTAGGTATGTCATGTGTGCGACTGCTCGACCGCGCGGAGGCGTAGGGTGCAATCAGGCCATCTTCCGGCCTAGTTCCACTCGGGACCCGCTGATCCTCGGGGCTGCAGGAACCTGCGGCGGACGGTGGGCTCGGCCAGGCCCGGTTACGCCCCTCGGGGACCTGGCCACCTGGTCTTCGGGATCGCGCAGGCAGGGACGCTCCGGCCTCTCCGTGGAGCACCGGGAGACCCGCAGGCCCGGGTTCGAACCCCAGCTCGGCTGTGTGACCTTGGGTGTGTGGCTTTAAGGCTCTGGGGCTCAGTTTCCCCACCAGAGTGAAAGGGCAAGCGCTGCGCCCAGCTCCCGGGCTGCTGTCCTAGGTGGTTAAGCACCTGCTCGGGGCTGCTAGTGGCGCCCCGCGATTGTGGACTTGAAGGCGGAGGGGGCGAGCATAAGTAAGATGGGTAAAGGCAGGCGGAGAAGGGCAGGGCCTGGCAAGGACGAGAGGAAAACAAGCCCAGGCAGTACGGCGGGCCTCCAATGTCATGCAGAGTGCTGGGGAGCTGGAAGTCGCATTCGAGAGTCTTGGCCCCAGTGGTCTGATCCCTTCCTGCTCCCCTGTCCCCTAACCTCCAGAGAAGCTCTTCGGGAAGCGGCTGCTTCAGGCGGGGCGCTACCTCGTGTCCCACAAAGCATGGATGAAGACGGTGCCCACGGAGAACTGCGACGTGCTCATGACCTTCCCAGGTACCCACGGGCTTCCTGACTCAGCCTTCCGGAGCGGAGGGGGTACAAAGCCCCGGGGCCTCCCGTGGCGAGAGCCATCGGTGCCTATGCCCCTTGGCAGACACGACCGACGACCACACGCTGCTCTGGCTACTGAACCACATCCGCGTGGGCATCCCCGAGCTCATCGTGCAAGTCCGCCACCATCGCCACACACGCGCCTACGCCTTCTTCGTCACCGCCACTTACGAGAGGCGAGTGCCTGCCCCTGCCCCGCCCCTGGGCTGCCCCGCGTCCCTTCGGGCCCCCTGTGAGCCCCTGCCCTCCCCGCAGCCTGCTCAGAGGCGCCGATGAGCTGGGGCTGCGCAAGGCCGTGAAGGCCGAGTTCGGCGGCGGTACCCGAGGCTTCTCCTGCGAAGAGGACTTCATCTACGAGAACGTAGAGAGCGAGATGCGCTTCTTCACCTCCCAGGTGGGGCCGGCTCCTGCCCGCAGGGCGCCCCAGGCCCCAGGTGGCTCACCCAGCTCACACCCTGTCCCAAACAGGAGCGCCAGAGCATCATCCGTTTCTGGCTGCAGAACCTGCGCGCCAAGCAAGGGGAGGCCTTGCACAACGTGCGCTTCCTGGAAGACCAGCCAATCAGTGAGCGAGGCGGGGTCGACCCTCCAATCACAGTCAACAAGATGGGTGGGACGGGGGCAAGAGGGCGGGGCTTGAGGGCAACTGACGAGGCATTAGTGAAAAGGTCAACCAATGAATTCTAGGGGTGTGGTCGCTGAGAATGGGTTCTGGCCAATCAGCGTGTTGACGGGCGTGGCCTTTGCAAAGGGGTTGGGCTTATCCCTTGGGAGGTGGGCTTGGCCTAGGTTCTTTTCCGAGTTGGGATAAGATGGGTCAGGACCGTGGACAGCGCTCGGCATTCTGTGTGGTGAGGCCTGGGCCTTGGTTTCCCCCCTATGAAATCAATCAACGTTCACCTTCAGATGGGAGCTTCGTGCCAGCTTTTTTAGGCATGGCCACAAACTAAGGTCAGGTGCCTTTAACACGTGGTTTCCCATGGGGCCTTGCCCTCCGGGTGCCCGCCCTTTCCTGGCAACTCCTGCGTTTCTGAACTCTGGAGAAGGAGATGTCTGTCCACCCAGCCCTCCTCCCCTGGAAGAGCTCCTAGGGTCTGAGAGCAGGCACAGCTTCGACTTGGGTTCTGGCGGGACGGGAACAGGCGAGGCCACGTCACTCCTTCCATCCTCCTGCAGTCCCCGAGCTGGCGGCCCGCGGGATCATCCAGCAGGTGTTCCCTGTGCATGAGCAGCGCATCCTGAACCGCCTCATGAAGTCCTGGGTGCAGGCGGTGTGTGAAAATCAGCCTCTAGGTGCGGCTAGGGCTAGGGGCAAGGTGGGGACAGGCCAGAGCCCTGAGAGGCAGAGGGAGATGACTGGATCCCCATCACCCTGGCAGACGACATCTGCGACTACTTCGGCGTGAAGATTGCCATGTATTTTGCCTGGCTGGGCTTCTACACATCTGCAATGGTATACCCAGCTGTCTTTGGCTCTGTGCTATACACGTTCACAGAGGCTGACCAGGTAGCAGGTGGGTCTGGGGAGGTGGTGCTCCGGGAAACCCTCCTCATGCCACCAGCCTGACAGCCGTCACTGCGCTGGCACCCACAGACAAGCCGTGACGTGTCCTGCGTAGTTTTTGCTCTCTTCAATGTGATCTGGTCAACACTGTTCTTGGAGGAGTGGAAACGGAGGGGTGCAGAGCTGGCCTACAAGTGGGGGACGCTGGACTCACCTGGGGAGGCTGTGGAGGAGCCACGTCCCCAGTTCAGGGTCAGCTGTGAATGTAGGAGAAGTGGGGAAAGTCAATTGGGTGCACAGGGTGGGCTGGTGGTGCAGCAGGGGCTCTGAGAGAAAGGGGCACCCAGGGCAAGGGCATCCTGGAGGAAACCAAATTGAGAGGGAGTCTGCAGTGGGGCAGCCCTCTGACCTCAAGGCCCCCCACACCACCAGGGCGTGCGCCGCATCAGCCCAGTGACCCACGCCGAGGAGTTCTACTACCCACCCTGGAAGCGGCTGCTCTTTCAGCTGCTCGTGAGCCTGCCCCTCTGCCTGGCCTGCCTGGCCTGCGTCTTCCTACTCATGCTCGGCTGCTTCCAGCTGCAGGTGACCTGGTGCCCTGGCCCTGGCCCTGGCCCTGGCCCACCTGCTGGCCCACCTTGACCACACCCCCGCCTGCCCTAGGAGCTGGTACTGCACGTGAAAGGGCTGCCGCGCCTGGCCCACTTCCTGCCCAAGGTCGTGCTGGCCCTGTTGGTTAGTGTGAGCGCCGAGGGCTACAAGAAGCTAGCCATCTGGCTCAATGACATGGGTACGCTCTGCAGGGGAGGGGGTCCCTACGGCTTTGGGCAGCCCAACCAGCCTTCCTCATGGCCCTCCTCGGCCCCTAGAGAATTACCGGCTGGAGAGTGCCTATGAGAAGCATCTCATCATCAAGGTTGTTTTGGTGAGTGGCCGCTACAGGCAAGGCACCGGGGACCTGCCAGAACTGGGGGTGACCACTACCTGCCTCCCTCCCTCCCTCCTGCCCCCAGTTCCAGTTTGTCAATTCCTACCTGAGCCTCTTCTACATCGGCTTCTACCTCAAGGACATGGAGCGTCTCAAGGAGGTGAGACTGCGCCAGCGGCAGCCACGAGGGGCCGGACCTGGCCCAGGGGTCCCAGGGCTCCCAGGGTTCCCGGTCTCTCCCCTCCCTCCTCCATCCTTCTCTCCTCTCTGTCCGTCCGTCCATTTGTATGTCCTCTCTCTGCCTGTCCATCTGTCTGTCCATCTGTTCGTCGGTCCCTCCACAGCTCCTGCTCGTCCTGTCCCTGTCCCAGAGCCTCGAGCGGCAGCTGCGGGCAGTTCTGGTCCCGCTCGTGGCCCTGCGGTTCCGCCTACTCCTCCTCTCCCTCCAGGGCCTCCTGCTCTCAGCCCGGGCCAAAGTACGGGCAGGTGGCAAGGCCATGGGCCTGGCCGGGTGGGCGGGAGCTGTGCTGGGCGCATGTGCAGAGGGGCTGGGGTGCCGAGGATCCATGCAGCAGATGAGCCCAGGGCCTCAGGTGCCCAAGAGCCCTGGGGGTGGAGTGTTCCGTGCCATGCCCACGTGCTTCTCCAGCCTGGCTGTGCTCTGTGGCTGTGAACGTGGCCAAGTGCTGAACGTGGGTGCCCTGTGCCAGTCCTGGCCCCCTGCCCCCACGCAGCCTCTCCCCATCCCCCCAGATGCTGGCCACCCTGCTGATCACCCGCCAGTTCCTGCAAAATGTGCGCGAGGTCCTGCAGCCCCACCTCTATGGCCACCTTCGCCGAGGCGAGCTTGGCCTCCAGGCCCTGGCAGGGATGGTTCGGGCCCTGCTTGGCGGTCTCAGCCTCCGGTGCCCCTTGCCCCGCCACCTTGAACCCCAGGCTGACGAGGGCAGCAGCAGGGCGGGGGGCCGAAGGTGTCTCAGCGGGGGTTGTGGGGCACCCGAGGAGGAGGAGGAGACAAGCGCTGTGGAGAGCAGGCCAGCAGGGGAGGGAGGGGAGGTGCGGGAAGGGCCTGGGGGTGCCGAGGACGAGGAGGAGGAGGACGACGAGGATGAGGATGATGACGATGAGGGTGAGGATGGTGGGCTGCTGGACTGCGGGCTCCGGCTGAAGAAGGTCAGCTTTGCCGAGCGGGGGGCCGGGCGGCACCGGCCTGGGCCCAGCCCAGAAGCCCTCCTGGAAGAGGGCAGTCCCACCATGGTGGAGAGGGGGCTGGAGCCAGCCATGTTCACCCTGGCCGAGGATGACGATGACGAGGCAGAGGGGCTTCCCAGGATCCCTGAGTGCGAGCCCCCAACCATCCTGCTCCGTCGGGCTGGGGGCGAGAGCCAGGACCAAGGCCCCGAGGGAGGCCAAGACCCAGACCCTGGACCAGGTGACCCAGCAGCCAGACAGAAGCGGCAGAACCGCTCCTCTTGGATCGATCCACCAGAGGAGGAGCACTCACCCCAGCTTACCCAGGCAGAGCTGGAAAGCTGCATGAAGAAGTATGAGGTGTGGTACGGAGGCAGAGGTGGTGGCCAGGGTGCAAGCCCAGCAGAAGGTGCCTGCCCTGCCCTCACCATCTGCCCACCCACCTGCGCACCTCTGACAGGACACCTTCCAGGACTACCAGGAGATGTTCGTGCAGTTCGGCTACGTTGTGCTCTTCTCATCCGCCTTCCCATTGGCCGCGCTCTGCGCCCTGATCAACAACCTCATCGAGATCCGCAGCGACGCCTTCAAGCTGTGCACTGGCCTGCAGCGGCCCTTTGGCCAGCGTGTGGAGAGCATTGGCCAATGGCAGGTAGGCCGGACCAACCAGGTGGTAGGGATCCTGGGTTCGGTGCAGGGACCAGGCTGAGAGCCAGCCCAGCCCACTGAGTCCAAGCCCCTGCAGAAGGTGATGGAGGCCATGGGCGTGTTGGCCATCGTGGTGAACTGCTACCTCATCGGGCAATGCGGGCAGCTGCAGCGTCTCTTCCCCTGGCTGAGCCCAGAAGCGGCCATCGTGTCTGTGGTGGTGCTCGAGGTGTGCCCTGGCAGCCTGGGCAGGCGTGGGGTGCCGGGCAGTGCCACCAGGGCCTGCAGCTTCCTGTCTGTGTCCCCAGCACTTTGCTTTGCTCCTCAAGTACCTCATCCATGTGGCTATTCCTGACATCCCAGGCTGGGTGGCTGAGGAAATGGCCAAGCTTGAGTACCAGCGACGAGAGGCCTTCAAGGTAGGAAGCCTGGGCAGATGGGCCTGCATGTGGGCGTGGGCTGCGGTGGGCAGTGCTTGGTGTGAAGGAAGTATGCAGGTGGCTGTGGCCCCTCCAGGGCTTGGCAAACCACAGACCGAAAGTCCTCATCCCAGCACTGGAGACAACTACCCAGGGCTACTTAGCTACACCCCATCTCAAAGCACATACATGACAGGCTGAGTGCTGCCCAGCATGAATGGCTGGATTCAAACCTCAGCGCTGAGAGAAGAGAAAAGCACCTGTACTGAACACTCACAGACTCTGCCCTTTTATGTTTTCTATTTGTTCATTTGTTTCGGGACCAGGCTGACTTGCACACCTGGCCTACGGTTCTCACAGCGTGGGACTCAACGGCAAGGTGGAGCGCACAGGCTTGGCGCCTACCCCACAGCCCTCTAAGAGGGATTCTGGGGGCCTCAGTGTCCAGAACAGCTGCCCAGGGACCTGGGGCACAAGCCTGGCCATCCTGGGACTGTACCTGGGTGCCCCTTGGAGGGTACCAGCCTGTTCCTCCATCCTTTGGCAGCACAGCTGCTGCTTTGAGCACAGGACACAAGGCTATCCCTACGGGCCCTGCTGTGGGCCCAGCAGCCATGGCCCCAGAACTAGTCCTGATGCTTTTTGCAACGTCTCCTCCGGACGTGGGGATGGAACCAGGGGCATCTCCTGCACGGGGTGGCTGCAGCTCAGGCCAATCAGAGCCGTCCTGATTCCAGGTCCTTGAGGCTTCAGGCCCCCAAGAGAGGTCCAAGGACTCGGGGCCTATTCCCCGCAGGCTTCTGGACAGCCTGAGTCTTGACCAGGACAGCTGGTGGCCAGCAAACATGGGTTTTCTTCCCAGCTCCTAGAAATTGACAGTGTGGCCAGGGATTCTGCTGTGTCCAGTTGGCATCTGGATCCCTGCCCACCCTGCCTGGAAAACCTGGCATGGCCCAGGTGGCACCCGGTGGGCATTGCATCTGCCCTCACTTTGGCAGGGAGCCCCAGGAGCCGCTGAGGGGTCCAGTGGATGCCCAATGAATGTTCAGATCTCCCTGCCAGCCGGCTAACGCCCAACTCTTGTCTGCAGAGACACGAACGCCAGGCCCAGCACCGCTACCAGCAGCAGCAGCGGCGGCGGCGGGAGGAGGAGGAGCGGCAGCGCCACGCAGAGCACCACACCCGCAGGGAGCGTGAGGCCGGCCGGGATGAGGCGAGGGCCGAGGGTTCCGGGTCAGACGCCGTGAACTCTGAGAAGACTTCGGCAAAGGCCAAGGGCAGTGGTGTGGGCAGCCATGGGCAGGAGCGGCCCAAGCGCCCTGGGTCCCTGCTGGCATCCAACAACGTCATGAAGCTGAAGCAGATCATCCCACTGCAGGGCAAGTTCCTGTCATCGGGGGCCACAGCCGGCTCAGGGGGTGCTGCTGCGGGCCCCACACCCAGGCCAGCCCCTGCCCAGTCACCCACCGGCGGGGACACCCGCCTACCCGCCTTCCTCAGCTTCAAGTTCCTCAAGTCTCCTGAGGCCCGGCGGGACCCTGAGCGCAGCCACTCACCCCCTAAGGCCTTCCACGCCACCAAGCTCTTCCCCTTCGGTGGGGCGCGGGCCGAGACCAACGGGGCAGGTACAGGCGGCCAGGCCCGGCAGGACACGGCCCCCGGTGGTGGCAGCAGTGGTGGCAGCCGGGCCCCGAGGAGCGGGCTTGCAGAGGAGGCCTCGGCTGAGGAGCGAGAAGCGCCCCGGCCCGAAGAAGAAAGCTCAGGTCACAAGCTTTAACTCGGGGGTGGGGATGCTCGATGCACCCAGGGTGGGAGGGTGGCTGCCCCAGGGAGTGGCCTGAGGGACAGCAGCCCCACCCACCCCCCAACTCCCACAGGGCTCCAACCTGCACCCCAGGGGTATACCCTCCACCCACCACAGGCTGCCCACCACAGGCTGCGCTGACTCCCTGTGGGCCTGGACCTCCAGCTTCTATGCAAATCCCATTCAAAAGCCCAATGAGGGGCCACAGCTCCTGCCCCAGCAGGCCACAGCAGGACAGGGACATAGACAGAAGTCAGAGGGAATCCCTGCAGACCCTTCCCAGCCCCAGGCAGGGATGCCCTGAAGACACCCAGGATGGTGGCCCATCGGCCCCACCTGACCCATCCAAGCAATAAGGCCTTTCTGGTGCCTGAGCTGGGCGGGAGCTACGGGCCGACGGGCAACAAGGCCCCGGAACGGCCCCTCTCGCCTCCGCAGGGACAGCGCCAGGCCCTGAGGGCACCCCTGCCCTCCACACGCGCCGCAGCCGGAGCCCTGTGCCTCGCTCCCAGCCCCCGACGCCACCTGCGGGCTGTTGGCAGTGGGACCCACCCTGGGGCTGTGGGGGCGAGGCCGCTGCCCCCCACCTGAGCCCACCGGCCGCCACCACCGAGTGCCCACCCTGCGCCCTGGCTGTGCCCGCGCCCCCACCACAGCCCCTACCAGGGGACGTCAGCTTCTACAGCCTCCCGCTGCTGCTGCCACCGCCGCCGTTGGAGCCCCCAGAGGCCCCTGATCCTGGCCCTGGGCCCAGCCCCAGCCCTCAAGCAGTGTGCTGGCCAGGGGGCTGGCACTAGGTGCCTGCCACCTCCCAACATATGCAACGGTGGGCAGCCAGGCGCCGCCCCCACCCCCCCAGCACACTGCCCCTGGCATCTTCTCTTCAACCAGAAAGGGGGAACCAGAGGAGCCCTCACACCCCCACAGAATAGGCAATTATTTATTTGTTTTTAATTTATTTTGTCATATTTTTGTAAAATGGCATCATTGCAATAAAAAGTCTATTTCGACAGTGGCCAAGGTGAGCGTGCATGCTGAGCTCAGGCCTGTGGTGGTTGGCCAGGCTGACTGGGCCCTGGAGCCCGTGGGCTTTCCCACAATGGGCGTAACCCAGGCCAGCACCCTCAACAAAGGAAGCAATCTTGAGTGCTGGAGACCAGCTGATGGCCCAGGCAGGGGTGTCAGGGACCAGAAGAGATACAGCTGCCTCTGGGAGGCACCTGTAGTGGGACCCTGTGTCCAACACACAGGGGGACCTGGGGTGGCCTGGCATGGGACAGCAGGCCAATGGGAATCACTGGCCCCTATGTGGGGAAGAGGATATGAGTATCGCTGTTCAGGGCACTGCGAGGCTGAGAGAGGCAGGGCAGGACAGAGGACAGGGACCAGCTCCTCAGACCTGGACACCCGAGAGGAGTACTGCCCACTCTACCATGCCCCACTATCTGTCACCAACCAGGGGACACCAAGCACCACCCTGGGCTGACCTGAGCAGGTAAGCCCTCAGATGGCACAGCCCAGCCATACCCGGAGCTGGGACAGCTAGGGCACAGCACAGGGACAGGAACTCCTGCAGCTCAGCTAACACAACCAGCTATGACTGCAGCCCAATGTCCTCACTGTCCCCAGAGCCCCAGCCACCACCAGGGCCCAGTGGGCTCAGAGTGTGGACCTGGGTCAGATCAAGCCACTCTACCCCGAGGCCGCAGCCACAGTGCATAACCTTATCCATGGCCCGGTTGCCTGCATGCAACCTGCTGGGCAGTGTCCAGGGACCCACGCTGTCTCTCTGAGCCAAGGGACATGGTGATGGTGGCCTTGTGGCATGGCCACAGCAAGCTCGGGACAGAATCGTCAGTCCCCATGGTGATGACAGGACAACACTGGAACCCCTGGCTCCGTCCTCCAAGGCTGAGGTGGGCGGAGCAAAGACTCGAGGTGGAGTAGGAAAGATCCTTTATTGGGGTGGACACGGAGCACACGTGAGTCCATGGTAAAACCGCCAGCGCGGGGTGAGGGCCATGGCGGCCTGCAGAGGACACACTGGGCGGCATGGCTGTCCCCACCTGGCCCCAGCCCTGCCACCCAGTGGCGGCAGGACCCCAGCTCCAGACACTCGGGCTGCCCGGGCTGGGCTGGGGACCTGGGGGAGGTGGTGGACCAGCAACTGGGAAAGTATCTACGGACATCTCACTATTGGGTCTGAGTCCCCGGGACCCACGCGTGACACGTGTTACAGCATAAATAAAAACTCGAGGAAATAAATACATCGGCTCCTATGAGGTTGACGCGGTGTGGAAGGGGCGGGAGGGTGCAGCGGGGCAGGCAGGCGGGCGCTTACGCTCGGGGCTGAGGTGGCCTAGGTGTCCTCATGCATGTCGGGGCTGTCCGTCCGCGCCACCTTGCGGGGTGGCGCCGAGCTCTCACCCTCCAGCTCCACCTGCTCCTGGTCCCTCTTTTTGGCAGCATTCTGTGGGAGGGAGGGTTTGAGTGGGGGACCCTGGGGCAGTTGGTACCCTGCCTCCCCTCAGGAGCCCCCTCTCCTGGCAGCTGAGGTCCAGACCAGGGATGATGGGTCCCTACACCAACAGCAGCTCTGAGGCCCTAGCCCCTGAGTGATGCAGACGGTAGATAGCCCTGTGTGACCCTGTTACTCTGGAAATGGCACCCAGGGGCTCTACTGCGCTGTGCCCCACATCTGGCCTTTTTTATTTACTGTGGCACAGGTCTCACTAAGCCAGAACTGGTGAGTCTCCTACCTCAGCCTCCCAGAGTGGAAAGCTGAACCCTCACTATGTGCTACCTCTTGTGTCACCTGCATCTGTAATCACGGGCTGCCAGCCTACCCTCGACACAGCAGAAAGGCAGAGACTCAAGGGCACAGCGACAAAGCCACTAAATGTCAAGACTACAGAGGCCAGGCCAAGCTCAACACCTCCCCATACCAGGCTCCTATGGCCCCTGCTTCTTCCTCTGGAACCTCTGCCATCTCCTGGAGCACCAGGTAAACTCCTACTGAGCCCTAAAGGACCCACTCAAATCCTCTGTCAGTCATGCTTTAAATCACTCAGAACCTGTGCCACCTTACTCCCCAGCACCTGAACCCCACGTGCCGTACCTTTTTGTCCCATTGCTGATGTAGGTACCGTAGGAGGATGTTTGTTTTTTCTGTCACAATGACTGAAAGGAAAAGAAAGCAGCAGAGGTAGACAGCCCGTTCCTCCCCAGCCCGGGCCCCGGCCCCAGCCCCGTACAGGGCTCGGGCTTGCTCCCAGCCTAGGTCGCAGGTGCACATACATGGGCAGCCCCAGCTGACCAGCTCAGCTGTGGGCTCTCAGGGGCTCAGCTTTTTTCTTTCTGCAGTGCTAGCGATGAATTCAGTGGAGGATGCCCCTCGCCTGGGAGCTGCACCCCTACCCCTTATTTTCAAGACAGGGCCTCACTAAGTCACTAAGCCACTGGGGCAAGGCTGAAACTTGTGATCCTCCTGCCTCGGCCTCCCAGTGCTGGCAGAAGAGGCAGCTGCCACTGTAGCCAGCACAAGTTCCCGTCACACTCTGAAAATCATGTCCATGTCCCGCTCTATGGCGTCCTCCGCCGGGCAGGTCCCTACTGCCACCCCAGGCTGTCAGGGTCCTCATGGGGTCCCAGCACCTCAAAAGGACAAATCAGGGACACGAGGGCAGGACTGCGGGGGCCGCGTGCACCTGCCCGAGACCAGGCCAGGGCCACTCACTCTGTTCTGACGGGTACTCTCGGGTGGGCAGGTAGACGGAGGGGCGTCGGTTCTGCGGGAGGAGTGAGGCTCAGGCGCGCCCAGCACCCCAAGGCCCGCCCACTCACCCGCCCGGTGCCCCGGAACACACTCACCGAAGCCTTGCACACAGAGTCAGCATGGAAGCGACTAAAGTTGCTCTTGTTGTAGACGGGCAATCCTTTCAAAAAGTCTGCCTGGAAGACAGAGGGCAGAAATAAGCCTCGTCCCAGGTGCCTCTGTGCTGCACCAGCTGGGGCACTGTCCAGTCTGCACAGGAGGTCCCCCAGAACCTGGCAAGCAGCAGAGAAACCAAGGCTCAGCGAGAGCATGCCATGTGCCAAGTCACACTGCAGCCAAGAAAAAAGCTCAGCCCCCTGATCTTAGCACTGGGGAGGAGGATCATGAGCTCTAGGCCAGCCTGGCCAAAACAGCAAGACCTTGTCTCATAAACACAGCTGGAGGCTGAGGCAGAATGATCACCATGAGTTCGAGGCTAGTCTTGGCTACATAGTGAGTTCACAGCCAGCCTGAACTACAGAGACCCTATCTCAAAAAATCACCATCTAAACAATTACAGCACAGCAAATACATAGTCACCTGCCTCAAACTGGCAGCTGGCAGGACATGGCCCAGTGGTGCTCCCCGCATACCCTACCCTGGTGTGGCTTGGGCCATCCTTGGTGCTCCTGAGACAGAGACCTGAGATGCCGCACCTGTCAGTGCTAAGAACTCCTGTGCCAGTGGGATTACAATGAGAAGGGGTGTGTCAGGCACAGGAGCCCAAGTTTCCAGAGCCTCCTAGCACCATGGCGATGACTTACCCATGGGATCCACACTTTTGGGAGGCTGAGGCAGGAAAATCACTAGTTCAAGCACAAACTGGGCAACTGAGTCAGACTCTGCCTCAAAATTACAAACTAAAAAAAGGTTTTAATAAAAGACTGCGGATGTAACTCAGTTTGAGGGTCCTTCTTCAATCTCCAGAAGAAAAAGACAGGCAGGCAGAGAGGCAGGCAGGCAAAAACAAAGAAAGAAAAGCAACCTAGAAGCCCTTTTTTTTCCTTTCTCACAGTGCAGGTCAGGGCCCTGAGCCTCCCACCCAAGCAGAGCTTGCACTGTGATGCACCAGGCTTCCTTTCCAGGGGACATCCACAAACCCCACTACAGGGATGTCAATGGGCACGTGACTATCAGCTGGGGATGCCTCTGGGGCCCTCAGAGTGGACCCTGGGCAGCTGCCCTCCCCTCTTCCACTGCTGTGCTCAGCCATGGGACCACTCTGTCTGCAGTGACTCCCACTCCAGAAGTACATCGTGCTCCTCTCCCTGAGTCCCAGGGCTCAGACTCCGAAGCCAGGCTGTGAGGTGCTACCAGTAGAGGGCTCCTGGGACTGCATGGCTGGACCCAATCTCATAACTTGGTCAGGCACAGCCTGCCACCCCACCCCAAGAAAGTGAGGAAGCTGTGGCTCATTTCAGGGGCCAGGTGCCTCCCATTAGGTGACACACCTGGAACCTAAGCACATGGAGGCACCAGGGCCACCCGGCGAGAACCCTCAGGTCCATCACAATCCTTGGAGCTCCAGAGGATGGCACCTGATGGATGCAGCTTCCCAGAACCCCTGGGCAGAGGGAGTCATGTCTCCTCAGGCCCCTGCTACCCAGCAAGACCCAGGCCAGAACTGGACACCCACCTGAGCCACCACTGTCCCCCTCCTGTGGGGAGCACAAGGACAAAACGCATGGGAAATGACAGTGTAGCCAGGGTGAGGCCAGGGCATCGAGGGCCAGGTCTGGCAGCAGGGAAGGCAATGCCAGAGGAAGCCTTTTCTCTGCTCCAGTCCCAAATGCTTCCTGCCACTCACAGGAATGTCCCCATCTCTGTGTGGGGCACTTAGTCACTACCCCACTGCTGAAACCACCCTACTCAGCCACTGTCCCTGTCTCTAATTTGCACAGCAGCCTCACTGGCTGAGAGCACAGGAAGGGCAAGTAACTGTGGTGGAACACACTCCATCCTAGCTGCATCCCTTCCCCTGGTTCCCCATGACCACGAGTCAGTACAGGGGGCCATGTTAGGCAGACAGCTGTGGCTCAGAGTGCCCAAGCGGTGGGGCTGAACACATTCCCAAAGATGGGGTGGCCCTGCTTCCAATGAGCTACTCCAGAACAAGGCCCGAGGGCCAGGAAGAAGCTGTGCAGCCACAGCCAGACCAACCCCAAAAGCTCCAGGAACACCTTCCCATGAGTACTTCCCAGGGAGTACTCACAGGGACCCAAGAAATCATGATGAAAAATTCTAGCTCCTGAGTCAGAAATGGATCTGGAGAGAAAGAGGTGCTTATAGGAGAAAGGCTAGCATGTACAAAGGCTCTGGGGCAGTGGGACAGGGGCTTGCAGAGTGGGAGATGAGGTCACAGAGGTGGGCAGGGAAAAAGGACAGGGCTGCGTTCCTAAAGGGCTACACAAGAAGCCCCAGGAGGGGGCTATAAATTAACAACCGTTGCAATTTCATTCACTACTTTAAAAACTTTTTCCATTACCAGGCATGATCGTGTAGCCTGGCAATCCCAGCACATGGGAGGCTAAGGCAAGAGAGTATCTGGGAGATGAAGGCCAGCGCAGGCTACATAGCAACTTCAAAGCCAGGTTGAACTATGTAGTAAGCCCCTGTCACAACAGATTAAAAACTAAAGATAAAATAAAAACTCCTGATTCTAGACCAAGTAAGATCTGCCAAAGGGGTAGGGTAGTGGCCAAGAGACCCGGTGGAGCTGGGCAAGCATCGGGGCGGACGGTGGCCAGCTGGGCCAGGGTGGGAACCAGGGATGGACTGTGGAATGCTTCGGAGGTGGCAGCGCTGGACCCCTCAGGCTGGGAACGAGGGGGCCCGCGCAGGCGTGGCAACAATTAACTAAGGACAACCTGGGGGTCGCACATGTGGCTCACCATCCGATCCCTGCTCCCCACACCCCGACACTGGGCCGGAGGCTGCAGTCACCCGGACCAGGACTCCCCTGGCCTGCGAGGCGCCAACTGTGAGGATTCCCGCCTCACCCCACGCCACAGGTGAGGCCACCAAGCACTGAACCCCCCGGCAGGCCGGGGGTTTCTAGCTCCCGGCGGTCTGTGAGGTTCACTTGGAGGTGAAGGGCCGACGTAGCCAGGTATGTCACCGCTTCACTCTGTAAAGTCGCATCCCGGGCGCGATGCGACGCTGCTTCTCTGAACGTCACAGTCCCGCGAGGTCCGTTCCCAGACCCCTGTTACCGGAGCGAGGCCGGAATGGGAGAGAGGCGGCAAACCCTCCGGTGACCGGGCGGCCCAGGATGGGGGAGGGTCCGGCTATGGCTGGCGATGTCGCACTTCCTCTGGCGACAAAGCCCCGCACATCGTGTGTCAAGCCCCCTCCTCCTCCCTGGCACACCGACCGGGCTCCCAAGCCCCCCGAGACACAGAAGCCCGGGACCCGCCGCGCCAAGCAGGGGACCGAACCGGGGTCTCCATGGACCCCACCCTACCCAGGCCACTTCCGGGGGGAACTACGACCCGGAAACGGACGCGTTGTCAGGGACTAGGAGCCAAGCTAGGGTCAGGGGTCGGGGAACGAGCCGAGACGGGGACGGCAGGAAGCTCCAGGGAAGGTCGGAGGTCACAGGTCGGCGAGAGGGTCGGGAAGAACCCCCGAAGGGGTCAGGCAGGGCAATGAGAGGCCGCGGGGACTACGAGGGGCGGTAGTCCCGTGGCACTCTGTGGACTAGTGGAAGGAGGCGCGGGTCTGCGGCTGCCCTTACCATCTTCTGTTCCCTCCGTCGCCGCCTGAGCCGCCGCCGCCACCACAGCCGCCTTCTCAGCCGCCGCCGCACAGCAACTTCCAGCCGCGGCACAGCGCACACTGATGGCGCCGCCACGCCCTACCATTGGCCCTCACCCTAGTCCCGCCCCTACTGAAAGTCCTCTGCGTAATTCCATTGGCCAGACCTGCTAACACACGAACCCATTGGCTGCCACGCCTCCTCTCTTCACTATCAGGTTCGGTTGAAAAAGCAAAGCCCCCGCCCAGAACCAGGAAGGCACAGAGAGCAGGAAGTGAGCGGGGGCCACGCCGCAATGCCCTTATGGGAGTTGTGGTTCACAACTACAGGAGCAGTAGGTGCCCCTCTCTTCGGTAATCTCAGCACTCTGGAGGCTGAAGCGGAGGGCCGCTGTAAGTTGGATGTTCCTGGGCTAGGACAGCGAGTTCAACCCCAGTCTGAACAGAATATGAAACCCTATTTCAAAAAAAACAACAACAAAAAGGGCCGGGAATGTAGCTCAGCGGCACAGCGCCTGCCGGGCAAGCGTGAGGTCCTGCGGTAGATTCCCGATACCAAAAACAAACAAACAAACAAACAAAAAATCATCCTTGGGTTTGAGTAGTCAGCTACACACTAGCTACTTGAACTATTCTTTTTTTAGTCTTTGAAATCAGGGTTTCACCTATAGTTAAGACTGGCTCTGAACTATGTAGCCCAGGCTGGCCTCAAATGTGCAGTGTTGCTCCCGCCTCAGCCTCTTGTTTCAAGCATAGGCCACCATGCCCGGCCTTGAATTACCTTTCTGACAACTCAGACTTGCTCAAACGCCTCCTGTGGCTCCCTAGTCACCCACTGATCCAGCCCCACTTCCTGAGCCCCAAATTCCAGGTCCCTCCAGGTTCCCTCATCCACCTGTGTTGTGCTCTCTACCCGATGGCTCCCACAAGACGCTGCCACTTTTCTCAGGAAGGCTGTAGAGTGCACTTTTCCCAAAGCCCAGTGTGAGCTCCTCCGACCCCCAATCCCACTGTCAAACTGCCTGGGTCCAAGACCACTTGTTCTACTGGACAGAGAGATGGCTGCTTCTGAACAAGAATGTATGCCTCACACACAGCAAATGCTCAGCGAACTGCTAATCAGAAGCTGCAAAGTATAATTATTCCACCACGGCAGCTCGCAAAGGAAAAAACCCCGGTACAGCCTGGAGGTCAGGCCTTGCCCATGGTGGCACCAACACCCTCAGGGCAGGTAGAGGGGACCTGTGAGTTACAATATTTTTTTAAAGTAGAGATTTGGGCACGTAGTAGACATTTAATTATATTTAGAAACCACTGATCATTTAGTGAAGACAGGAATTCGTTGACTATGCTTTCAAGATCCCTTATCTCAGAGATGGCGGCCTGAAATATTCACAGAAAATAATCCAATGCCTGAGATCAGCGTCTGAGTAACTCGGGGGAGGCAGAGGGCCGCGGATGGCCGGCGGTCACGCTGCGTGGGAGACACAGAGCGCACAGTTCGCTTCCGTAGACGGCTGCTTGGGTGCGGAAGCCTCCAATGTGCAAACGCATCAGGGGGGCCTGGCCAAGCATGGCTGCCACACCCCCATTTCCAGTCCTCCCAAAACCCTCAGGCCAGCCTCGTAATCTGGGTGCACTCCTGTCCACGCTCGCACACTGCCGAGGTTCGGGGGTCGCGGTCCTCAGTGAGTCAGCGACGCGCGCCCCTTGAGCATGCGGCGCAGCACGACCTGGACGCCGGCCGGGGTGCTCAGCCGCCGGACCCAGCCATGCTTGCGCTTTCGCTTGATGTTGCTCGGCTGGTATTCGTTCCCGCGCGCCTTGCCCCGAGCCTGCAGCGGGGCGGGAAGCCTCAGCCACAGCCGGGGCTGGAGCCACCTGTGGGGACGGAGAGACGGCGAGGAAGGTCAGCGGGAGCGTAATGTCACCGCGGCGCGGCGCCCAAGCTCTCTGAGCCTCGCCGGGACAAAGCCAAGTCGTAATCGGCGGGGCACGAAAGCGCAACGCGGCGTCGGGCCTGGCGGGCGGGGAAAGGCTGGCGCCAGCCCCTGAACCACCCTCATTCCCGATTCCGGGACAACTCACCTGCCACCCAGCTGCGTCACGGACCTTCCTGCGAGGCCCAGCAGAGAACCAGCCGCGAAAGCCATGGCCCGCGGCTGCCTACGCCGTCCAAGCCATCCGCGATCCCGGCGCCGCCGCGGAGCAAAGGCTTCTGGGACGTGTAGTTGATTTTGGTTACCGCGGGGCTTACCACAAGCTACAGTTCTACGCCTGCGCACCACAGCAAGGGCGCAGTTTTTCCCGTTGACCAGTAGGTGGCAGGCGAATGGCGCCGCTTCGACCTGCTCGAACGTGCAGGATATTACGCCTCAAGGCATGCTGGGAGTTGCAGTTCTTCCTCCTATTCGCCGACAGAGGGTGTCCCGGAGTGGCTGAGGCACAGCTGACAGAGGAAAAGGCTGGTTGGTCTTTTCACCCACAGCAGGAGCCAGGCAGATGGCAAACAGCTGGTTGGCAGCCTTTTTCTGGCCGCAGCCAAGTCTCCGCCCCGTGGCAGGAAGGCTGAGTTCAAGCTGTTTTCTTGTCCTTGAAGCAGTCCTGAACCTGTTTGAGCTTCCATTCCTCAAAATCTAAAACTTGTGTGTTACGAGATTGCCTGTGGCAGAGTTGGTTTTTTTTGTTTGTTTGTTTTTTTGTTTTTTTTTTAAGTCAGATCTACACTCTTCCCTCCTTACACATCTCCATCGGCCCAGGAAAAATATTCAGCTCCTCCCGCAGGTGGACAAAGCCCTCTTTATACAGGTTTCCGGAATTTCAGTCACATCCTTCCCCTCTGCCTGGTGTTTACCCGCCCCATTTATTTGTTTGTCTTTTAGGGATCAGAATCGAACTCAGAACCTTGTGCTTGCCAGGCAGGTGCTGAGATACATCACCAGCTCATCTACTATCCTTTAAATTCTCTCCTTCCTACCTTGCCCCTGCCATAGTTGAACCCTGACCCTCTCGGGTTCTCCAGGGCTCAGGCCCCTGCAGGAGCCAGGCCTTAGGCTAAGTCCCCTAAGTGCTCCCAGCAGCATACCCTCTTGGCTTGGGGCGGACCCAGCTTGGAGCTGTTCCCTGAATGAACAAACTGTGTGGACTCCCAGGAGTGCCCCTGTAGGCAGAAGTGTGTGGCTGGATATAATCCAGCTCTGGCAGCAAATTCTAGGGGCCGAATAGCGAGCAGCGAGGAGCGCTTAACCCCTCACCCTCCGAAACCGGTTTGGCAGCCTCCGACGCGACCACAGAGCTAACAAGGCGTGCAACCGCTAGCGCTCGCTCGCGGTGCATGCAGGCGCAATGATGGAGCTTTGCCTGCCAGGCAATCACACGAGGGAAATAGCAGCAGAGGATCCGAAACGGAGGCTGAGGGAATACTGGGCCAAGGTCACACTTCAGCAAAGAGCAGGGCCGGGATTTGGCCCTGGGCTTTCGACTCCCCACCTTGGGGCGTCTGCATGGTTCAGCGGGACCTCAGAGCTGTGGAGTCTGCTGCTGCAAACATCAGTTGCTGACTGGTTGTGAAACGTATTACCTAACTTCCCATAGCTCCTCCACTTCTTAAATAACGGGAACTGGCATCACACAGCCGTGGGTTCAGATTCCAGCCTTGGCTCCTGCTTGATTTGTGTCCTTTGTGAATCTCGGTTTCCCCGCTGAAATCGCAAAGCGCTGGGGGTTTTCATTTCTGTAATTCTGTAATGTAAAGGTCAACTCCCAGAAAGGAAGCAAGGGGGCTCCGTTTGGAAGGCACAGAGGGGTTCCGAGGTAGGCTCTGGCCAGGGAGACCGATTCTCAAAGCAAGGGCCTGAGATTGGCCCCTTCCAGGAGATGGAGCCCCCTGGGTCCTGGTTGTAACCCGGTCTGTGCTGCGCGCCAAGCCCCATCCCTCCCCTCTCCGCGGCGTTCCTAAGAGGGGCGGTGCTGTTGCTTCTAGAGCCCGCCCCCCGATGGAACTGCCGACTCTGATTGGACACCTAACTAGGCCAGCTCAGTTCTTAGCAGCGATAGGCCGAGGTTCCCGCCCGTCTGCTCGAGGATCCGCCCCTCTGGGAGGGATTTAAAGGGCTGGTTCCTTAGGTGGCGGCGGCGAGATGCCCCTGCGCTGACCGCCCGGGCCCGCGCTCGCCAGCGTAGACGCGCCCGGGCTGACCTCGCGGCACCATGTAAACGGCGCCCGCAGGCGGACGCTGCTTTCCGCGCCCGGGACCCTTCTGCCCAGCCACGGGCCCCGGGGCCCTCGATGAGGTGAGCGCGAAGTGAGCCCCGGGAGGGGAGCATCGGGGCCGCCAGAAGCTCCACCTCGGAGCAAAGGGGTTCGCAAAATCACGTTAGGGCACATAGGACGCTACAGAGCCCTAGCGGCTGCCAGCCTGCTGCAGGGATGATGGCAGCCGGGAAGCTGAGGCCGGCCCGGGAAGGGGGCCTGGCGCGCCCTGGAGTCGCGTTCCTCAGCGGGAGCGAGAGCCGCCTTGAGCGGGCGTGCGGCCTGTGTCTCTGCGCTGCAAGGCCGGCGCGGGCCGGGTTTCCAGCGCTCATCACGCAGCAGCACCCAGGCCCTGGATGGAACCGATCTTGGTCCCTTGCTGTAGGCCCCAGGCAATGGGGGTGCGCTGCGCGGGTGTCCCCTGGAGTTATGTAACCTCCTATGGTTGCCATGGACATGGGGGGAGGCGTCTAGGGCTCTTGCCCTAAGGGCTCCCTGCAGTCTTCGCCTTCATCCTCATCACCAGCCCTGGGGACTTGAGCGAGCGGCAGTGCCCGGATCCCAAGGTCCTGAGCCCAGGGCGCTGAGAACAGCTCCTTCCTGAGTTCAGGCCTCTGCCCACTCAGGCTCAAGACTGAGGCCTGCTAGGTCTTGTTCCCTCCTCCTCACGGAGCCCCGCCTTCAAGGGTTGGATTCAGAACTAGGTCCCTGAGGCTGGATGGGCACTGTTTAAAATGCCCTTGGGGAGCCGGGCATTGGGAGTACTCCTCTCATCCAGCGCTGGGAAGGCTGAGGCAGGAGGATTGCCCTGAGTCTGAGGCCAGCCTAGGCTACACAGTGAGCTAAGGCCAGCCCGCACTGCATAGTGAGACCTTGTCTTAAGAAAAAAAAAAGGAAAGAAAGAAAAGAGGAGTAGCAAAAGAGTACATGAATGAATGAGTTAATGAAAGAGTGCGTGAATAAGTGAATTACTGCAAGATGGCATGAAATTAAAACCTGCTCTTAGGAGGCCCTAACTGGCTAGGTTACATCTGCCACAATGTTGCCTTCTCCAGGAAGGCCCCCATCTACCCCTCGATTGCCTGCTGAAATGAGCCATGGCCAGGGCTTCGAGGGTGGGGCCATCAGCAGCACCAGCCTTTATGTGGGTCCGCACTGGTGCCTAGTATGCAACCCCCACCCTGCCACCCCCGTGCCACCCCTTTTCCCCTAGGACACGCCATGCTGACCGGGGTGACCGAGGGCTTCCTCTGCTGCCTGCTGGGCTCCACCCCCAACGCTGTGGGGCCGCTGGAGAGCGTCGAGTCGGGCGACGGATACACTTTCGTGGAGGTCAAACCAGGCCGCGTGCTGCGGGTGAAGCACGCGGGCCCTGCGCCCGCGCCTTCGCCCCCACCACCCCCAGAAACGGTGCAGGGCAACCGGGCAGGCCTGGTGCGCTGCCAGCGCCGAATCACCGTGTACCGCAACGGGCGGCTGCTGGTGGAGAACCTGGGCCGCGCACCACGAGCCGACCTAGGGCATGGGCAAGGCGACTGCGAGCCCCCGGCCGCGCTCGAGGTGGAGCTGGCCGAGCCCGCGGGGGCTGAGGGCCGCGCGCATGCTGGGGGCTCGGGGAGCGGGCGTCGGCGTCGCGCACGGCGCCCCAAGAGGACCATTCACATTGACTGCGAGAAGCGCATCACCAGCTGCAAGGGCGCACAGGCAGATGTGGTGCTGTTCTTCATCCACGGTGTGGGCGGCTCGCTGGCCATCTGGAAGGAGCAGCTGGACTTCTTTGTGCGCCTGGGCTACGAGGTAGTGGCACCCGACCTGGCGGGCCACGGGGCCAGCTCGGCGCCGCAGGTGGCCGCCGCCTACACCTTCTACGCACTGGCTGAGGACATGCGGGCCATTTTTAAGCGCTACGCCAAGAAGCGCAATGTGCTCATTGGGCACTCCTACGGGTAAGTGCTCAGCCTGGGTGTGGGGCGGGAGCAGCCCTAAGGCTGCTTCCTCCTTGACAGTGGCTGGAATAGTGGTGCAGCCAGTTGGGAGGCTGAGGCAGAAGGATCATAGAGTTCCAGGCCGGCATGGGCTATGTAGCCAATTTGAGACTGGTGTGGGCTACACAGTAAAGCCCTGTCTCAGTAAAGAAGAAAAAGGAGAGAGACAGAGAGAGAGAGAGAGAGAGACAGAGAGAGAGAGAGAGAGACAGAGAGACAGAGAGAGAGAGGAAAGGAAGGAAGGAGGGGGAAAAAAAGGCCGCTGGGTTGGGGCAGTGTAGCAAAGTGGCCAGCACTTGCTTAGGACATAGGAACCCCCACTTTGCATCTCCAACCTTGCAACAGAAAAGCAGGGGAACATTTTCTAAATTAACAAGACAAGAAGCAAGAAGACAAGAACTATTGCCATCACTGCCATGTAGATTGTTAAAAATTTATTCTTACACATTCTTGCTTAATGGTCTAAATTTGCAGGTACCCTGCAATCAAGTAGTGCGTCTATACACCCTGCAGTTACTCAGCCTGGGCAATTACCATGTTCACCCCCGAGGCTGTTTTTGCAGTGCTGCACCCCATGTCACAGGTGTGCACTTTGAGGGTCCCACACTGAATGGCATCTGCTAGTTTGTGTGGCTCATTCACATTTCCAGCACCTCAGGGTTACTTCCTGTTTGGAGTCGTCCTGCTCTTCTGATTGCTCATAAGGACTGTCTTCTGGTTAGTCACAGAGTAAGCCAAGCATGGTGGACTTCTTGGGAGACCGAGGTAGGAGGATGGCAAATACAAGGGCAGCCTGGGACATCCGTGAGATATTGTTGGGTGTCTCCAGGGGGAGGAGCAGAGGCTGTAGAAGCTTTCTCTGTCCTGCTTTATGCCAGGTCTCCCCTCTTTCTGCATGGAACAGATCGTTTCTTGTGGTGATTCTCTACCCCTTTGCTGTTGACCCCTGGGCCTGGCAGGTCTTTCCTGGGGAGGTGGAGGGTGCTTAGCAGCATCCCTGGCCTCTGCCCTGCAAAATCCCTTGCTGGAGAACACCTTGACCATCTCTACATGGAGCCATGTAGAGGTGTGGGCAGAGTCATGGCCACTGGGAATGGCTGCCTTAGACCTGCTTCAAAATCGGCTGCACTGGAGCTCTCTGCAGTGTACAAGGCTGAAGGGCTAAGCCCATCTGCTGGATTCCCTGCCCACAGGCCCAGGCCACTGTGACCCTCCCGCTTGGGGGGGCTGATAGTGTGCCTGGCACTGGGCAGGCCACTTCAGGGCAGCCGGTCAAGCTCTGTGTTAGGGATGACGGCCCACGCAGTTAGACAAGGAAAAGCCATCCTGAACCAGAAATGCAGCTCCTGTGATGGGGGTACACTCTGGAGAGCACGTGCTTTGGCTGTGGGCGCCCTTGCTCCATCACTTGCCCTGAAGAAGAAGAAGAAACAGAACTCTGATTTGTTTCCATTATGTCTCCACTTGTTGATGTTGTGACATCTGGATGCCTCTAGTTCAGCTAGCACCCATTCCTGTGACCTCATAATGATCTTGTTACCACTTCACAGACATGGAAATGGAGGTTTAGAGAGCTCGAGCAAGCCACCCAGGTCACACAGGACTCCCTGCAGTCTCAGCTTGACCCTGCCCATTTCTCTCCTCCGGGCAAGAATGAGCATGAGTCCTCACCCTTCCCTGCCCCGTTGCCCCTTTTCTGATGCTGAGCACAGACTCTGGGGCCTCCCTCCTGCTAGGCAGCTGCTCTACCACTGAGCTCTGCCTCAAACCACAGCAAACATTTTCTTAAAGGACCCAACAGAAAAACATTTGGTCTACAGGCCATAGAATCTGTCAAAACTTTGCAAATGATGTTTTTGTTTGTTTTTGTTTCATGAGATAGGGTCTCCATATGCAGTTCAGGCTGTCCTTGATCTCACTCTGTAGCCCAGGCTGGCTTCAAACTTCCTACCTCAGCCTCCTGAGCACTGGGATGTCAGGCGTTTGTTACCATACCCAGCACAGCTGCATTTCACTAGAATTTGATTTACAAAATAGTATACAAATCGCCAAAATCAGAAACCTTATTTACAAAAGCAAGCAGCCAACCCCAATTTAGAGGCCCAAGCCTGTCATCCCAGCTACTACTTGGGAGGCTAAGACAGGAAATTGCAAGTTGGAGGCCAGCCTGGGCAATTTATTGACATCATACCTCCAAATGAAAAATAAAAAGTGCTAGAGGTGTAGCTCTATGGTGGGTAGTTTGCCTAGCATGTGAGAGTCGCTGGATAGCAACCTCAATACTGAAAATAAAATGCATATAGAAATAAGGTTCTAGACCTGGATCCTCTAAGTGGCAAACACCCCAACTCCTAACCTGACAATTTCTGGACAAGCAAGGGGCCTCAGCGCCCACTTGGGAGCATCTGTGGCTGCACCCGGTGACCTCTGTGCTCCATCCTTTCCCCTCTTCCCTTCTGCCAGCGTCTCCTTCTGCACCTTCCTGGCCCACGAGTACCCGGACCTGGTGCACAAGGTGATCATGATCAACGGTGGCGGCCCCACGGCTCTGGAGCCCAGCATCTGCTCCATCTTCAACATGCCCGCGTGCGTCCTGCACTGCCTGTCACCCTGCCTGGCGTGGAGCTTCCTCAAGTGAGTGCTGGGTCTGTGACTCTGCTCCTCTCCCCGAGGTGGGGCCAGAGGGAGGCTGCAGGTGTCCCGACAGGGGTCCTGGGCCCTGCTGGCAGTGTCTCCCCACACAGGGCCGGCTTTGCACACCAAGGGGCCAAGGAGAAGCAGCTGCTGAAGGAGGGCAACGCGTTCAACGTGTCGTCTTTCGTGCTGCGGGCCATGATGAGCGGCCAGTACTGGCCTGAGGGTGATGAAGTGTACCACGCCGAGTTGACCGTGCCCGTGCTGCTTGTCCACGGCATGCACGACAAGTTCGTACCAGTGGAGGAAGACCAGCGAATGGCAGAGGTAGGAAGCGGACTGACTCCAGGAGCGGCCACATCCATCTATAAAATGCAGGGCTTACAGGCTTGGCCCCTTGGTGGATGTGGCTTTCCTTGTGGGTGTGGTTCTCCAAGGGGCAAAGCTTCCGAGGTGGGTGTAGCTTCTTGGAGGGCGGGGGTTTGGGGGTGGGCGTGGCCATGCCTGTGGGTGCGGTCTGGAAACTGGCACAGCTGGAAACTGTGTAAACAAAAGTTTCTGGTGGGTGTGGCTTTGTGTCGCTGGGGTCTATGTTTTTGGGTGTACTTGTGTCTTCTGGCCCCAGAGGAATGGGAGCAGTAGATCTGGAGTCAAAGGTAGACTCACACTGCAAAGCAGGGCTCTTGTGTCCCCATTCCCCGTAGTAAGAACCTCTTCCCAGCTGAGGATTTGCGGGAGACCAAGGACCGTTAATATAAATTTTACGAAGGAGGGTCAGGGATCTTTAGATTAAAGGCCCTGCGACAAGATCTCAGGGCCTTCGGCACTACAGATAGCCCAACACTGGCGTTTTTAAACAAAGTGTGAATCGCTTCTCGGGCTTTTGGCTAAGATCGAGTGTAAACCAAGTGTGAGCGGGGCTTGGTGATGCACCCCTGTAGTTCTAGCACTCTGAAGCTGAAGCGGGAGGATCGTTGTGTTTGAGAGCAGCCTGCACTACATAGCAAGACTCTGTCTCAAAAATAAACCAGTAAACAGTGAGGACTATTCTGTCACATACACACATACACACACACATGCACACCCTGGGACACTTGGAAATGCTTGGAGACTCCCAGAACATCCTCACCTCAATTGTCAGTGGGCTAAGGCTTGAGAGTCCCAGTTTTTGTCACCAGAGAGTCACTGGGCAATATTCGGAAAGTTTAGTTTTTGGTTATTGTGGAGGTTTTGTGTTATAAATTATGGTACTGAGGATTGAACTCAGAGCCCTCCCACTGACTACATCCCCTGCCATTTTTGTTGTTGTTGTTGTTGTTTGTTTGGTTTCTTTTGGCACCGGGAATCAAGCTCACGACCTGGCAGGCGCTGTGCCGCTGAGCTGCATCCTTTGACCCACGTTTTATTTTTGACCTGGGCTCTTGCTAACTCGCCAGGTTGCCTGGAACTTTCGAGCCTCTGAAAGTGCCCACAGGCCTGGCTTATTTGGGGAGGTTTCTGGGATGACACATTGTATGCGATAAGGTCAGGTCGCTCACAGGGCGTACCTCTGCAGATTCTGCTGCTGGCCTTCCTGAAGCTCATCGATGAGGGCAGCCACATGGTGATGCTGGAGTGTCCTGAGACGGTGAACACGCTGCTGCACGAGTTCCTGCTCTGGGAGCCTGAGCCTTTGCCCAGGGCTCTGCCGGATCCCCAGCCCGCACTGGCGGAGGAGAAGTAGCTGAGAGGACAACAGTGCTGAGCAGAACCGCAGCCAATCAGGTCTGCGGACGGGCCCCTGAGCGGGGCATTCACGGTGGTGGGCGGTCCGCACCTCGGTAGGCGGGGCCTGGTGGGAGACGCCCCCAGGCCGCGGGCCCGCGCTTGCGCGGAGGGACCCGGCCTACTTCCGGCTTGCGCGCTCGGTGCATTCTGGTCGGTGGTGGACGCTGAGGTTGTACAGAGGCCCCACCGCGCGCCCTCCCACCGCTCTGTCTTCCGTGTCGCCTGTGCTTGCCCTGGGGCTCTCCTCCTTCCCCTCGGAAGGGGGTTCGGTTCTGTTGCCCGAGACCCGCACCTTTGCCCAACTCCTCAGCGCTGGGAGCTATTGTTGCCCAAGGGGGGAGGGACTGGGGCGGGGCTGACTTCCGAACTGCACATCTTTACTGAAACTCAATAAACATTAAGTGACAATCCGAGTTTCCAGCCTGTGCAGTGTAAGCCAGGGCGGGGCCTACACCAACCCCCACCCCCAGCCCCAGTCTCCCTCCCCAGGGCTGACCTTGGGACCTGGGGGGCTGGCTGGCTTCCTGAGGTCTAGCCCACCTGTGGTCTGAACTGCTGGTTTGGTGACTGTGTCCCTGACATCTGGTCAGCACTCCCCCCCCCAATGCACAGGGATGGTACCCGGGGCAAAGAGCCATTTAGCCTAAGCTGAGTATGGTGGCAGATGCCTGTTTACCTCAGCCTGGGGAGGCCAATGCAGGAGCATGGCAAGTTTGAGTCCAGCCTAGGCAACTCACTGAGACTCCATCTCAAAGTAACATTAGAAGAAACTGGAGAGGCCGGATGCAAGCTTGTAATCCCAGCACTTGGGAAGCTGAGGTGGGAGGATCGCTGCAAGTTTGAAGCCAGCCTGGCTTACACAATGAGACCCTGTCTCAAAAAAACAAAGAGGCTGAGAGTGTCGCTCAGTGGTAGAACCCTGGCTTAGGCTGGAGGAGCCCAGATCCAGTTCTTAGCATCTCAGAATGAACAAAAGCTCTGGGGTTGGCACTCAGTGGTGGAGCTCAGGCCCACTCCTTCTTCTTCCTTGTACTACAGATCTCAGTCAGGAGCCTCAGCAGTGAGCAATTTATCGAGCCACATCCTCAGCCCTTTTTATATTTTATTTAGAGATCAGTTTCACTGTCACCTTCTGCCAGGACTGGGATAGCAGGCCTGCGCACCATTGTCCAGAGTCCAGCCGCTTCCCTGCATCTGCCTGTGGGAATCTCCAGCCAGGGAATCTCTGTCCATGGTACACACTGAGGCCAAGGGAAGCATGGGACCTGGACAGTGCCCTTGGCCCAGCAGGAGTGAACCTGGCTCTGAGAAGGGCAGATCCCCATGGGGAGCTGAGGAAACTTTGGCTGGTCCATCTCTGGGTTCCATCTAGGACCTAAAGGTGGACTGGGAGCCAGTCCCAGTACTCAGAGGCTGAGGCAGGAGAATCAAGGGCAGCCTACACTACACAGCTCAGAGTCTCAACTAAAAAAAGTGTCTTGGGCCATGTTATGGTAACATCTAAAAACTGTCTCCCCAAAGCCTGTGTGTGGCAAGCGATGGATCATAGGGTGCTGTGCTCATCTGTGTGTTCATTCAGGGAGGAGGTCACAGCTGAAAGTGCTGTAGGAGGCAGGGCTTGGCTGCAGAAGGTCACTGGGTATGACCTGGAATGTGCATTCTTGTCCCTAGCCCCTCCCATCTCTTTCTGCTTCCTGACCACCATGAGGTGAACAGCTGGCCTCTGCCTGGGCCTTCTGCCATGATGTTTCCACACTGGAGCTGGCTGACCATGAACGGAATCCTTAAACCAAAATAAACCTCTCTTCTTTCTGTTTTTGGTACTGGGACTCGAACTCAGGACCTCCCAATTTCCAGGCAGGCACTGTGCCGCTGAGCTACATCCCCAGCCCAAATCTCTCTCCTTTTTAGTTGTGGATGTCAGGAATTTTGTCCCAGTGATAAGAATGTGACTAAGATGATGCACAAAAGGCCAGCCATGGAGATGCACATCCAGAATCCCACTACTCAGGAAGCAGAGGCAGGAGGGCTTACTGGGCTGCATGGTGAGACCCTGTCTCAAAAAGATAAGACATTCCTCAAAGACTGCCAGAGCACCGAAGTATTCCAAATCACCTTCTGGTTGCCCCTTGGTTTCTTCCCATGATGGGGAGCTCACTCCCTCTCCAGCAGTCCCAGGCTCACAAAGCCCTCCCTCAGACTGAGGTGGGGGCTACCCTAGTGCTCTTGACATACATATGCACATGCACACACATGCGCATGACCTGCTGTCTGTAGCCACTCACAGTGGGGTCTGCTCTCGGCACCAGGATAGCAGGCACCATCCTCGCCATCTGTCCATGCTGGGTAGCTGACTCCAGAGCTCAGCCTCGAGCCTGGATATCCTGGGGCTGCAGCTCCCGCTCCCCCTCAGCCAGGAAGATGAGCAGGGCGCGATACAGAAGGTACACCCCCAGGCGGCGACGCCGAGCTGCAGGCCAATTCACCAGCGTGCCATAGTAGTGTCCTTGTTTCTGGTTGGTCAGCATCTGGACTCCTGAAGACACAGGAAGCAGGGTCACAAGACTGGTCTCGGTGCCCCTTCCTGAGCAGGAGGTGGCAGTAAAAGACATCCTGACTCTCCCTCAAGTGAGGACAAATAGTTGAAGCCAACTACATGCACATGTGTGTATTCAGGGGTGCTCAGTAGTTGCTCATTTGGCAAGCAAAGGAACAGCCAGGAAAGAGAAGGGCTGAGGCACCCACCTAGAGCATCCACCAGGCAGGCTTCTCGTGTGTAAGCCTCCATGGCCACCACATGCTGGAAGCAGTGCAGGGAGACCACGCCGCGGCCACTGGCCCAGATGTCCAGGATCCGGCGCACCTTGGGGCAGGCCTGGGGACGGGTGGGGTTCAGGTCACTTGTGAGCCACCTCCCACAGCCTGGCCATGCCTGCTCCTTCCACCCAAACTGACCCATCGGCATACCTGTCTTGCTGGCCGCCCGCGGTAGCCAAGTGCTTCCCAGAGATGGGCATCTGGCCGGGTGCGTGTCCCCTTGCCCACATAGAAGATGGCACGGGCAAAGCTCTGAAGACACTGGGCCAGTGTCAGCGAGAAGGCTTGGGCAGTTAAGTCCTGGGTCTCCCTGGAGAGAGGGGAAGGCTGGGAAAGTGACTGAGGCCCCAGAGAGGGTCCCCAGCACCACGGAGCCCGCACCGGGTCCTCAGCTGGAGGACAGAGACTGCCTGTTCCCGGGACTTCCAGCCCTTTTCTGCAGACACTGATGCCAGCAAGAGCCGCATCTTGCCCAGGGACATAGCAAATGTGACCTCCATCCCCGTCCCAACCTTCCACCTTGGGCACCTGGGGTCCAGCAGCAGATACGTGAAGCTGGACTTCGCAGTGCCCTCCCGCCACTTCTTTGCAGGATCCAGCTGCTTGAACTGTTGGGCCAGCGCGTCCTCGTCAGCCTGGGAGTCAGGGATGCAGCCTGTGCGCAGGGCCTCGGCCAGTTCTGGGCTGTACTGTGAAAAGTCTGGGATGGGAGGGGAAACTGAGTCACAGAGCTGGAGGAAGGGTGATTCGGGGACTGAAAGCCGGGTGGCCTGGACTCTCCACCCCAAGATGGACTCACCGGGTGCAGCACCAGCTTTTTCCTGCTGCCAGAGGCCACGTGGCTTTTGGTTGAATGGAGCGGCTGGGTCATGACTGTGCCCAAGCACTGGGGACCTGTGCAGCTGCTGCAGGCCAGGAATGGCAGGGACGGGCAGACACTTGCCAGTGGGGACAAGGTCCCTGTGCTCCGTGGTGCTGGTGTCCTTCTCCATCAGCCAAAGGGCAGCCATGTCACTGCCAAGGGACAGCTGCTCCTCTGCCAGGGGGCAGAAGCTAGGTTGCTGGCTGCAGCTGTGGGCTGTGCCTGTGGCTGGGAGGGGTGGGAAGAAGGTGGCCCGGGGTGGGGACAGAGTCATGGCCCATAGCCGGGAGCTGAGCTCGGCCTCCTCGCTCAGTGGCCCTGGGCTGGCTGCTTGCATGGGTCCGTGCTCTGCCTGGGGCAATGACCAGTCCCCGACAGAGTTTCTTTCCAGGGCTGTGTCCTCCGAGCCAGAAACTTCCACTGCGGTGACAAAGGCCTCGTTGGAGCTACTGTCCCAATCCCCATCTTCACCAGCAGCCTCCAGGGGTTCAGCAGGACTCGAGACCTCCCGGCTGGGGCCCAGGCCCATGTCCCCACACTTGGGCTCAACCTGATGTGAGGTGGGCTCCAGGGTCACCTTGGAGGACACGAGGACGTCTCCTAAAGACGGAGATCAGAGAGGAAGGGGGGACAGACATGGTGTCAGCTCAGACACTGGGATCGGGTGTGGCAAGAAGAGAGGCAGAAGAGCCGAGCGTGGTGGCTCATGCCTGTAATCCCAGCACTCAGGAGGCTGAGGCAGGAGGATCAATGTGAGTTCGAAACCAGCCTGGGCTATAAAGTGAGCTCAAGGCCAGCCTGAACTGCATAGCGAGACCCTGTCTCAAAAAAAAAAAAAAGAGAGGCAGAAAGGGAAGGGGACAGTTGCTGGTCTGTAATCCCAGCACCCAAGAAGCTGAGGCAAGAGGATCCTAAATTCAATTTAGCCCAGACAATTTAGCTAGTTAGGGCTGGGGATTTAGCTCAGTGGCAAGAGCGCCTGTCTTGGAAGCAGGCAGTCGTGAGTTTGATCCCCGGTACCGATAAAAAGACAAAAAAAAAAATTTAGCTAGTTAGTGAGACCTAGTCTCAAAATTAAATAGAAAAAGGGGCTGGGGGTGCGACTCAGTGAAAAGGTGCCAGGCTTCATCCCCAGTAGAAAGGAAAAGACAAGAAAATCAGACCGGCTGGAGTCTCACAACCACATCCTGCTCAGGCCCGGGCGCAGCTGGGCCCCAAAGCCCCCTCACCGTGGGTCCCCGTGGTCGCTGTCACCGTCCCCGAAGCTGGGTAGCCTGGGGAGCACAGGCCCCGCAGGACGCGTGCGCAGGCCGCGTGTCCCTGCTGCTCTGCAAGGTCCAGCGGCCGGAGACCGTCCTGGGGGGTAAACAGCAGAGCAGTGCTCGGTCACTGTCCCTGCCCGCGGTCCCCGCCCGTGTCTCCGCCCCCACACCCCCGGTCCCCACCTGGTCGCGCAACGTTGGGTCCGCCCCGTGGCGTAGCAGCAGCTCCAGGCTGCGGAGACAGCCCCAGGCGGCGGCCACGTGCAGCGGAGTCAGCGCTTCGGTAGAGCTGCGAAGGGGCCAGGGTCACCGTGGGCAGGGCCACCGCTCCGACCCGTGCCCGGGACCTGACCTCCAGCCAGACCGCAGCCCTGTATCCCCTCCGTCCTCGCCCGGGCCTCAGGCGACCCCGCTTACCGGGCATTGGGGTCCCCGCCGCGCCGTAACAGGGCCCCAAGGCAGCACAGAGCGCGCCGGCGTCGTGCCCGGGCTGCCAGGTGCAGGGCGGCAGCGCCGTCCTGCAGCACCAGGTTGGGGTCTGCGCCGCGAGTGAGCAGCGCCTCCACCGCCCTGCACAAGGGCGGGGTCAAGGGGACCCGGGACACAGATCAGGGGGGCCAGGACACGGATCAGGGGCACCCGGGCAGGGATTGGGGGTCACCCAAGCTGGGGTTTAGGAGGAACCACCCAGACCTCGGCTCCGGCCCACCTCGGCTCCTCCTGGACTAGCGCGGCCCGAAGCTTCTGGGCCAGGCGGGCCGCGGTGTCTGTGTCGTCGGCTGCGGCGCCCATGTCCCCGCTGAGTCGCCGCTCACAATCCGGTGCTGCCTTGTTTCAATTTCCCGCGGCGACCGAGTGCGCACGCGCAGCCCCACTCCCGGACTTGGTCGCTGCGAGGCGCCCGCCAGCGTAGAAACGGCGTTCTCATTCTTCTGGGGGTTTGGTGACCGCGGAGCTCGGACACCCTCGGTGGCGCGCTGGGGAGGCCTGGGCCGGCCGATAAGGGGCGTGGGGAGGCCAAGGGTGTGCCGTTATCGGGTCGCCAAGATGGGGCTCGGAACGCACCCTCGGGAAAAGGAGGAGCCAGGCCAGGAGGCCAAGACTCGGGTGTCCTCGCGTCCGCCGGAGCGGCCCCCCTTAGCACACCAGACCCTTACGTTGCCCCGAATGGGCTCGAACTGTTCGACCCTCCTGCCCGAAGGGCCAAAATGACAGTTCCAGCTCCAGTTTTAGCTCCCGCTTCCAAAAGCTGTGCCCCTTCTTTAGCCTAGCACAGCTGAGCCTACTGCTCTGCCGGCCGATGCCTTCGAGGGCTCCAACTTGTCATCTGCATGCCAGGAGTGTGATTCGGCACGGGAGGAGACCCGCGGCAGGTGCCCCGCCGGTGCCACGGGAGGAAAGCGGATCCTCAGTAAAAGCTGTGTTCGTTTTGCCAAAACTGAGCGTATTTCACTGGCGAACTCGTCATTACCTGGGCTCAGGTCAGCGAAGGGGCTGAACTGGACCCAGTGGAAGGGTTGCATCCTTTGGGGTAGGGGCGTTGCCAGATGTCAATCTTTTTCCCGGAAAAGTGAATGACCCAGACCTAGCCAATCAGAGAAGCCCAGAAGCCTGGACCATGATTGGCTCACAGTAGAATCACGTAGCCACACAGGTTCAAACCTCTGTAGTGCTGGAGCGCGGCCACACCCCTTCCCGAGTCCCTAGCCAAGGGTGGGCAGCGCCCCCCGGTGGCCCCTCCGTGGCCTTCTGGTCACTGCCCCACCTGTAGCTGCAACCTCAGCAGAAGCCATTGGCCTGTGCTCACCTGCCCCAGGCTGGATTAGTATCACACAGATTTTATTTTGATGCCAAAAATCACCAACGGAACAAAAATGACAAGTGACAAATGGCATGTGCCAATGAACACGTCGAGTGCACAACTGGGACTCCAGGGCGCCCCCAGTCCAGGGATTCGGGCAAGGGCCTGCAGGGGCCCTGGGCACTGCCGGGGAACCAGTGGGGTACCACAGCATGCAGAGGCTGCCACCCTCGCGTGTGTCACACGGTGGCCTCGACCTCGGCAGCCTCATCGTCACCCTCCAGCAGGCTGTAGGATGCGTGGCTCTGGCAGGGCCGCTGCAGTGGGTGTGCCAACAGCTTCGCCATGCAGTTATGCAACTCTAGGGCCGGACCGGCCAGTGGCACCTCGTACTTGTAGCTGGTACCCTTGGTATCCAGGCTGCCCATGAAGGCGAACATATCCTGGGAGACAGAGAGGGGTTGTTCAGACTGCCCTTCCCCAGCACAGGCCATCCCTGTCCCAAAGGAAGGGACATCTGGGATGGGCTCTGCAGGGTAGAGTTGTCTGCCAAGCAGAAAACATGTATTCAGTCAGCAACCTTGATGCCCACCTGGCATTATGGAACCCTAAAGGTCTCTGTTCTGGCCCTCTAACAGCCCCCAAGCCCTGCAGTGTGTAAAAACAGACACAGATGCATCTCCCAGCCCTGTGATGATCCTACCTGAGTATGGGGAAAGGCACTGCAAAGGAAGGCCTTTTGACAAGGGTATTGAGGGGAGTAAGAGATGGTCTCACTGTTCATACAGATATACAAGTGGCCCACTTGAGATCTTACAGCTTGGTGATGGCTAGGATGTGCAGGGCCATCAACCTCAGGAGGATGTAAGGACATGTGCTCTGGGCTGAGAGCAAGGCCAAGGCAAAGCAAGAAAAAAAGGAAGCAGGAAAGCTGTGTGGTGGGGAAAAATGAGCCTGACATGCTCCTTTTGCCACCGTGCCCACCAAATTCAGTCTCCACCAGCTCGCGGCAGACACGTGGGGAATGGTTGTTGAATGACTGAATGATCAACTCTAAGGCCCAGGGCTCCCAGCTACCAAGTGGAGGCAGACTCCAGGCAGGCAGCTCTCACCTGCCAGCTCAGCTGCTCCTCCTTCTCCTCGGTGCCATTGTGGATATAAACAACATCGAAGAAGAAATACGGGCACTGGAACATCTTCTGCAGAGAGGATAGCGGCTGGGATGCAGTGACCCCGACCCCCAGGCCTGCCCACTGCTTCCTGCCAGGAGGCCCCATGCACATGCGCACACCTTCATGGGCTCGGTCAGTGTGAACTGCGGCTGGCGCGGCGGGCGGCTGTACACCAGAATGGTGCGCACCACGTAGGGTGGAGGGATGGTCTGCAGGCTCTCAGTCACAGGCAGCTCGGTCTTCTGCTGGCTGCAGGTGTAGGGTACAGGGCTCAGAGCTCAGAGCACAAGGCCCAGTGGGGCCCTCCTTCTCCCTCTCCCACTCTGACTCCTACCCCCTGGGACTGCTAGCAGTTCCTTGGTCCCTACCAGGCCGGGCACACCTCAAGAGGGACCCGGATTGTGTTTCGGTTCTTGGGGTGGAACCTGGGGCCTTCACACAGAGCCACAGCCCAGGCTCAATTCACTAATTTTTTTATTTCATGACAGGGTCTCGCTAAGTTGTTACACTGCCTAGGCTAGGCTAGAACGGTCCATCCTCCTGCCTCAGCCTCTTGAGTGTCAGGATGGTGGGCAGGCGGACCCAGGCCTAGCTAGGATAAAGATATTTATTTAACACATGGCCTCCTACAGAGTTTGTGACTCTAGGTCACAACCAGCTTAGGGGCTGTGGCCTCAGAGAGGGGTGCCCGAGGCAGTATCTGCAGGAGACATCTTGCAAAGTATAAATGTGCAATGGTGCCAAGGCGCAGGCTGGTGAGGAGGCCCCAGGACGCTGACTGGAAGGCTCCTGTTTAGAGCCTTCACCCAGGGGCACATGCTCCTTGCCTTTTGCCTTTTCTAGGTGCCGGCACGTGAACCCCGGGACCCCACACTTGGCAGATGAGTGCTCCCTGGGAGCCATACCCCACCATGCCATTTGCCTCTGGGTCACTCACATGAGGCTGAAGAGTCCTTCAAGGTCTGGGGGGGACGCTAAGGAGAAGGCTGGAGCAGAGTATGGGAGGCAGAGGCAGGCGGGTTCTTGACTCTGCAGCTGGGAGCCCAACGTCTCCAGGGACTGGCGGTGTGATCCGCCAGGCAACCTGGACTCCCTGAGCAAATTACCTCCCAGCACTGATCACAACCCGGGCCCCAGCCCTGTGCCCCTCTGTGAGGGACAGGACTGCTGTCTTTCCAGTGCCAAAGCCATGGGCATCTCACTCGCCACTTTCCTCAAATTCACGGGGTTTGTTTTCTATGGGCATCTGGGCCACCTCTGCACCTTATTTTTTCCACTACTAGGAACTGACCCAAGGGCCTTCACACAGAGCTGCTCCCCAGCCCTTTCTCTTCATTTTGCGACAAAATCTTCCTAAGTTACTAAGTTACCCAGGCAGGGTTCGAACTTGGGATCCTCTTGCTTCAGCCTCCCAGAGTGCTGAGAAGACGTGTGGGGCACCATACCCTGCTCAACCCTGACCTGTGGGCAGTTTTGTGCAGCCCAGGACAGATGGGTCACTGGCCCCACCCTGCCACAGCGGGGACCACTGGCTGCCCAGCTCAGGTCTGCAGGGAGCCAGGTGCCAAGTTGCCAGCAAAAGGATACTGAAGGTGGAGCAGGAGGCCGTCTCCAGGTCGTACAGGCAGCTGCACAACTCACGTGGGTCGGAGGTCAGGCCAGATAGCTGCAGGGACACAGGTTTCAGTGGGTTTCCCTGGCCCCCAGCCCCCTAGTTCCTCTCCTGGCCTACCCATGCCGTGTCGTCATTCACCACCACCAGTGCAAACTCATGGCTCTTGTCGATCTTGTGCTTTGTCCTTACAAACATCTCAATCATCTTCTGGGAGACATTGAGGGCGTTGGTTTTGGAGCTGCGAAGGCACAGTAAAGGGTGAAGGACTGAGCACAGAGGGTCCTAAGAGCCAGCCCTGTGGACCTCAGCATTCACACCTTTCTGGGGGGCCCCTCTGGCCAGCTTGGGGCACATGTCAAGGTCCCCAGGGAGGCCTCACTAGACTTTTCCTCCTCCATGGGGGCCCAGGAGTATCAGGTGAGGGAAGCCACAGACAGCGTCTCACTCTGTGGCCCAGGCTGATTCTCAGCTCCCAGGTTCAAGCAATCCTCCTGCATCAGCCTGCTAAGTAGCTGGGACTTCGGACATGTGCCACCTTTTGGCTCCTATTCTCTGCAGCTCCCTGAAACTCCTGGGGATGCATCCAGGGATGCCTTCTGTCTGCATGGGACTCAGCTGCTTGCACCCACGACTCCACCCAAGGCTGGGATTAATCCTGGTTCTGCCTTTTAGCACCCCAAGCCTGCACCAAACTGGCAGGGCCCCCAGGGACCTCCTAGGTGGGGCCAATCTGTTCCTGCTATGGCCATGTGTCAAGTCCCTCACCCTTTCCTCACCCATTAAATGACTCCAGCTTTGGCAGTGACATCTCCTCAGACAGATCCAGGCAGATGATCTGCAAGAAGTTAGGGGGTAGGTCACGGGTGCCTGGACACACACTGGGCCTGCACTGCTCTACCCACCCTTTCCTCTGTCTGTACCCTAGCTCTGTCTGCAAGGGGGTACAGTGACCCCTAATTCCCATGCATGGCACAAGCTCTAGGGAAACAAAACTGGGCTGAGAGAATAAACACAGCAGAGGCTGACAAGAAACACGGCCAAGAGGACATAGTAGGCTGCACTGTGGCCTCAAAGGACAAGTCCTGAACTGGGTGTGGTGGCACACATCTGTCATCCCAGCACTCTGGAAGCCCACAGCAGGAGGATGGGCGTGGGGGTTAGAGTCCTGCCTGAACATCTTAGGAGCAACAGTCTCGAAACAAAAAATAAAACGGGCTGGGCTGGCAGCCTAAAAGGCCAAGTGAAGTCCTCTACTTACCACCTTCTCAGGACAGTTGACCCTCGGTGTTCGAATCTGGATCTCAAGAGGGGGCAGTGGCACCTGCCAGGGCTTGGGGACAGCTCCTGGAGGGTTGGGGGCCCCATCATCCACACTGGCCGCCTCCCCCTCCCCTTCACTTCGGCTCCCCACACTGGCCTGTGCCCCCAGCGCCCGGTCCTCGGCCCCCTCGGGATTGGACCGTGTTCGGGGCCTAGGCTCAGCCGACTGCTCCTCCTCTTCCTCCTCCTCCTCCTCTTCCTCCTCTTCCTCCTCTTCGGTGGGGCTTCCGGGCTCAGCCACGTTCATGGTGTCCGTGTGGCTGGAGAGAGCAGGGACTGGGGAAGCCAGGATCCTCCCCTTCGAGGTTTTAAAGACATCTGGTTACAAAGAGGGAACATGGGCCAAGTCTCTCCTCTCAGGACTGAGCTTGCGAACCTGGAGAACGAACACTATCACAGCTCTCCGCCCAGCATCCGATCTGCCCGGAGTCTATAGCTCCTACTTCTACTGCAGGGCACCCTGTCTCCCCTGTCACTCCACCACTGGGCGCGCCCCAGCGCTCTGTTCCCTGAGAATGGCTCCGACTCGGCACGGAACCCTACTGGGCAGCGAGGGGTACATTTAAGACTTCCGATGGAGACTTTAGGGAGGAGACTCTCGTTAGAGAGCTGGGAAGATACAAAGCGAGAGCTGCTGAGGGCCACTTCTGCCTCTAGCAGGAAACGCAAGTGGGCCTGAGGTCCCAAAGCAATGCCCACCCGGAACAAGGCAGACGGCCATCTGGCGGACGCCGCTCGGAGCGGGGTTTTGTTACCTGCAACTGGCACCGTCTGGGTGAATAAGTAGGCTTTCAGTCTTCTCGGGGACGCTGGATCTGGGTGCCGCAGGTCCCTGGGGAGACGTGGGGCGCAGGGGAGCAGTTTTCAAAAGAGTGCCCTGCGCCTCCGCCCCGCCTTCTCAGGAAACAGAGCTGCAGCAGCAGTAAGCAGAATGGGGGCCAGCCGCGGGAGAAAGCAGGCCGAAAGGAGACAGCCCCGGGGAATCCAAGTGGCCGGGGCTCTGGAGCCAGGGGAGCCAGCCGACCTGGGCCCTGCTTCGAGCGCCGTCACCACCCAATGTCCACTCACTGCACCCTAAGCTTTCCTCCAAGTCCACTCCCGACTCCTTAGGAAGCCGCCATTTTCCCAACCGGAAGTTGTGAGGCGCGGCCGCGACCGCGGCGCCTCCAGGGAAATGTAGTTCGGCGAACCTCTGACTTTGCAGAGATGCTCCGAAGGAGGCCGAAGAGGCCTTGGAACCTGATAGGCTAGGATTGTGCCAGAGGGTGGGATTTATAACTAGATGCAAGGGCTTGAGGCCAAATGGGACGGTATTTGGAATGTGATAGGATGTACTGGGACGAGTCGTGAAATAGGATTGGCTAACCTCAAATTCGGCGGTGCTTATAGGTTTCTGGCCCAATCAGACTACAGTGGGTCAGTGCTTCTACCATGATAGCCTGACACTAGATAGAAGTGCAGGAAAAGGTCTAGTTCGCAATTTGATAAATCCAGTGAGACTGACTTGAACGGGACTTTGGGGAAGAGGCAGGATTCACTGATGACTGACGGAGCCAGGTTGCACCTCAGTGGGAGCGGGTTCTTCCGGAAGGAAATGGGCGTGCCCTTGTCCCATGGCCCTTCCCAGTTGTTTAATTCTGTCCGTATTTTACATATTATGCATACATCAAAAAAACAATAAACACAATCTGGAGTAGTAGAGCACTTTCCTAGCATGCGTGTGGCCCTGGATTCCATCCCCATCAGAAAAAAACACACTGATCTTTATTTTCCTGTATTACGAATTGAACCCAGAATTGATCTCCTTCCCCAAACCGTTTTGTATTTTTTATTTTATAATAAGGTCTCACCGAATCGCCAGATTGAGCTGGAATTTGCCTCTCTCCTGCCTCAGTCTCTCAGCGTGCTGGGACGACAGCCCCACACCACCACAGCTGGCTTGGTTTATTTATGAAAGGGTCAGTGAAGCCCACCTGCCTCAGGGGCTGCGAGAGCCCTTGCCATGGAAACAGGCACGATGCCATCCACGGGATGCTGCCGGGTTCATGTGTGGTCGAGCTTCTTGGCTCAGAGAACTGTGGCTCCTCTCGAGCCACCTGGGCTTCTCTTCCCTGGGGATGGAGAGGAGGGCTCAGGCTCCGGCTCTGCACAGTTTAAGCCAAACGCAGAAGGATAGGAAGCGCGCTGTAGGCGGGGCTCAAAGCCTCCAAGTGCGATGAACCTCCAAGTGTGAGAACCTTACCTCCACTGGAGGGGACAACCCGTAGCATGACTCAGGCAGCAGAGCCTGGAATGCCAGGCTGAGATGTTTTCCCAAAGCTGTGGGAGCCATGGGGAAAGTGGAAACAGGAAGCAATGAGATCCTCACAAGCACAAGAACAAAACCTACCCACCTGGATTAGCTCAGTGGTGCAGCGCCTGCCTGGCAAGCGGGAGGCCCTTAGTTCGATTCCTGGTACCAAAAAATAAACAAACAACAACAAAAACAAAACAGATCCCTGTGTCACTGAGGCAGGCTGTGCTTCTCAAGGCAGATTTGCAGAGCCAGGATGTAACTCAGCGGCACAAGCACCTACCTGGCAACTGCAAAGTCCTGAATTTGATTCCCCTTACAAAAAAAAAAAAGAAAAGAAAAGAAAAAAACCTCAAAGGGGCTGTGGCTGGCTCAGAGTGACAGAACCCAGACCTGTCCATGCTGAGGTAGAGGAGAGTGGTGACCCCAAATCAGAGCTACATGGGGGGGGCCGTGATTGTCAGCCATGGGGGACAGGGGGACACTTGGCTCTTGGAAAATACAGCCCAGGGGCAGAGGTACAAGGGTGGACGTGGGGAGCAGTGGTTGGGGAGGAAACGCCATCCAGGAGGAGAAGGAAGCCACACAATAAGCAGTCACATGGCCGGACAGGGGGCTTCCTGTTTCCTGACCTCTCCCCAACCAGCCCTGGTGGCCCAGGCCTACATGGGTAGTGGACAGTGACCTGAGAGCCCAAGCTGTGGCCACAGTGCCCCAGGGAGCAGAGAGGTACAGAGAGCGGAGGGGCTGAGCTGTAAGGCCAAGACGCAGGGGCAGCACTTTGGGATCAGGGGACCCTGGGGAAGAGAGGGCCCCAGAGGTCCCCACCCCATGCCTAGGTAAAGGAGAAAGGGAAGCTCAGAAGTCTAGGAGGCAGAGAAGAACACTGCAGTCAGGGTGAATCTGACAGACAGTGATCTGCCTATCCAAGAAGGCATCCAAGTGAGCAGCAGCCATAGGAGTCAGGGAAGATCCCTTCTGCAGGAAGAGCCAGCGCCCGCTTGCCCAGAGGGAAGACCAAGGCTGTCCTTTGCCCTGAATGACAAAAACAGGCACTGAGGGCAAGCTGTGTCTTCAGGGCAGGAAGCTGGAGGAATCAGCCCAGATTTCCACAGCAATGAGTGCCCGGGCTATGCGACCCCGGAGCCGGCGTGGGAGGCACACTCTGCCGGTAAGTGATCCTGTTCATCACATGCCTGGTCAGTGGCCCCCAGGCCTGCTGAACTCAGAGCTGGCTGGGTCAACCACAGGGTGAACTGGACCCCGTGGCCGAGAGTTCTGAGGAAGGCGAGGTGGCTGGAGGGAGCTCGGGGCCCGGCATTGTGCCCACACCTGGGAGCTCTGGACTGCAGTGGCTGGGGCCTGTGGGGGAGCTGGGTAGCCATGACCCAGGGAACAGGTAAGGGCCCTGGTCTGCACCCCTGTTTCAGACCTGCACCTTTGCCAACCATGCCAGTCCACGCTGCTCTGAGCACATGTCCACTTCAGCCTGCCTCCTGTGTGTAGCCTGGCAGGACACAGGGGGCTTTGCCTGGGCCCTGCTTTCACCTAGGCCCTTTCTTCCCTTGTTTTTATTCTTTTGAGACAAGGTCTCACTACATCACTGAGTAGTGAGAACTCAGAACTCTCCTGCTTCAGCCTCCCAGAGTACCACAGTTACCCACAGGTGCTACCCATGCCTGGTCCTGGGTATCTTTCTTTACCTTGCAAACTCTAATGGCTTCCTTCTTCCCTTCCTCTCTTCTGTCCTTGATTCTTTTTCCAGTGCTAGAGACTGAACCCATCCCAGCCCTTCTTCATGCTTCGAGACAGGGTTTTGCTGAGTCCCTCAATTGCCCAGGCTAGAACTCATGATCCTCCTGCCTCAGCCTCCCCCAGTGCTGAGATGACAGACCTGTGTCATGAAACCTGGTTCTCATTTCTTTATTGGTACTAGCAGCCTTGGACCCCTCCCAGACCTGGCCGAGCCTGGTCTCTGCATGAGTGGCCTCCCAGTTCCTTCCTGGGCCACCAGCCTGGGACCCCAAGTCTCTGTGTGCTTTGACGGCTCAGCTCCTGCTTGGCTTCCACAGGGCCAACAAAGAGGCCGAGGAGGACGGGGATAGGTCGCCAGCCTCTGCCCCAGAGGGCCCCCAGCTGTCCACAGGGGACGCGCACCAGGACCTGGAGGAGGTGGCCCTACAAGATGAGGGTGCTGTCACTCCTGGGCATGGAGAGTCTGATGTGTTCCAGGCCCTGCAGCGCGCCCTGGACTCCCTGGAAGCCACAGCTGCTGCCTGGCGCCCAAGGCCCCTGAGTGGGCCTGGGCCTGGGGAGGTGGCAGGCGGGGTGGAGGGGACACCAGGGCCCGGGCAGGAGGCAGCCCGCTTGGCCGAAAAGAATACCTGGCTGCAGCTGGCACTGGACACCCGGGAGGATGAGCTGGCACAGGTGCGGGCCCAGAGTGATGCGCTGCAAAGGGAGGTGAGTGCTGTAGGAGGGGTACAGGAGAGGCAGGGGTGACAGCCACTTCTGCTTCAATCCACAAGCCTGTATGGAGCCCAGGCCAGGTGGGACTCATGATTCTCCTGCCTCTGCTTCCCAGGGCGCCGAGATGACAGGCATATGCCATCACATGTGGCACAGTGCACAGGTTTAGCATGCAAAAGACTCTGCATTGCATCCTCGAGACTCCCACACCCTGCAAAAAAAAAATAAATGAAATCTCCCTTGCAAGGTGTGGTGGTGGTGGTGGTTTATACCTGTGGGCCCTGCTACCCTGAAGAGAGGCAGAGACAGGAAGATCACTTGAGAAGCTCAGAAGTTTGAGGCCAACCTAAGAAATATAGCAAGCCATTATTTTGAAAAATAATAAAGAAAAAAGTGGATCATTTTCTCTCCTGAAGGGACTCATTTTCCTGCTGGGAAAGACGAGGCTTGAGTAGCTGGAGACAATGGACTGGGGAAACTGAGGCCCGGGCTCTGGTTTTCCAACCAGTGCCCCTTCTGTCCATGCCTGGGAGATAGCTGGCAGGTGGCCAGGGCCCCAGGCTGATGACCCGTCCATGTCTGCCCCAGGTCCAGGAGCTGCAGGATTCCCTGCAGAGGCTGCAGTCCACCTCACCTTCCCACCACAGCAGCACGGGTCGAGATGTGTATGGCGATGCTGGAAGCTCTGGGGCTAATGGGGTAGCCCGGGGGCTGCAGGTGAGTGCCACAAATGCCAACCCCAGTCCCAATGGCCTTAGCACATAGGCAGATGAGGCTCAATTCTGCTCATGGGACCCAGTAGCTTCTGGTGTTGGAGAAAGCCCAAACTCAGCCCAACTAGGTGGTGTATACCTGTCATTCCAGATACTCAGAAGGCTGGGGCAGGAAGATCACAAATTTGACTTCAGCTCGAGCAATTTGAGACTCTCAAAAAAAAAAAAAAAAAAAAAAAAAAAGCTGGGTGGGGTGGTACACACCTGGGATCACAGCACTCTGGAGGCTGAAGCAGGAGAATCACTGCAAGTTTGAGGCTAGGCTGGGCTACATAGTCAGACCTTGGCTTTGAGCTTGCTTATGTAGCCCAGGCTGGCCTCAAACTCACAGTAGCCCTCCTGCTGCCTCAGCCTCCCAAGTGCTAGGATGACATGCTTGCACCACTATGCCCTCTACAATATTAAAAAAAAAAAAAAAAACAGCTGGGGACCCAGGCACAGGGGCACACACTTGTCATCCTACTTCTTGGAAAGCTGAGGCAGAAGGATCACGAGTTTGACTTGGCCTGGGAAAATTAGCATTTTAGCGACTCTGTTTTTTGGTTTTGGTTTTTTGGTACCGGGGACCAAACTCATGACCACACACTTGCAAGGCAGATACTTATGCCGCTGAGCTAGACCCCCAGACCTCTTAGCATGACTCTGTAAAAATGTAAAAAAATTAAAATGTACAAACGACCTGGGTGCAAATCCCATCACTACCAAAAGCAAGAATTATAGAGAACCCCACCTAACAGTGGGGGCTCTGGATGATAATCCAGGTAAATCGAGTCACCGATTCCTGCAGGGCCCTTCTTCTGCTCACCCCCTGCTCCGGCGCCTGCACAGCGATCCCAGCGTCCACTCCCTCCGGCCTCCTCACCTGTGGCCCCAGGGCCCTGACACAAACACCCTGGAGCAGCAGGAGGAGCGGCTCCGGGGGTGAGGCCCCGGAAAGAGGCCTGGGCTGGGCTGGGCTGGGTGGGGCGCAAGGGCTAAGCCCTGAGTGGGTCCCCACCACCACAGGAGCGTGGAGAAACTCAAGGGCTTCAACCGTCTGCTGCTGGCTGCGCTGCGGGGCGCCAAGGGCCGCTGCGAGGCGCTGAGCTTGCAGCTGAGCTGGCGCGAGTCCCAGGCCACCGCTCTGCGCCTGGCCCTGCAGTACAGGTGAGCAGTGGGAGGGGCGGGGCTTGTGTGGGGGTGTGTGGGAATGGGCGGGGCTTGGTGGGAAGGGTTTGTGGGAATGAGCTGGGCTTGGTGGGGATGGGCGGAGCTTGGTGGGTGGGAGGGGGTTTGTATGGGTGGGCGGTGCTTGGTGGGAGGGGCGGGCTGCAGCCGCGCAGGCCGGACACTGAAGCTCATGTCCTGCAGCGAGGACCACGAGGAGGCCCTGGGCACCCTGCTCGGCCTGCGGGAGGCGCTCACTGCAGCCCCCGGGGGCGGCCTGCAGGTGGTGCAGGAGGAGGCGCGAAGGCTGATGGCCCGGGAGGAGGCTCCGAAGCCCAGGTATGCGGGCACCAGATTGCAGGGTAAGGAGCTGGCGCCCCGCTTGGAACCAGCGCCATGAGGCTATCGAGTGGGGAGCCAGTGCCAATCGGGGTGGTGGCCGTGGCTGAAGCTTTGGGTTCAGCAGAACAGCTTCTTCCACTTTGGCGCGCGTTGTCTATTGGGCTGGCACGTGGGCCTTCATGTGCCCTGGGTTAGCGTGCACTGCCTGCCACAGTGTCCTGAGCCACAGCGCCCACAGGGTGCAGGTGCTGTCGACCAGCCATTTGCTTTCTGGTCCGGGCGATGATCGGGGCGTGGGGCCGGCTGGTTGGCATGACCCTTGTGCTACTTTCCTACAAGCAGCAGTGGTCATTGTTTTGAGGCGATGGTGATCACCTCGAGAGCACTGTGCGACGTTCACACTCATGCTGCTTCCTCTGCCTCCCGCAGCTCCGGAGGCTGCAGCAAGGTTGCTACTACTCCACAGGAAGTGGCTGCTCAGCTTCATGGCTATGTGCAACGTCTCCGGGAGCGACGGGCCCTGGTGAAGGTTCCACCTGAGCCGGGTCCCACCTCTGCTCCCAAGCCAACCGCAGCCCATGCAGAAGCCATGGTACAGGCCATTCTGGAGGCTCAGCCTGGCCCGGCCCTGCCCAGGCTGAAGAAGACACAAATCCAACAGGACCTGGTGACCACACGGGTATACATGGGCTGAGGTTGCCATGTCAGTCTTTGTTGCAGGGACAAAACCTTTTGTGGAGGTTGACAGGGATGTCATGGGCAAGAAGGAGAATTGCAGGTGAGATTTGGAGGACTGCATAGGAGTTTGCTCTATGGGTTCAGTTTCTCACTGGACTCTAAATCAGGCTTTGGAGAATGCTCATCCTAGGAGAAGACTTGGGGCAGGGGATAACCTGGATGTTGTAGCTCTGTATAAAGGATTTGAGATTGTGGGGCAGGTGCTGTTACTCTGCGATGCAGTGTATGTGTCCAGCATGCATGAAACCTTGAGTCCCATCCTCAGCTCCAAAATAAACATACTCAAAAGGGCTCTGGAGTTAAATTCCAGAAGCTTCCATCGAGCTGCTGCTTGACCTTGTCTAAGACAACTGTCCTTTAGGAAATTGCATTTCTAAAACCAGGCGTGGTGGCGCACTCCTGTCCTCCTGGTGCTTGGGAGGCTGAGACAGCAGGATGTTGTGAGTTCAAAGCCAGCCTGGGCTACATTGTAAGTTCAGGGGCAGGGGCAGCCTGCACTGCCTGGAGAGACCCCCGTCTCAAATAAAAGGGCCTATTACATCCACAGGCACTTCCACCTGCTAAGGCTATGGTTGGTCTTTTGCCTGGTCTGCAGTTGACACCACTGTGCCCCATGCCCATAGGAGACGCTTGCAGACCTGGTGCTGCAGCTGCAGCTGGCGAGGCGCGAGAAGAGGGGCCTGGAGCTGCGGGAGGCGGCCCTGCGCGCCCAGGCGCCTGCGCTGAGACTGCTGCTGGGCCAGCTGCGCTGGGAGAAGGCGCAGCTCGAGGCCGGGGACAACAGCGGCGGGGACAGCAGCGTGGGCGACAGCAGCGAGGATGAGGATGCATGGCCCCAGGTGAACCCGCGCAGACAGGGAGTGGCTCTGCTCACCTCAGGTTTTGCTTCCCCAGAAAGGTGCATACTGAGACTGGTTATCCAGTCACTCAGAGGCTGAAGCAGGAGGATCGCAGTTGGAGCCTGGCCTGGGCAGTTTAGGGAAACAAAGAGCCGAGCTCGGAACCCCGAGTCCCACTAGCTACAGGAGGACAAGCTGACTGTGGTCGCGTTTCCAGTCCATGGTCAGCTGGCTCCGGGACAGCGGCAGGGCCAAGCGGAGGAAAGCTGCTGGCACCAGGGCGCGCAGAAAGGGGCGTGAGAAGGGCGGAGCCGAGAGGGTGGCTCCGCCTCCTCTGAACAGGGAGGGTAACCGGAAGTCAGTTTAGACCCTCAGGACCCTATCACCTTTGAAAGGCTTCCATTAGCTCAGGAGAGAATTGCGGATCACGCTTAGTGTTGTTAATTTTTTTGTTGTTGTTTTCATTTTTTTTTTGTCTTTTTCATTTTTATCGGTACCAGGGATTGAACTCACGACCGCCTGCTTGCAAAGCAGGTGCTTATGCCGCTGAGCTAAATCGCCAGCCCTGTTTTCATTTTTTGAAATAAGGTCTCAGTATGTAGCCCGGCCTTGAACGGATGTGATCCTCATGCCTGAGGCTCCACTTCCTCCAGATTGGTTCTGTTCCCTGCATTAATGGCTTCCTGTCTTCCCCCTTTTTTTTCCCTCCCTGCCTGGTCATGTGTGTCCCTCCATTTAACGTCTTCCCTGGGTGTTGAGGAATTGAACTGAGGGCCTCCTGTGTGTGTGCTAGGCAAGCATCTACCACTGAGCTACAGCCCCAGGCCTTTCTGTTCTTTTTTTTTTTTTTCCCCCTTCTGAGACACAGTCTTGCTATGCAGGTCAGGCAGGTCTCAAACTCTCTGCGTACTTCAGGCTGGTCTCAAACTGCAAGGATCCTCCTGCCTTAGCCTCATCAGTGCTGGGATGACAGGCATGCACTATCACGCCTGGCTCCCTTTATATTCTTATATATTATTTTGAGACATGGTCTTGCTAAGTTAGCTAGGCTTGTCTTGAACTTGCAGTCCTCCTGCCATGGCCTCTGAAGTGTTGGTGTATACCACTTCGTCTGTCTTCAGCTTCTTTTTTTGCCACCTTTTGGAGACAGGGTTTCACTACGTAACCTAGGCTGGCCTCGAACTTACAGTGACCCTCCTGCCTCAGCCTCCTGAGTGCTAGGTTCTCCTCCGTTTTAAAGATAGGTCTTGCTGTGTTGCCCAGCACAGGCCCACACTTTAAACACCTGTGTTCAGCAGTCTTCCTGCCTCATCCTTCCTCCGGGCAGCCATGGGCTGCTGTCCTCAGCTAGATCCAGGTAACCCACGGTGGTCTCTTGTTATCATCTTTTCACCTCCATGGCCCTGTCAAGAACACAGGTCACTCCTTGTCAGCATGCTGAAGTCTGTGACCAGGTTGTTGCACACACTGTCACCCTAGCACTCAGGAAGCTGAGGCAGGAGGATCTCTGAGTTCGAGGCCAGCCTGGCCTACACAGTAGATCCTGTCTCAAAAATCTAATAAATCAAGAAATAATGAAGTCCCTGACTTTCTGCCACTCTATGTCCCCTCCTTCATGAGGCCATCTGGATTGCCTTGCATGTGGTTTCCTTATTTTCTGGGAGGAAGCTGGTTACCCACACAGGGTTACCTCACAGGGTGACCTCATGAGCCCGAGGACAAGGACTGTGGCTGCCACCAGCTTTACTTTCTCCCCTCCCTCTGCCTCCTACAGGGCCTGGCCATTGGCAGGGACAGAGGCCTGGGATGCAGAGCGTGGGACCAGGAGCAGCTGACCCAAGACCTGGCATCATCCCTCAGCCGGTGTGAGCTGGGGCCCAAGGGCAGGGGCAGGGAGAGGCAGGCTGTGGCCATGATCCTTGACTGGTGACCCCTGGCTCCACCCTGCCAGTGCCCAGGCCCTTCAGGAGCAGCTGCGGTCCCTCAGGGCACAGCTTGAGCAGGTGGCCCAGCAAGGCCGAGCAGGCCGGGCCCAGAGTGCTGAGCTGAGTGGTGACCTCTGCAGAACTAACAGGTGGGCAGGGGCCCTGGCTTGGTGGTGCTCCCTGGGCCTGTTTCCCAGTGTGTTCTGGCTGCCCCTCTTCTCCCCTGATGGCTGCTGAGTGGTGCTGGGACATCCTGGTGCCCAGCCTGGAAATGGGAGGACAGAGCCCTGACCTGGGTCCCTGCAGTGCCCTGGTACTGGGCTTCCGGGGAGCCCACCGGAAACAAGAGGAGCAGCGCCGGAAGCTGGAGAAGCAGATGACCCAGATGGAAACCCGGCAGGCTGAGGAGCTGGCCAGGTTGGAAGCCATGGCTGGAGCATTGAGAAGACCCCAGCTGCACTCTCCACCACCACCGCTGGGGGAGACCCTTCTGTAGCTGGTGTCATAAAGCATCCTCCAGCAACACTGTTGTGCAAGGAGCAACCTGCCTGCTGCTCTTTGTGCACGTGGTTGGGGGCTGGGCAGTATCTCTGGCTTGGCCCCTGGTGTGGGCTCCTCTGCAGGGCTGGGTCAGAAGCAAGCTGGACCTTGCAGCGACCCTGGGGTGGGGGCACTTCCGGGTCAGTGAGGCCACCTAGCCAGGGCTTACGTCCCCAGCCAAAGCCCAGCAAGGGGTCCATGTGGGCAAGACACTGCCTCCCTGGCCACCCTGCTCCCGGTGAAACGCAGGTCTTACAGTGCTCCAAAGGGAGACTGAGGCCGGACAGTTGAAGTTCCTGATAGGTTAGGGCTTGAGCTAGCAGAGAGGAGGCTGAGACTGCTTTGAGACTTGCATTTCAAGGTGGAGCTAAAGATCAAGCAAGTTGGAACACAATCTTAAATCCAGTATTCAGGGAGGCTGGGACAGGAGGATCTCAATTCCAGGCAATTCAGTGAGACTGTTTCAAAAAAATCAAAATAAGTGCTAAGAATATAGCTCAGGTGTGAAGGCTCTGGGTTCCATCCCCAGCCTTGAAAAAACCTTAAAGAGTAGAACTAAAATAAAGAGGTTGTGGGGGCAGGCACAATAAAGGCAGAAGCCTGCGGGTGAGAACAGAGGTCCAGAGGCTGGAAACAGCCCTCCCTTCCTCGCAGTGCTGCCCCCGCCCCGGGGTTCTGGCTCCCCTCCGGCAGAGATTGGGGCTGGTTTGGTCCCCAAGGCCTTCTGTAGGTCACACCCCTATGCCCATGGGCGGGGCGGGGCGGAGGAGCCGAGGTCAGGGGCCAGCTGTCCCCTCGGGAGCTGCAGCTGAAACCCAAGCCGAGGCTTAGGAAGATCTGGGCCCCAGCCTGGGGCGGGCGCTCCCGGCCACAACTGGGCAGGTGTGGGCCAGCGGCTGCCTCTCCACAGTAAAGGTCACATGGGCCTGTTCGGAGGTCACCCCGAGTTGAATTGGCGCTGGGAACTCCCTCTCTCCCCCTCTCCGAGTCAGCAGATGGAGGAGGGCTCTGGTCTCCTCCTGTCCTTCTTCACTGGGCTCTGCACCTAGCCCAGGATGGAAGCAAGCAAGGAAACTGAGGCAGGCCACCGACTTCCCTCACCCACCACGAGCTAGTTCACGGCTGATCTCGGTTCCCAGTCCTCCTCCCCCTTGGCCTGTGGGAGACAAGGAAGCCAAGGTCACCGGGGGGGGGCAGGGTGGGTTCCCAGGCCCCGGGCCAGTGTCTGGCAGTTCCCACGGGCGCCCCCGCAGCAGATGGTCCCCGTCCCCTTTGTCCCCCAGTCCGCAGCCGCCGCAAGGTCAGATGTCACCGCGGGGCCACGGGCAAAGGTCAGGGGGCGGGGCTGAGCAGGGTGGCCCCTGGGGTTCAGGGGGTCCGCTGTGGGAAAGTGGGGTCCGAGTCCACCTCCGTGCCGTCTCCGCCTCTTTTCAGTCCCCTTACTTCCCTCGCCTAGTTCTCCTTTGATCACTTCTCTGAGACCCCCGACCCTGGTGCCCCATTCCTGGGACCACGTCCTCATCCCGAATGAGTGGTCGGAGCCCCCGCATTTGCACAAAGCCCCAAAACCAAAGCGTTCTGCGCCCACCCAGGTTATACCCGGGGAAGTTCTGCCTGTGGCTGCCCCGAGTCCCGCCGGCTGCTTTCCGAGTTCACCAAGGCGGGCAGAGCCCCACGCTGGGAACACCCGGCGGCTGCACCTGGCCCGTCGCCCTGCGGCGGACGCTGTCGAGGAGCAGGTGTGGACTGGGTGGCGGGGAAGGGTGGGCTCGGCAGCGGCCGGATGTGACCAGGCCTAGAGTCACGGCTTGCAGCCGGGGACTGAGCGGACGCGACGCGAGCAAGGGGCTGGCCAGGGGCGGGCGCCGGAGGCAGTTGGGCAGCCGCGGGCGACATCTGCAGTCCAGCCGGCCGGGCGCTCCCTGGGCGGCCCCGAAAGAAAAGGCAGCTGGGAGAAAGAGGCGGCCAGAGTCCCCCTCCTGCCGCCCCAGGGCCTCGGGGTCGCGGCGCCCCGCCCCCAGAGGCCCATAGCCCCCCAGTCGGCGCCTCGGAGCCTGCATCCACGGCGGAGGCGCCGGGCACCAGGTGTTCAGCCAGGCGGAGCGGTGTGGGGGTCGGGCGGCGACTCTGGCTAGGCGGAAACAAACACATCCCTGCGTGGCGGAGCCGGCCGGCTGATCGCGCGTGCTGCTCAGGGGCGTGACCCCGTGCAGCGCCCCGGTGCGCGGCGTCCCAGTGCAGTGTCCCCGGGGGCTCCTGCCGGGAATGCGCGGGGGGGGGGGCGGGCATCCGAGGCCAGGGCCGGAGGCGGAGGCGGGTCCCGGAGCGACATATTGACTAGGCCAGAGGAGGGCAGAGGGCGGAACGGCCCCGTAGGGGTTAAGGCCGAAGCGGGGCGGGGGCGCAGTGGGGGAGGGTCAGGCCCGCGGCCCGCGCTCCGCCCCGTCCCTCCCGCCGGCCCAGGCGCCCGGCGCTGCGCGCGGCCACCCATGCCCTTATAAGGGCGACCGTCGCCGGAGCAACCAGCGCCCGCCCCCCAGCCCGCGGCGCGCGCCCCCGCCCCGCCCCCGGCCCCCGCCCGCCCCGCGGAGGGAACGCGGTGTCAAACCGGCCGCTGCGCGAGGCCGGCGCGGGGTTGGCAGCGCGGGTGAGGCGCGGCGAGGGCGAGGCTCAGCTAAGCGCAGGCCTAGGCCGGCAGCCCGGGGGCCGCAACTTGGAAGGCGCCGACCCGCGGCCGTACAGGCCCCAAGCGGCCGCAGCGGGCCATCGGGGATCGCGGGGTGAGCCGGGGTGCGCGGGGAGACCCGGCACCGCCCCTCCCCCTCGCCGCGGGCGGCCGCGCAACTTGCGGCCAAACTTTCCCCACCCCCCCCCCCCCCGGCCGGGCGCGCGCCGATGGAGCCCAGCTGAGTCCGCAGCGGCCCCGCAGGCCCCAGGGCGACCCGCGCACGCCAGCACGGTCATGGCCCGCGCGCCCCCACCGGGATCCCTGGTCGGCGGGGCGCGACCTCGGGGAGTCCGCGGCCTGCGCCCCTAGCGCACCACCCCCCCCGCGCCGGCCCAGCGCGCGCGTGGGAAAGTTGGCCTGGAACCGGCCCGACCAGTTCCGCCCAGCGCGCGGACCGGCCGCAGGAAGTTGCTGCAAAACTTTTCTCGGGGGCGCAACCGTGCCGCCCCCTGCTTCGCCGCGCGCCCGGCCCCCCGCAGCCTCGGGCTGCCGCCTGCAGGGAGGCGCGAGCAGGGGGCGCCACGGCCCCGCCGCCTGCCCCGGGGGCTATGGCCATGGTGACCGGAGGCTGGGCCGGGCCCGGCGGCGACGCGAACGGCGTGGACAAAGCGGGCGGCTACCCGCGCGCGGCCGAGGAGGACTCGGCCTCGCCCCCTGGGGCAGCCAGCGACGCGGAGCTCGGCGACGAGGAGCGGCCGGGGCTGCAGGTGGACTGTGTGGTGTGCGGGGACAAGTCGAGTGGCAAGCACTACGGCGTCTTCACCTGCGAGGGCTGCAAGAGCTTCTTCAAGCGCAGCATCCGCCGCAACCTCAGCTACACCTGCCGGTGAGCCCGCGCCCGCGGTCACCTTGGGCCCGCGCCGATCTCCGCGCCGCCCCGCCGCATGTCCACGGCGGGGCCAAGCGCTGCGCGGCTCCCCACCCCCGGTCGCCCCGGGCCCTCACCGGCTCCTCCCCCTCCGCTTTCTGCGGGGGCCGGGTGCTGTCAGGCGAGAGGCTCTACTCAGCCCCTGTCGCGGGACCCGCCGGCTGCACGCCCCGCGGGACCCGGCGTGGACCTTGGCCCGTACGGCCCGCAGCGTCCTGGCCATTGTCTGCGGCGCGCGGATCGATACGGCGCGCCCTTGGGGTCAAATATCACTTCCAAAGTCGCCGCGCGCCACGGCAGCTGCCGAGCCAGGCGGCCCTGCAGGCAGGTCCACGCTGCCCTCCGGGTCTGCCTATCAGGGAGAACATCCTAGGCTCAGGGTCACCGGAAACGCCCCTGGGGTCGGCGGGGCCACGGGAATTGACTGCATCCCCCTCACCTGGGAGAGGTGCAGGCTCGAGGGCTTGGGGCAGTCCTCTAAACTTCAGGGCTGCTCTGAGAGGGGAGAGGAGAGCAGTGTTCCTGAAGGTGTCCCGGGAATCTCTTTCTTGAGAGCTTTCAGTGGGGATCACCTTGCTAGCTCTTATACCTGACCGGAGGCTCAGGGTCGTTTGGAAAAGAGTTGGGACCCAGTCAGGGCCACTCGGCACCCCACACTCTGGGGCAGCCTCCTGTGCTGCAGCTTGGGCTCCGTAGGGCTGGTCCGACCCTTCTTTCCGATGTACCAGACCCAGGTGCTCAGTTGCCCTGGAACCTGCCCCAGTTTGCTTCACAGAGGATCTGGGGGCCGAAGGAGTCACTGGAGTGGGGCTCCAGATTCCCCGGTGGGGGTTTGAAAACTGGGCCAGCAGACTTTGGCCTCTTTCTGGTGCTGGAAGGAATGCACTGTGTTTCTCCCTGGGTTCCCAGGAAGGGCACAGGTTGTGGCAGGGTCTGGGAGCTCTAAGGGGAGGTGGGTTCTTCACAGCAGGGGTGGTCTGCTGCCAGTATCCCAGGGAAGATTCCAGCCTCAGGCCCAGGCCCAGGCCCAGGCCCAGTCTCAGTCTGGAGGCCCCAGAGGCCCAGGCCTGTAAGCTCTGCATCCTAGGGAAGGAGCAAGAGGCTTTCCCTGGCATGGGGCCCCAGGCAGGAGAGGGCAAAGGGTGCTCCCCTTCAGCCCAGGTCCAGAAGGGCAGCGGGAGACCCTCTTGTGAGCGGGCCTGGCCCAGCCTGTTGGGGCCCCCGTTGGTGTGAGTTGCTGGTGAGAGCACCTGGGATCCCCTGGGTGTAGGCAGGAGATCGAGGTGATTAGATTGGATTGAAAATCAGGTACAGCGCTCTACACCTGTAGTTCCAGTTACCCTGGAGGCTGAGGCAGGAGCATCCCTTGAACCTCAGAGTTTGGAGCCAGCCTGGACACCATCAGGAGTCTGTCTCAAAAAGGGGCTGGAGTGAAGGAGGCTGACTTGGGCCACATGGGCAAAGTGTGTGCTCCCTCAGGAGTGATGTTCCAGTACCTGGAGGGACAGCACTGCCCCCCTTCCACAGTAGGTGAAGCCAGGCAGAGGCTGGGGATCCCTTGAGCCCTGGCACTGGCGCCACCCCAGGCCTGGCTGTTCCACCTGGCTGCCTGGGTCCTCCCACCACCCGGCCTCTGCTTTGTTCTGGTTCTGCCTGAGTTCCTGCTGCCTGGAGGCCCTTCCCGGCTCATCACTGTGGGGGCTCAGGGCCTCCTGATGCTGCCAGCTGCCCTCAAGCTGGGTGGTGTCCAGTGTCTGGCTCAGGTGGAGACACTGAGGCTGGTGCAGGGCTGGGTGTGATCTGCAGGGTCTTCCTGGACCCCTGGGCACGGTTCCCAGTCCTGGTGTCTGCCTGCAGCCCAGGTTTTAGAGTCCTCAGCGAGACACGGAGGGGACAAGTGCCAGGGGACAGCCTCGGGCTCGAAGGCCACTTGGAGGCAGCATGCTAGGCCTTCTGTGAGGAGAGGACTCCTTCTGCCCTTCCAGCCTCCCATCCTCCTTGGTGGGGGCAGCAGTGCTGTGACCCTGTAACCCACTTGGCACTGGGCCTGGCCTCCAGTCTCTTGAAGCCCAGATCCTTGGCCAGGTCGCTTTCACAGTCAGCTGTGGTGACTGCACCTCCTAGCCTGACCATGAGCACATGAAATTAAGTCATTTAGTCCTGTGGTATTTGCATTGCCTACCATTTGGTCTCACTGCATCCTGTGCCAGCAATGGCTGGGGGAACTTATATGCATTCCTCAAAACTTGGTCCCAAAGTGCCCGCCCTTCCTATTGAGCTCATCAACTCTCACAGACTCCTCTTCATGTGTCAACTCCCACCCAAGTTGTCCTTTCCTTTTTGCAGAGCCCCTGCACGCTTTCCCCAGGTCCAGGGTTCCTTCCCTTTGGTGTTTCCCAGGGTCAGATTCCCTAGCTGGAGATCTGGTGACCCAGGGAGTCCTGGCCTCTGTGTGTCCCTAGGTCCAACCGTGACTGTCAGATAGACCAGCATCACCGGAACCAGTGCCAATACTGCCGCCTCAAGAAGTGCTTCCGGGTGGGCATGCGGAAGGAGGGTGAGTCCTGGGGAGGGGCAGCTGGGCAGGGCCCGCGTCTCCGGGGCGGGGCCAGGGCCTAGGGGGCGGTGCCTGACCTTTGCCTGCTAACCTCATTACCACCATCCCGATCCCTTGGGCTCCAGGGCTGCAGGAATCCAATTATGCCCTGCCTGCTGCTGCAGAGGCCGGTAAGCCCGCTTTGGGGCCACCCGGGACTTCCTGCATCCTCAGCCCGTGCCCCCTGCCCAGCCCTGACACGGCGGTGACCTCCTTGTTCTTCTGGGTATGAGTTTAGTTTGCATTCGGTCTGCTTTTCCTGCGGCCTCTCCCCCTGCGCTGTCAGTCTCAGGCAGGAACCCCACCAGGGTGAAGCCAGAGTGAAGTGAAGGTTGCACACCTTCCCGTCGACCTGGCGCTGGCCACCATTACCCAGGTGGGGACTTGGTGGCCAGACACTTGCCCTGGGCTTTCCGTCTGCCCGCACTGCATCTGTCTGGACACTCCTTGTTTGTCAGTAGGCCTCTAAGGGCATCTGGAGGGCTTCTTAGTCCCCCTTCCTCAGTCCCATCAGTGGGAGAGTGACTCTCTAGTCTCCTAATCTGGATTTTGACTCTGTGCCTTTGATCAGATCTTTTTTTGGTAGCAGGGATTGCACTCCCAACCTTGAGCTTACCAAGCAAGCTTTTGAACCACTGAGCTAAATCACTGGCCCCTTTGATCAGATCCTGAAGTGCCTCAGATCATGGCACTGATCTCCAGGTTCAGGTGGCAATTTTCCAGATCCTAATTCCTCTTCAAGCCCATTCCAGCCACAGGACCTTTGCACAGGCTGTGCCTCTGCTCAGGTGCTCCTGCAGAGATTGGCAGGCTGCCCTTATCCCCTTCAGCATGGCTGTCCCTTTATTTGTCACCATCTGCTTTGCTTTGCTCTGGATCTGTGCCCTCTTGAGTATCCATGCCTGGAGGGCAGGGCTTTTTGTCTCTCTCATTCACTGGTCCCTCTGCAGAGTTTAGTCCAGGCTCTGGTATGCAGAAAGTGCTCAGTAAGTGGCTTTCAGCACCTTCTGTGAGAGGAGCCTGCTGTGGTGGGGCGGGGTTAGTACTCTGGAGGCTGAGACTGGAGGATCACTACAGTTCCAGGCCAATGTGGGCCACACACACAGTGAGCTCCCACACAGCAAACTCCTATGCAGGCTGAGCTACATAGTGAGACCCTATGTCAAAAACCCCCTAACAAACCAGAACAAAAATGCTGAGCAGGTGTTAGCAGCAGCACCACTACCACCACCACCTGCATTTCACCGATGAGGGAGCTGAGGCCCAGAGCCTTACAGCTGGCTAAGGCCTGGACAGCAAGAGGGAAACCTGGGTGTGGGCTGAAAGAGGGCCAGGAGAGGAGGAGCCCTAGGCCCTGGGGCAGAGATAGCCTGACTGGGGCTCACTCCCCAGGGAGCAAAACGAAGGAGAGGGTGCCCTGGGCCTGGGAACCTTGCCCTGCCGCACCCCCTTGCTGGAGGCTGAGCTCAAGAGGTCACCCCGGGCTGTTTCCCGCCCTGCCACACCCACTTGGCAGTCCCACCCAAGCCCCTTCCAGTGGCTGCATGCTCTGCTGTCCTGGCCTAGCATTAACCCGGCAGTGCAGTGACACAGGGCCTGCCAGCTTCTTAACGTGCCCTTAGCCTCTGGCACTCAGCCAGCCTTCTCAGTTTTCCTCTGCCCACCCACTTGCTCTTGTCATGGGCAAGGCTTCCAGGGCGCCTTGGGGCCTGGACAGAGCAGCTCTGGGCTGTTTTGTGGGGCGGAGCAGAGGTTGGACCTTAGCTGGGAACCTGGCTGGCCAAAGTGCTAGACCCGCTAGCAGTTAAATTAGCTCAGAGACCCCTAAATGGGGTCCTTGTGACCCCAGGTGCTAAGGAGGGTGAGGGTGTAGAGGACTCTCATCGGGGCGGGGTCTGGGGATGGTTGTGCCTTGGAGGGGTTGAATGACCTTTGTCTTCACTTTGTCTTCCCTGTACCCCCACCGTGTTTCTCCGCCCCTTTCCCAATCTCCCTTGTCCCGTCCTCTAGCGGTGCAGCGCGGCCGCATCCCGCATGCGCTGCCAGGCGCCGCCCCGCCCACTGCTGGCAGCCCTCCGGGCTCAGCGCTGACCGCAGGCGGGGACGCTTTCCCGGGGCCGCCGGTGTCCGAGCTGATCGCGCAGCTGCTGCGTGCTGAGCCCTACCCCGCGGCGGCCGGGCGCTTCGGCGGCGGTGCGGTGCTGGGCATCGACAACGTGTGTGAGCTGGCGGCGCGCCTGCTCTTCAGCACCGTGGAGTGGGCACGCCACGCGCCCTTCTTCCCCGAGCTGCCGGTCGCCGACCAGGTAGCGCTGCTGCGCCTCAGCTGGAGCGAGCTCTTCGTGCTCAATGCCGCGCAGGCCGCGCTGCCGCTGCACACCGCATCGCTGCTGGCTGCCGCCGGGTTGCACGCCGCGCCCATGGCCGCCGAGCGGGCCGTGGCCTTCATGGACCAGGTGCGCGCCTTCCAGGAGCAGGTGGACAAGCTGGGCCGTCTGCAGGTGGACTCGGCAGAGTATGGCTGCCTCAAGGCCATCGCCCTCTTCACGCCAGGTGAGCTCCGGGGTCGGGCGTGGGGTGGGCGGGGCACCACGTACCACGCCCGGGGCAAGCCCCGCCCTGGGGCAAGGCTCCGCCTGGAGACTGACGCCAGGCCTGCTACCACGCCCACTGGGCTAGGGCTCTACTAACGAGCCAGACCCCGTCTCCCGGGGCTCTTACTGGCCCCACACCCCACTCTGAGGGCTGCTGGGGCCACGCAGAGGTTTCACCTGGCTTCTCCCCACCTAACAATGTCCGCAGTCCCTAAGAGCGGGGCCCTGCACACAGCTTGCTGTTGCTCCTTGAACACTGACCGCTGCAGGGAAGGGAAGACAGGGAGCCATGGTTCCAGGTGTCTCACGGTCCCGGGCAGCCTGACTGCCTGAGCCTGCTGCTTTCTTGGAAGGGCTGCACAAAGCCTCCCGAAGGGGGACAGGCTTGCTGGAAGCACCTCCAACACTTGGGAAGTTACTCAGGAGGGTCTCCAGATTGACCGCAGCCAGGATACCTTAGCGAGCCGAGGCTTGTTTGCATTGTTCGAGGCAGCAGCCCGAGCCCCACTACATTGTGTACCCTACTGGCGTCTAAGAACCCGTCCTGCCTCGAGAGGCCCCGCTCTGATGCAGCCCTGTCTGCAGATGCCTGCGGCCTGTCAGACCCAGCACATGTGGAGAGTCTGCAGGAGAAGGCGCAGGTGGCGCTCACCGAGTACGTGCGCGCCCAATACCCGACGCAGCCCCAGCGCTTCGGCCGCCTGCTGCTGCGCTTGCCTGCCCTGCGCGCCGTTCCCGCGTCACTCATCTCGCAGCTGTTCTTCATGCGCCTGGTGGGGAAGACGCCCATTGAGACGCTCATCCGCGACATGCTGCTGTCGGGGAGCACCTTCAGTTGGCCCTACGGCGCTGGCCAGTGATGCGTGCCCACCGTTTTTAAAGAACGCGAGACGTTTGTCCTTTCCGTTTTTTAAATGATCAAAAACCAAAAAGACGGAGCTCCCGAACCACCTCGTGCCCATGGCATCCCCAGCCAGGGTGTGGTGACAGCCCTGTCCCTGGTCCCTCAGCATGAACCGTGGGTGGCAAGCAGGCGGGCATCGCGGAATGCCCGGGGTCTGGAGTGGACACCGGCGTGGGACCCTTCGACGTGGACAAATCAGGCTGATAATAAAGACGATTTTTACCGCTCAGCCTCACTGCACCGTTGTTTCTACAGTGCGGGGGATCTGAAGACAGGGGCTTGTCCCTGGGCTGTAGCCTAGCTCCTTTGAGCTGGTGGCGCTAAGCTGCCTAGGCTGGGTTCAAACTTGGGACTCTCTCTAGCCCCACTGTCGCGTCCACACCTTGGCTCGGGTCTGGGGGTGAAGCTGGGTAGGAGCTCGCAGAGGAGCTTCACGGGTCAGTGCTCCTGAGGCCAGGGCTGGAGCAGCGCATCACGTGGCCTCGTCCCGGCCAATCGCAACCCCCCGGCCCCTGCTACGTGCTGTGCGATGCAGGATACCTGATCCCGAGCTGGTCCTGAGCTGGAAGGGCCCCACGACAGGAAGCAGAGGATGGGAGGCCGCCTTCCCCTGCACCGAGCCACACCTGAGACCCTCGGGTGTCTCCCATTCTACAAACCCAGTCTCCCCTTTCTTACGGAGAGTTTAGCATCTTTCCACAAGCAGCTAAAACACTGTCTTTCAAACTGACATGCAAAGTGGGGGCCGGAAGCGTGGAAGAGGTGGGGTGTCGCAGACGTCAGAGACCCTCTCCTCCAGGCTTGGGAATGTCTGGGGTGCGCCGCAGGCCCGGGCCCCGCCCACAGGGAGAGGGGCCCCAGGACCCTGCAGCCCCCCCCAATCCCTTGAGGCAGCTGAAAGGGCGGAGCTGCCTCTTGCAGGGGAGCCAATGAGGGCACCGGGGCGGAGGCATAGGTGGGAGCTGTGGAGTCGATAGGGATTGAAACCTCACCGAGGGCCTCGGGTACCGTTTGATCTAGGAGCTATTAAGCACCAAGGAAGTTTGATCACAGCCTCCCCAGCCGCGGTCCTGAACAAGGCCCTTTCTTGGGGTCTTTTTATTTTTCCTACTCTGGAAAATGGAAGAACGGGCTTCCGGTGACAATTGGGGGTGTGAAATGACTGCACAGAGCAGGTATTTCTCATACATTCGTTCCACTGGGGCAGAGACCCAGAGTCCCACCCGGTTGCCTGGCCAATGTAGCCAGGCTGGGCGAGCTCAAGGGTCACACCCTTCTGTGTCTGCATCTGGGAACCTCAGAAGTACACGGAGCCTTCACTGTCTGCCTGGTCGTCGAATTTCTGGATCTGGCTCTTGAGGTGCCTCAGTTTACCCTTCAGGTAGAAACAGCGTGCCTGCCTGCGCAGGAAGCCAGGGTCCTAGGAGGGTGAAAACCAAGGCTGTGCCTCAGTCTGCCCTCACTGAACTGGGCAGAGGGTCCCACTGTGGGGCAGTGGGGGCTACAGACCCTGGCTCACCCTGCGCTTCTTTTCCAGCTCCCGCCACACGCGGGCAGTGGCCCGGGCCTCCTCCTGCATGGCGGGAGGACAAGGAACCATGGGAAATGGAGGCTCAGGAGACAATAGCCCTTCCCTTGGCTGCCTGGGCCACGCCAGTCTGTACCTGGCATCGGGGCGGAGGCAGCGAGCGCAGCAGCATCTCTAGCTGCTGTAGCTTGGCTTCAGTGTCATCCACCTCGCGCTGGAGCTTCCGGAGTTCTGCATGCTGGTCCTGGAATACGGCGACATAGCGTCTCCTGCCCCTCTCGTTCCTCAGTGGCGGGTACTTACTAAGAGATCCGAGGATCCGAGTGTGAGTGGAAAGAACCTCATCTTTCTTTTTTCTTTCTTTTCTTTTTTGTCTTTTTCCTTTTTATCGCTACCGGGGATCCAACTCACGACTGCCTGCTTGCAAGGCAGGCGCTTATGCCGCTGAGCTAAATCCCCAGCCCAAGAACCTCATCTTTCTTAATTCGCCTAATTTGTTTTTAGTCTCAAAATGCTCTCTTCTCTAGTTGATAAACTCTTATTCGCCAGGCAAAGCCCCAGCTTCAATGCCCCTTTCCTATTATCGGGCATGCAGAATCCAGATGGGGGCACTCACAGCTCATAGTCGCGCACTGGGTGGGGCCTGAGCGTCTGCCCGCACGGTCCAGTTGTACCGGGTCTCCTGCCGCGCAGGGGGACCCGGGAGGGCAGCTCATCCTCAAATACGATCTTCCTGGTCCGAGGCTGGTGACGTGCGGGTGAAGGCTGGCACGGAGGGCGCCAGACACCGGCTCTGGGGCCTGGAGACACCACAGTCTGCCGACGCCATGGGAACCGTGGGCTGAGGTTACGGGATGTCCACAAGTGGGGTCCCTGGCCCGGAGGGGCTGAATGCTGGGCCTCGGGGCTCACTCACCGGGGGGTCGGCGCCAGGCGGGTTTCCCCGGGAGCCATGCGCCCGGGAGCGCTCGCGGCTGGGCATCAGTCTTGGTGAGGCGCCCTCCGCGACTGGAGGGCGAGACCTTCGGGGAGCATCCAGGCCCGCGCCCAGCGGACATAGCCTGCGGGCGGCCTGCGAATATGCGGGTAGGGCGCGCCTGAAGGCGGCAAGGACCATGCGCAGAGGCCAGCACGCCTCCAGCCCCGCCGCTCTTTGCATATACACACGCGGTTGGCTGGCTGTACGCACAGACTCCGCTCCAAACCGCGTAACCCGGAAGAGCTCTATGCAAATTAGCCGTGGCGTCAGCGGGAGGCCGCCAGCGGCTAAATTAATCCCCGCAGTAGTGGTGTTTTTCCCTCCCGGCAGAGGGAAGCCCATGCCCCCACCCCCGAAGTGTCCCGGGCACTTCCGCCCGCGTGCGAGCCGCACGCATCGCTCCCGCCGGTGTCACCTGCCCCAGTGTCCGAGGAGCCGAGCCTGAGCTCCTGGCCGGAAAGGCACCCGAGTCCGAGTTGTGTATTTACAGCGCTCTAGCCCAACTGGTGGAGCAGCACCACAGGCCGGGGGCGGAACTAGAGCGAGGGCGGGACTTGGCTCCACAGGACCAGGTTCGCGTCAGACCCCGACTCAGCCCCTCTGAGGTCACCTTGAGACTCTCAGTTCTTACCTATCTGACCTGAAGAAGCGGTTTTCACGAACTTTAGTTGTTCAGTAATTATATTTTAAAAATATTTCCTTAAAGCTCGGATTGGTAGCGCACAGCCATAAATCCCAGCACTCTGGGAGGCTGAAGCAGGATCAAAAGTTCGAGCCCAGCCTGGGGAACCTTGTGAGACCCTCTCACACAATGAAAAGGGCCGATAATGCAGTTCGGTACACAGATCTTGGGTTCAAGCCCCAGTGACGCACACAAACAATAGAGGAACTGCACAGGACACAGCAAAGGTCGCTATCGCCACCTGCCGAGCAGAGGCCCTGGCAGTGACAGCTCCAGGCCACCTGGCACACCCTGCAGGACGCCAGGCCCAGGCGCGTCTCCGAGTCGTCCCCCAAGTGCACCTCAGACTGGGGATGTAGCTCAGTGGCACGGAGCCTGCCAGCAAAGATGAGATCGATTTTCGGTATCAAAATAAAAGAAACAATGTTTTTTTTTCCCCCTCTAGTTCTGGGATGGACCCCCAGGCCTTTGTATTTTGGGATGGGATCTCACTGAGTCGTCTAGCCTGGGCTGGCACTTACGATCCTTCTGCCTGGGCTTCCCTAGGTGCTGGGACAACAGAGGTTGTTTTCAGTTTAAAATTTTGCCTCAGCCCGTGAGTGACGATTGAAACCATTTTTGCTATTTTCCTGTGTGTACCCCGCAGGCCTTTGTTTTCTCTCTTGTGCTTTGGGGGCTCTGCAGGTCTCCATGAAATGAGTCTTTCGGTTACCATGACACCTGGAATCCTCCAATAGATTTCACAGCCCGAGGACGTTTTTTTATTTTGCTTTCTGATTTTATGCTTTTGAGTTGGAGTCTTATTGTGCTGCCCAGGGTGGCCTTGAACTCCTGGTCTCCAGGGATCCTCCTGACTCAGCCTCCCTCTGGGTCCGCTCCCCCTGGAGCCCTCTGCATGTCTGGCTCCCCCTGGTGCCCGCTGCGGGCAGCCCTGTGTGCAGCCTGGTGCCCAGGCTCTGGAGCGCCCACTACTTGAGCTTGGGCACGATGCGAATGAAGAGGATCATACTGATGAAGATGAAACAGACCACGATGAGCATTGCCCACAGCAGCCAATTGACTGACTTCTGCGCGTGCTGCTCTAGCCGCTCTGACTCTGTCTTCAGTTTCTCCAGGTTCTGGTCAGCCATCTTGAGTGAGTGCGACAGGGTCTGTGTGCAGGGTGACTAGGTCAATACAGCTGTATGAGGAGTGGTCTCTCACTACTCCCCTGGGGCAGCCCGAGAACTTTCGCTTTTTGCCAGTGCTGTACCCTCTGGTGGGAATGCCATGTTTTAGGGCTTCTACCAAACTCCTACTCATCCAGCCAAGCCCCAGTAATGATGCCCCCTTCCTGAAGAGCCAATTCTGATGTCAGCAGAGTTCCTGCAGCCCCGAACCTGGTTGTCCTTCTTGATAACACTCTGGGCAGCCAGTGTGTTGGTCTTGAGGCTCCGAGCCAAGCTCAGCATCTCCTCAGCCAGCTTCTCCTGCAGGTCCTGCTGTCGCTGTAGGACGAGGTCCAGCTCGGCCGCTGACTGCTTCTCATCTGTGGGCCTGGGTCTGGCCACCCCACCGACCCCGCACAAGGTGGCCGAGGGGCATGTGAGAGGGGTGGGGTAGGAAAAGAGGCCAACATGTTCCCAGAAGTGCCCTGTTCATAACTTGGTTTCCCCATTCCCCAAAACTGGCTTCCAGGTGTCCAGTTTCCTCCCCTTCCCTCCCCCATGGTTAGATGGGTGGATACTCACCTTCGCTTCCTCACCTCAGGCTCCTGCTCTGGAAGCAAACACAGACTTCTTGCCCTGCTTCCAGCCTCCAAGGCTTTCTGCCGTCACTGCCACCCATAATGCCAATTCCCCCTGCTGAGTACTGCCCACTGGGCTCCTACTCCTGCTCAAAATCCTAGCTAGAACGCCCCTACCAGCAGAAGCTCTTCTTACTCTGCCTGAGCTCCCTCCTGCCTCAGGTCCCTCCCTCCTGCCTCAGGTTGGCACGTGTGCTAGCAGTGCCCAGCTGGGTCTCTGCTGGGCTACTCCTATACCAGCTCCTGGAATAAGTGCCTGTGGCTGGGGCATGAGGAACACAGGACGTATGTCCTTTCCCAGTTCCTGGACATGGAATCCTCTTCCGCTCAGCGACTCACCTCTGGCAGAGTCCTAGGGAAGAAAGGACAGGCGTGAGGTCCCAGGGAGGGAATCCCTCGAGGTCTGCATGGCCAGTCCAGGCCAGCTTGGGGCGTGGCCAGACCCAGATTTTTATTTTGGCCCCCCAATGGAACTCAATATTGCATGGAGTCGCACCCCTGATCTGTATGTCTTTTTCATTTTGAGGCAGGGTCTTGCCAAGTCACTGAGTTGGCCAAGCTGGCTCGGCTCAAACTTTTTTATCCTCCTGGCTCAGCTTGCCAGGGCGCAGGGATCCCAGAGTTGTTGGACCCTGGTTCTGCCTGTTCAGTCTGCCCAGGATCTGTCGCCGCCCTGCCTACCGTGCCCAGTAGCTCCTGTCGCATCTCGCCAGCATAGCGTGCGCGCGTCTGTAGGTGTACAGTCCTGGTGGTGGGCACACGCTCGCGGGCTGTGGTGGGCACACGGCCAGGTGCTAGGAACTGGTTGGCCAGCGCCTTCTCAGAAGAGGAGGCCTGTGGACACGGACAGGACACATGTCAGGGTGGGTGGGAATGGGTATGCTGTGGGCAGGGCCATGACTGGTGGGGCCAAGACGGGCCTGAGGGCTCACCAACTTCTCAGCCTGCAGCAGGCCCCGCAAGAAGTCCACCTTGCGCGCGTACTCGTGCAGCACCTCGGCAGCTGGCCGGCTGCGGGGGAAAACAGGATTGTGCTGTGCTCATATGGGGGCCGCACCTCACACCACCTGTGACTACCGGGGGCTGCATCGCCACACTCACCTGGCCTGTACCCTCAGCGCCTGCAGCATGTCTTCCAGAGCTCCCACATACTGCAGGGAAAGAGGAGGGTCAGTGAGGCCCACCTGGGCCGGCTCACCGGGGAAGGGCGGGCCATCTGGGAAAGGGGAGGAGTCTGGCACCGAGGGGCGGGGAGGGGAGGAGCCAGTCGATGAGGGGCGGGGCTATCTGGGGAAGAGCCAGCAAAGGGGAGGAGTCAGGCACTGAGAGGCTGAACCAGTGAAGGGGCGGGGCCTCACGGAGGTAGGGAAGGGGAGGGGCCAGGCGCTGAGGAGGCGGGGCTAATAGAGGCGGGGGTGGGGCGAGACAGGAGTGGGAGCGATAGGTGTGTGGCGCTGCGCAGTATAAGCAGGAAAAAGAGGAGCCAAAATGGCAATGAAGCGGGGTCAGGAGAGGGTTCAGGACAAGCCTACCGGACCAGCAGAGAAGGGCGGGGCCCAGGTTAGAGCAAACTGGCGGGGACGTGAGAGCAAACTGGCGGGGACGTGACAAACCTAACAGGAGGGGCGTGGTGAACAGGTCGTTTTGGCGGGGGAGGCAGGCAGGCCGGCCAGACGCCGTCCCAAGAGCTACCCTGCAGGGGCTAGGTCCTTCACGGAAGCGTGGAGCCCCTCACCTTCTCCAGCCGCCACTCTTCTGGGTCCCGCTTCTCCGCAGCCATTGCTTCGCAGCGGCACAGCAGCCTTACCAGATTTAGCTCCAGCCTGGACGCAGCCATCGTCAGCGACTGATAGCCTGCTCCTTCCGCTGGCGCCATTTTGGGAAGGGGCGGAAGTGGCTTCATCTGGGTACCCTCTGGGCGGGCGTGTTCATTTCTCTCTGGTTGGCTGGCTCATTTTTGCGGCGGAAGTAGTATCTTGTCTTAGGCACCATTCTGGCCATGTTTATTCAGGGCCAAAATGCAATTCTTTGAAACGACCTTAAGCCCTCTGGGAATCTTGGGAAAGAACCAGGTCCTTTCTTCTAGTTATTCCATTCCGCATGTTCAGAGTGTCTGGATTCTTCTCCAGTGTATTCCTCATCTAAGCTGTCCCAGGCCTCCACTTGTACTGTATGGGTCACAGAGGCTCACACTGCTTCATGGATGGTTTGCATAACCTTATAGGACCCAGCTTTGTCGCCACCCTCAACCTGGCCTAGTTTAGCTTTCTGGGCCTTTTTGGGAAGTGGGCAGTGTGACAACGTGTGTCCCATGGGTCACAGCCTCGTCTTGGGAGAGAGGTGGGGGCTGGTCGTTCTCAAATGCCGGGAACCCCATGAAAAGCAACCCACCCCAGCCTACCTGGGTCTTCAGGAAGCCAGGGTGCCTTAGGGTCTACAGAAGCTGACCTGCTGCTGCTGACTCCTCACCCTTAGGGCCACCTGGGTGCCCCAGTGTCCCACACCAGAAAAGCCTAAACTCAGGATCCATAAAGGTCCTTCAGAGCAGGCCCTGCAGACTGAGGACCCCAGCACACCCCTTCCCAGACAAGCAGCCCATCCTTAGACCTCCCCAAACCAGTTCCCACACCTATAGAGGTGCTGATGGCCATCTGTAGGGTGGTGGCTCATAGTCCTCCCAGGACAGGAAGCAGCCCCTCTCTCCACAGCAAGGCTGGCCCTTGCACAAAACAGTTTTTGAGTGTGTTTCTAAAATGTGTGGGGTCACAAGTGGCTTCCGCTTTGGAATGTATACATATATGATGAGGTGTGATAGAGATGGTACACAAGTCTGAACACACAAAATGCATTCACTTTCTGGGGGACTACTGAGGCTTGAAACCAGGGCCTGTACTGAGCTCTATCCTCATGTTTTTTTTTGCTTTTTGAGACAGGGTCTGGAACAGCTCTGGATGGCCTCCAGTGCAGATCTTCCTGGCGTGGTGTGCAGTGCTGGGATAACAAGCACATGCCATGCTAGTGGTTCCCATGCAGCCTGCACCCTGTGTGGTGGCCTGGAATCCAGGGCCTAGCTAAGCATGTGCTGCACCCAAGCTGCATGAAACAACCCCATGAAACCTGCCCCCCCCCCACCTCAGCAACTCCTGCTTTCTAGTAGCCACTTCTGTGACCCTCACATGACATCAGACCGACCTGTAGTGTGGTATCAGCAGCGCTGGAGTGCATCCAGTTCCAGGTGAGGGGTGCACAGCCTGCACTCATACTTTGTGGGCTCCTTATCCCCCAATCCCCTACCCCAAGCCCTGGGCTGTGAAGAGTCTGTGTGATGTCTCAAGGGCAGCAATGCCCCTGCTTCATGTGAGCGTAACTCCTGCACAACCAGGTCACAGGCACTTTATCTTTATTTCAGCTCTGGGCAGGTGCCCCAGGTCCCAGTGTCCATGTCTGGGAGCTTTAGGGCCTGCAAAGAGCATGGGCCATAGCTGTGGGTCTGCAGGAACGGACAGCTTCAGGCCAGGGCATGGTCCTGAGTCACAAAGCTGGCCTCTTCCAGGCCCTGGTACCCAAGGCACAAAGGGACAGAGGTGTGGCGGCCACACGATCTCCCTGGGGTGCAGATTGGTGCTGCTCCAGGCAAGGTCACCCAGCTCATGTCCTGTGACTCTCAGAGGGCTCTGGTGCTTCCTAGAATGTACCTTGGTAAGGAGGCTGAGCCTACTGCAAGTGCGGGTCCCCTGTCCAAGATAGCTGAGCTGGCCCCAGAGTCCAAAGCTCCTGTACTGTGCACAGTCCCCGTGGCCACTCCAAGGAGACTATAGTGTGGCTGCCGCTGTGGTCTCTGCTCTGCCAGGGCCCAGGTTACAGGGATGCACCCAGCCTTAATAGCAAAGTCTGAATGTACAGTATAAAACAATTTGGTCTCCCATTAAGCTGTTACAGTTTCAAGTTATGTAAACCACGTACAAAGTTATAAAAACGTACAAAAGGGGCAAGGACACAAGAGGCCACTTCCGGGATTTGGTGGCCAAGATGGCGCATCAGCAGCTGGGAAGCCTGGAGGTAAGGGTAGCCGGCCCCAGGGGCCTCTGCCCTGCACGATGGCAGGGGCAGTGCCATTAACTATACCCTCCAGAGCTTCTGACCTGGATTCTTCCTGGAACCCATGCTACTGCAGCCCAGTGCAGGCTCCTCAGCCAGGGGCCTGGCCCGGGGTTGGGGGCAGGCAGTAGGTGGGGGGGTCCGAGTACCTGCGCTTGGCCCCTGTCGGCTGTGTGTGCTCGTCCAGGGGCTCAAGGGCTCCGAGTGTGAGCAGCCCCAGGCCAGGTGCAATGTACACAGAGCGAACCTGGTCAGGGCGGCGGGCAGGGGGCTCTCGGGAGGGCAGGTGGCAGGACAGACCAGGTGGGAGCTTGATGTTGGCCGTGGGCATGACAGGAGTCCGCCGTGGGGTCTTCACTCTGACCATGGCGAAGGATGCTGGCCGGCGCCTTGGAGGGGCTGCTGCAGGGAGGGGGCTTGGGGCAGGCGTTGTGGGGTGGGGGGGCACAGGCACAGGGGGCCCTTGGAGAGACAGATGCGGGTCACTGCTGTTCAGGCATGGTGACCCCGCCCACCTGCCCAGGCAGCAGCAGAGCAAACCCTACCTTAATACTGACCTTCGGAGGCCCCCCGCCCAGCCCGCTCCTCTAGCAGGCTCTCGGTGCTAGCTGACGTTTCTGAGTCCAGGTTCTCCTCGTCCGAGCCCCTGGGGTCCAGCTCCGGCAGCCGGTAAGTGATGTCCTCCCTGGGGAGCAGGGTCATATGTCTAGGACTGCCCAAAGCATGAGGCCACACATGGGAAGTGGCTAGCCAATGGAGGCAGAGCAGTCCTACTCCTTAGGGCCATCCTCTGTGCCCAATCTGCCACCATCCCAAGCACACTTGCTCTAAGATGCCCATGGCCCTGAAGCTCAGCATGGGGCAAAGCTGAGCAGCAGAAGGAAGCCCATGAACCCAGCCCTGGACTAGCAGTAAGCTTCTGCCCCAGGCCCTTTGCATGTGATGCTGCCTGGGACACCCATCTCTACTCCCTGAGCCTAAATTGGCCAAGGACCCTGGCCTCATCTCTCCTGGCATTAGCTTTTAAAGTTTTTTGAGACAGACTGCTGTGTTGCCCTGACTGTTCTTCAATTTCTAGGCTCCTGTGATCCTCCTGTCTCAGCCTCCAAACAGTAAGCAGCAGGACCACAAGCACATAGCCCACTTTTCTTTTTGCAGTGCTAGGATGGAATCAGAGCCTTGCTGCTCCCAGGAATCGAACTCAGGACCTGTCCTTGCCAGGCAGGCGCTGTGCCACTGAGCTACCTCTCAGCTGTATATTGCTTTCTAACAGTACCCCCTTCCCCACTCTAACCTCAATGCCCCCATCCCGGCTGGGACCAGCTTTAAGCTGAGGCTGGGGCTTTGCTTGGAGGCCTCACTGTGGGCCCCTGGAGCAGAGCCTCGCTGGGACGAAGCCAGCTGCAGGAGTGCCTGTTGAAACTCAGGACAAGAGTCCCAGGAGGATGGGACTTGCTTCCCTATGCTGGCATCCACGCACACCCGGCTCCCTGCTTGCAGGGTGGATGGGCAGAGCTTGGAAGCAGGGCTCAGGGACACTTGCTTTTCCTCCTTGAGGGACTGGATGCGCTCCATGAGCATCTCCTTCTCCTGGTTCTCGCTGCTCCCACCACCGCCAGCCACCTCCTCCTCGGTGAGGGCCTCCAGCTCCTCCAGGTCACCCTCTCGGCTCTCAGAGATCTTGGGGCTTTTGCTCTGCAAGGCAGGTGGCAGCTGTGAGGCCCGGGATGAAAACAGGTGGGGGTCAGTGGTGATAGGAGGTGTGGGGACACTAGGGAGTGGGCTGCGGAGGCCACAGGTTCTGTGGTAGGGCGTGCCCAGCATGCATGGGGGAAGTTAGGCTGTGCTCTAGCATAGGGGACCAGCATGCACCGCAGCCACCACACACTACATACCAGCACCCCCTCACAAGGAGATGAGAAACTCAGTTTGAAAGGCCAGGGCTAGGAAGAGAGGGATAGAGAGTGAACCACCTGCACACAGTTGGGGATTTTTGCTCGCTCCCACCAGTGAGGATCCACGAACCACAATGGAGGGCTGAGCTCGGACCAAGATGGAAACTCTGCCTAGTCCGAGCTGCCCAGTCCAGGCCAGAGTACCCCTCCCATGACAGGCCACACCCACTGGCCAGGCGCCCACCTGAGTGGGCCATCCAGGCCCCGCCTGCCCTTGCTTACCTCAGTCTGCTGCAGCAGAGAGAGCCTGCGGCAGACGATGCTCTCCTCTGCCTCCAGCTGGTTGATGTTCTTCATCTTCACCTTGTACTTCCGCATCTGCTCTTTGATCAGCATCTCCACACACCTGCAGGCCAGGGGCCACTTGGTGAGGGCACTGCTCTGGCACTGGGCCCACACGGCAGTGCCCAGGCTGGCAGCACTCACGTGGTGATCTTGAGAACATCTTTCATGCTGGTCAGTGGGTCCGAGTTGTCAGGGCAGCGCAGGAGGCAGGGTGCGAAGATGATGGCCAGCGCTCCGGGAGACATGCGGTTCACGTCCTCCAACAGGGCCACTCTGCAGGGCCACATGCGGTTAGAGGGAGCTAAGCTAAAGGAGGTCCCCTGGGGCCCGAGAAGAGTACAGAGCCCCAACCCTAAGGGGAGGGCCATCCCTGGGCACTTGCTTGACGAGGTGGAAGACAAGCCGCTCCAGTGAGTCATGGTTGGCTTTGGGCAGGAGCTCCAGGACAGCATAGATGGCAGCCAGCTGCTCCTGCTTCCCTGGCAGCTCTGCAGAAGGGGTCAAGTGCGTCAGGCCAGGCTCCCCAGCCTACCCTGGGGCCGCAAAGAGTGACTGGGGCCCAGAGAGGCCCCTATATCCATGCTGCAGTCCTGTGGAGCTTGGCTCACCCACAGCTCGGAGGAAGTCGCTGTACTGGGCGAAGGTCATGAGAGGCTCGGGCAGTTCTCGAAGCCACTGCTTAAGGACGCCAGTGATGGCATGGATGGGGAAGTCCTCCAGCCGCACAGCTGCGGGATCTGCAGGACAGGACGGACAGTGCAGTGTGAGCCTGGGGCTGAGGAGAGGGGAATGACCTAGGGGCTACCCGTCGCCCTGCCCACCTGTCTGCAGTGCCTGCCGGAGCTCACGCGTGCGGTGGGCGGTGCCTGACTTCCGGTATAGGCCCTCCGTGTATAGCCCGTGCAGCTCCACATGTTCCAGCAGCTTCTCCAGTACCAGGGGCACCGAGGTCTTGTCATTGGTCAGACTGTCCACGCAGACGCCAAAGTGGCCCAGCTCGGCACCTGGCTCACTCTGTAGTGCAGGGCAGGGGTGAGGGTCCTCCAGAAGCTGGTGGGCCTTCCTGGCCAGCCACCTCCCCACCCCAGCCCCTTGTCCTTTTCAGCACAGAGGCTGGGGTGCCAGAGTCAGTGCAGTGACTTTGGCAGGCCGTTGGGGAGACTCCTGCCCCCTAACCCAGCATGGTTCCCCAGCGTCTTGGAGCAGAGTTGGGGTGTGGACTTCCAGGGAGAATGATCAGGAGGGCGGGGCTGGGCGAACATGCTCACCTTCCTCCCACTCAGGTAGGAGCAGCAGTTCTGAATCTTGTGCACGCACTTCTTGTGACAGGTCATCTTGCACACTAGGAGCCACATACTGGAAGTCAGTCACAGGTCCTCGGAGCCACATTCCCCCCATATCGGTCCCAACTGCCTTTTACTTATTCTGCACCAGTAGGAGTGACACCGAGGGCTTCCCAGAGGCTAGATCTAGCACTGAGTCACGCTTCCAGCCCTTCTTATATTTTATTTGGGGATCTGGTCTCTCTGGGTTGGTAGGGAAGGAGGGAGTCTTGAACTTATGATCACCCTGCCTTGGCCTCGCAAGTAGCTATGACGCCTGGTACAAAGCAGGGGTAGGTGCTCACCGCTACAGAGCAGGGCCTTGTCCATAAGCCAGATGAAGGAGAGGCAGTGCTCACAGGACTGTGGGATGCTGACCTGGTAGCTGGCAAACACATGGCCCTTGTGCTCCTGCACCTGCAGGTGGGCAGCAGGGCTCAGCAGGCCGCATAGTGCACATGCAGCCTTTCACATCCGCCCACGGGGCCACACAAGGTCCCCTACTCACAGCTCGTTCTTGCTTCTGTTTCTTCTTCTGAGCTTTGCTTGGCTGAGAGACCAGAGGGAGAGTCACTCAGGGATCCCTGGCCTGGCACATCCCCAGCCAGTGGCCCTGACACCCTCCCTCCATCCATCTGAGACACAACCAGGGAAGAGGGGTGTGTGGGGGAGGGCCAGGAGAGGTGGCATGGATACGTGTATGCCCGGAGATGTGGGGGTCAGGAAGGTTGTGGCCAGGCCAAAAGTGGGCAAGTCTGAAGGGATGGGCTGTCAGGAAACGGGTGGGTGGGGCCAGATAGCTGGGTGTTTCCCGGTGTGGGCAGGGCCACAGCAGTAGGCGTGTCTAGGATGTAGCAGGCGGGGCCACACCTTCACTGGATCGAAGTCATTCTTGGAGCAGCGCCTGGTAAACTCGTCCAGCAGCGACTGGAAGAGGTTGAGGACCAGGTTGGTGTCCTCACCGCGCTCACTGGCCAGGTTGCTGACGATGATCTGGTAGTTCTCCATCAGGTCCTTGTAGCCGACATGGACCTTTCCGTTCTGCGGGAACATGAGGTATCACCCTGAGCCCAAGCCTGCGAACCTGCAGGGGCTGTGGAGGACATGGTAGGAGTCGCAGGGGTGGGGCCTCCACACACCGGCACGGAGTACATGGTTTTGAGGTTGCTCCTGAAGCGCTCGGTGGCCTCGATGAATAGACTCTCAATGGGTGTCTTCTGGGAGCGCAGGTCATTTATCTGCAAGAAGAGGTTGTCTCTCAGCCTCAGGCTGCACACGCCCAGCTCCAGTTCTGCTGGCCAGTGCCAGGGACTCCAGACCACTCAGCCCCAGGCAAGGTACAGCATAGGGCAGGCACCATGCTGGCCTCCAACCACATGGCCGGTGGTGTCCCTGTTGGCTATAGTGAGGAGCAATGTCCCGCCCAGGAGTGGGGCAGGGGGATGGGGAGAGAAGTCAGAGGGTACAGTTTCAGTCAGGAGTAAATTTTGTTTTCTGTGAGGATCTTAAGTTGCCCAGGCTGGCCTTGAACTTGAAATCCTCCTGCCTCAGCCTCCAAGTGAGGGAATTACAGGCGTGTGGCCCTGTACTCAGCTTGACAGGAGTGACTTTTGGTGCTCATACTGCACAGTGTGTGTGATATAGTCAACAACAGAGTGTCATGCAGTTTCAGATACCTGGAAGCCAGGCTTAACTCCCTAGGGCTGAGGCTGGAGCTCAGGAAACTTCCTCTGTCAGCAGGGGTTCTTGGAAGATCCTGCCTGCCCCTGCCTCTCAACCCACTGGCCCCCACCAGCCCACCTTGTTGAGCAGGAACTCGTCGAGGTACTTGAGCTCGTTGGCATTGGTGATCTTACGGAACACTGACTCCCGCCACTTCTCAGTCACTGTGATCTTGCCGATCTTGAGGTTGCGGTTCTTCTTTCCTTTGCTGCCCGCATCCTTGGTGTGTTTCTCGCATGCTGTGTGGTGCGGCTGATGGCCGGACGGAGCTGTGGGCAATGTAGAGGAGCCCTAAGTATGGGTTTGGGGATGGTGCTGGCCTTGTGGGACACAGACAGGAACGTGGAAAGCTGGGGCCACAGGCCCCACTGCTGCCTGGCAGCTCTGGTGACCAACCTTCCAGATTCTTCTTCACAGTGGTGGCTTCCAGTGCAGCATGCCTAGACACTGTGGTCTCTGTTTCCTCTACGCCCTCCAGGCTGGACTTCTTATCCTTGGTCTTATGTAGGAAAAGTCTTTTAAATGTGGACCTGCAGGGCACACAAAGTTTTTTTTTTTTTTTTTCTTTTTTCTTTTTTTTGGCCATAGGGTCTTGCTATGTAGTCCAGACAAGCCTTCAAGTTGTCTCCTGCCTCAGCCTCTCAAGTGGTAGGCTTACAGGCAGGTTCCACTATGCCTGGAAGCAAGTTTTTCAGTACAGGGTTTTGGGTGCAGGGAGCACCAAGCTACCTCCCCAGGCACTCTAAATTTTGAGACAGGGTCTTGCTAAGTCACTAGGTTGTGATCCTCCCCCATCAGTCTCCCAAGTAGCTTGGACTGCAGGTGTATGCCACCATGCTTGTCTGAGTTGTCTCTTTGAAGTCCTGGGAAGTGAAAATAATGTGAGGCTTAAACTTCCCCTGACCAAGCACATAGCAGAATAGGGTCACTTTACAAGGAGAAACAGCTTTTGAGATGAGATCTAAGTTGGAACCACAGGGAGGTTCCAACTTGCAATCTGCCTGCCTCAGTCTCCTGAGAAGCAGGGATTACTAGTGTGTGTTATCACATCTGGCCAAAATTCCATTTTCTTCTTGAAAATAGTAACATGACTTGAGCCATCTCCTTTTATGGGCACAGGGTTAGAAGAGAACGGATGCTGCCTGTGAATCATCGCTACTGGCTGAGTGAGGCAGGCACCCTGCTGCTCTAGGTTGGCTTTAAGACTGACCCTTGCAGGATCTCTGCCATGACCTTGGTGTGAAACATTGCCAGACTCCTGCACAGAGGGATGGGACCCCAAAGGAGTGGTAGGTAGAGGTGGGGTCCAGGGGTTGACTGGGTTGTGAGGATGCCACCCTCAGCCTGATAAGCCCACTGTGTTTACAAGAGCAGGGACTGCCAGGAGTTGCCCAGAAGGGTGAGCCCCACCCCCAGACCCTCCTTTCGGGCTGTTTCCACTCTCTGCTTCCTATGGTGCTCTTGCCCTGGGCTGGTGACCCTGGACTGAACCCTTGGAAATTGTAAGCCAAAGGTCCTTGGTGGAGCTGCCCAGCAGCTGCTTTTCCTGAAATCTGGACTGCATATCCATGCAGGAGCCCAGACTCCCTCATGGCCTTGGCAGGAGCCCCAGGCATCCTTTGGGGGCTGAAGCCCCAGCCCCCTTACTTGGAGTCGGCCTGTGAGCCAGGGGATACTCCTGCATCCAGGCCTGAGCTAATGTCACCCGACTTCTTCTTGTGCACAACTGGCTTCTTGGTGCTGGGCTCCCCATCAGTTTCTGCAGAAGGCTGTGGAGATGGATTGGGAGAGGCCGGGTGAGGTGAGTGGCCACCTCTGCTGAGGGTGTGGCTTCCGTGGTATGTGCTCCACTCACCAACTCTGGCTGCCCCTTTGAGTGGGGGAATGGAGCACTGACCACTGAGCTGCAACCCAGCCCTTTCTTAATTATAAAACAGTCTCAATAAATTGCTCAGTCTGTGCTCGAATTTGAGATCCTCTAGCCCCAGCCTTCCTAAGATCTGGAATAACTGGCTAGCCCATTTCTCTTTTAAATGCCCTCTGGGTGGGGCTGGGGCAGCTGAGGTGGAAGTGAGCTGGACTGTTTTACCTGTGCCTTGGCTGGGGACAGCTTAGAGATGTCGTCTGTGGACAAGGAGATGCGCCTTTCCCTGAAGGTCACAGAAACAAACTACTCACCAACTCGAGGCCTTCAGCAGGTGGTGGCCCCGCCTCCTTTCCCAAACAGCTCCAGGTCCATGCATCTCACCACCCATGGACCACTACCTTCATGTGTGCACTCTGTGCCTGTGCTCACTGTCATCCGGACAGCACTGAACACCCTTCCTCTCCCAACCCCAGCCACCCTCTGAGCACCCAGCCGCACTGCCAGAGACCCAGGCAGCCTGATGTGCCCAATGCAGACATGGACACCTCGCGCATGTCCATCTGTCTGTCTCTCTTCCTGTCACATTCCACTGGCCTATCTCCTTGTGCACCACTCTCCTGTGCCCATCATCTCTGCCACTTCCCCTGCCCACATCCCAGCACCTTTGCGCCTCACTACTCCCTCATTCCGACCCCCAATTTCTCTCCTATCCTGTTTACTGCTACCACAGGCCTCAGGCCACCCCCCAGGCCTGAGGCTCCGGTCCAGTCAGGGCTTACTCTGTGGGGCTGGAGGCAGAACCCGCGGCCCTGTGCTTGTCACCAAGGTCCAGGGACTGACTGAGTACGACGGCCCCCAGCTTCCGACCACGCCACTGCTCCACAGCTATGGCCAGCCGCTCGCCTTCAGCAGGCTGGTACCGCTGGATATGGACTGCAGCCCCGGGGCTGTCAGCCAGCTGGCTCCTGTCCTTTGGCACCATGTCCAGGGCCAGGCTGGTGGGCCGCTGAGGAGGGCTGGGCCCAGGATCCTGTGCGGGGTCACCCGGGGTCCCAGCGGCTTCCTGGGGCAGCGGTGAGGGGGATGCTTCGGGCTGCGGGCCATGGTGTGCATCCCCAGACCTGCTGTCCACGTCCCCAGCCCTGAGTTCCTCACGGGAAGCCTGCATGTGCCGGTTCTGCAACTCTACATGTTCCAGGCCCCGCTGCCGCCGGGACTCGCGCTTCTCCCGGCTGCTGGCCGCCTTCTCCTGACTCTCACTGGCCACCGCCGTGCTCCTGGGGGCTGGGGACCCATTCCCGGGGCCTGGAGCCACCTCCGCCACCGCTGGGGACCCGTCTTCTGGCTGTGTCTCAGGCCCTGGCACCGGGGACCCGTCTTCTGGCTGTGCCTTGGGCCCTGGAGCCGTATGCTCACTGTCCCCAGCAGCTTCTACCTCCTGCCCGGCTACCTGCTCCTCGGTGGCCTCCAAGCCTTGCCCAGCCTCTGTGTCCTGCATCACTGAAGCCTCCTGGCTCTCCCGCGACTGCTCCTCCTCCCTCTGTTTCTCTGCGAGCATCTGGCTGAAGCTGCACAGGACAGAAGGAGTAAAGTCAGAGACAGCTGTGGGGACTGCACGTGCTCTTGGTCCCCGCATTTCCTAGGCACATGTGGTCACTCATGGAGCTGCGACCTCCTCTATCACAGGGGCATAGGCAGTCCTGGTCCACAGTATTGCCATGCTACAGCCGGTGGCTCTGGCGTGGGCAGAGAAGGGATCTTCACAGGGCCTGTTATGTGCACAGTTTCTCCAGGAAATCCTCAGGTCTCATTTTGTTTTGCTGTTTTGCAGTACTGTAGTTTGAACCCAATGTCCTCTCACTGAGTGACATTTTCCTAAGTTATCCAAGTTGATTCTGACCTTCTGACCCTCCTGCCTCAGCCTCTTGAGTGTGAGGATTATAAGCCTGCAGTGTGCTGGGCTCTATGCCTGTGTGGAGGCACCTCTGGGAGGCCTTGCACAGAGGGTACTGGTAACAGGGACTCCCGCCCCAAGAGCAAAGTTCCTACTTGAGGTGAAGGTGGGGGCGCCCATGCTGGGCAGGGCTGCTCTTGGGGAGGTAAGCTCAATATGCACAGGGGCCATAGAGTCCCACTGTGGAGAGCAGCCCCTACTCCAAGACAGGACATGCTGTGTGGTGAAGCCAGCCCGGTGGGATCCTGGGGGTGTCCACCTGGCAAGCTGGAAACATCTTTGAATAGCCCCTGTGCCCTGCTCGGGTTCCTGTCCCCTGGTCCCAGCCACCTCAGCAGGCAGCAGCCGGCCACCCACCTCCGGCGCTGCAGGTGGCCCCGGCACAGGCTCTGCAGGCGGATGATGCTTTGGCACCAGCGGTGGTAAGCTCTGCGCTGCCGGTAGCCCCGCCACGCGGCCTGCAGGCACACAGCGGCCTGCGTCCTCTCCAGGGCCCGGCGTGCACTGTAGGAGCGCCAGCAGGCCTGGATGGCCACTGCGGCGCGACGCAGCTGCAGGAAGTGGCGGCGCTCCAGTGCCGTGCGTACCCAGCTCTGCAGCAGCAAGATCTTGCGAAGGACCTCTCTGTGCAATGTCTCCTGCAGGGTCTGGCGCACCATCTCCTTCAGGAAGACCTGAGGGCCAGGGTTACTTGATAACTTTGGCGACACTGGGGATGGGACCCAGGACCTTCACACTGGGCTGCATTCCCGTCTTTTAAAAATATTTTGAGGGTGGATCCTACTAAACCAGTAAGTTTCCCAGACTGGACTTGAGCTTATGATCCTCCTGCCTCAGCCTCCCAGAGCACTGGGATCACAAATGTGTACCACTGTACCCTGGCTTCCTGTCCTTCTGTGCCCTCTTGTTCCCCCACCACTGCCATACGAGGTCCACCAGGGGAGTGGGAATGGTATCCAGCTCCTGGACTCCCAGAAGTGTGGGCTGCATGAACCTTTCTGTGGAAGGTTCAGAAAAGCAGTGGGCAGTGGAGCGGAACCCACTGTGTCACGAGTGAGCCCTGGGGCAGAGGGCAGTGGCGGACCTTGGTCTTCCCGATCTGGTAGCTCCTTTTGTCCACATGCATCTTCTCCAGCAGTGCCGAGATGACCTCACGGCAGGGCTGGGCGTCCTTGGGCAGCAGCACCTGGAACTGCTCTGTGAAGTCCTGGGGGAGGAGACCGTGAGAGCCTCTCTGGATGAACAGGAGCCAGGGCCCCTGCCCATCTGCCCAAGCCTGACCTCCTTGCTTAGCTTTCTGAGGTATTGGGCACAAAACCCTGAGCCTCTGCACATGACACAGGCGCTGAACACGGAAGCTGGGCCCTGGTCTTAGTGGCCCTGGCTGTGCTGTGTTGTCTTCCTGCCTCAGCCTCCCAGATAGCTCTCTGCATCCACCCATCTCTGGCCTATCCCCAGGGCAGGCAGCTGCTTGGCAGGGCCCACCTGGAAGGTGTACTTGGCACTGTAGCCCGAGCGGCGGATGCGCACAGTTTCCAGCATCCCTGTGTAGCGTAGCTGCTGCAGGACCAGCTCGTCATCAAAGCACAGCTCCTTCTGCAAGACAACAGTGGGGTCAGGGCCGTGCCGCACCATCCTGGGGCTAGGAGCTTACATGGGCTGACCTAAGTAGTTAAGGGGCTCCTGTCCACTGCTCATGGCTTTTTTATTTTCTGGTTTCTCAAGAGAAGGTCTCACTATGTAGACCAGGAAGGCCTTAAAGTTAGGGTGACCTTCTTGCCTTTGCCTCCCAAGTGCTGGGATGACGTGTATGTGCTACCACACCTGGCTGTCCCTCGTGTGCTCTGGACAGAAGACGGGGCTACTGGCCACATCATGCAGCCAGAGTTGGCAGTGCTATGAGCACCCAAGTGGATTGTAGAGGTGTGAGCAGTGGGGGAGCCCACCCAGCACCTGTCACCTACAAGAGCTGACTTAGGGCTGGAGGAGGAAGAGGCAGCCCAGGGCCAGTGACACAGCTGTCTGAGACCCAAGCAGAGGGCAGCAATGGGGCTGCTGTGATAGAAGGAGGCCAGGGCATTGCCTGACACCCACAGCACCTGCAGAGGTGTGGGCTGGAGGCAGGACAGAGCAAGGGGAGCAGATGTGTCCCCAGGAAGCTCCCACCCAGGTGTCCCTATGGGGAGCCCAAACCCTGGCATGGCCCTGCAGAACCCCCAGCTGGCTACCTGGGGACAGGGCAGGCCAGGGACAGAGCTGGAGGCTGGGGCCCTGGGATCAGGTCCCCTCACTGTGGTTCCCTGAGCTCCAAACCACTCCGAGGTGTCGCTGTATGCTCACCTTGGCAGCGTTAGAACGGATGCAGCGAATAAAGAAGGGCTCAGCCTTGCCCAGGGTCTCCAGCAGCTTGTTCAGGGATGTCTGGGGACAGAGAACAGCCATGCTGCTTCAAGAAAGGTGGGACAAGGTTCCCTGCTAGCACAGGAGGGGACTCAGGCCAGGCCCTGTGCTCCCAGCAGACAGTGCCGGTATGGAGGGATGGCCAGACCCTGGTGCGCAAAGAGGTGGTAGTCTTGGGCCCTGCCTGCTCTTTTCTTGCCTTATTTTCAGTGCTGGGGACAGAACCTGAGGCCTTGTACATGCTGGACAAGGCATAGTCCCATACAGGCCTGGTGCTTTCAAAAAAGCTTTGTACGGGGCAAGTACGGCTTCGTGGTGGAGTTTGTGCCTGGCACACAGGAGGACATGGTGTTCACCCCGCACATAAGAGGCTTTGCAGGGCTCCCATGGGAGGGCGCTGTTGGGGGAGCTGAGTGGGAAGAGGAGGCTCAGAAGGAGAGGAGAGTGAACAGTGAGGCCTGGCAGGCTGGATCCTAGAGCAGAATCTTTGAGATTCCTGGTGGCCCAAGCAGGAAGGGAAACCTGCTGCCTGGATGGGCTGGATGCAGGGTGTGGGAATGGAGGGGCTGTTGGAGGGTGCAGACAGTCCCCACGCGGCTGGTGCCCACCTGGAACTGGGCACTGATGCTGGGCGGCTTCTTCTTTTTGTGCAGGTGCAGCAGGGACTTGGTGGTGCGGTCATGCAGTGTCATACTGACAATCAGCCTCAGCGACTTGCAGTCCAGCAAGTTCTAGGACAGATGGCAGGGTCTGGCTGAGACAGCATGCACCCCTGGAGCCCCCAGAGCCAGGCAGGGTGCCACCACTGGACCCTGCACCCGTTTACTGGATCCGGCTGGCACTGAAGCATTGCTGCCTTGGTATGATGCCAGGCACCTGCCTCCTTCTCGGTATAAAGTCTGGGCGGGGCTACAGTTCTGCCCAGCTCACCCACCCCCGGAGCTCAGCCCAGGCCAGGAGGAGCCTGCCTGCCTTGCCCCATCCTGCCCGTCCACAGCCAGCCCTCGGCTACACATCTGTACACTGTGCAGACCCAGTCCCCAATCCTAAATCCCAAAGCCTCGGAGCTGGGAAGGCTGTGAGCACTCACGAATAGAAAGTCCCACACCACAGAAGTCTGTTTCACTGCTAAATCATTAAAAATATCATCAGGTATGGTGGGGCACACATGTCATCTCAGTTACTCAGGAGGCTGAGGCAGGAGGATTGCTGAGTTCAAGGCCAACCTGGGCTACATAGCAAGACCCAGTCTCAGAAACCAAGTGTGGGGAGAACAGAAAAAAAGAAAACAAAACCCTACAACCCATAGAAAATCCCCTAATAAAAAAACCTCAAATCATTGAAAATATATGAGGTTATCTTTGGGTCATATGTATAAAATGTACACAAAATAAGTGACTTCTGCATTTAGACTGGAGTCCAAGCCCCATGTGTTCCACGTATGTATGCAGATATTCTTTGTGTGTGTGCTGGGCAAGAACTCAGGGCCTCTGTACTCAGCAAATACCCAGCGCTTCACATTTATTTTTTATTCCCTGGGGTTCTGAGACGGTCTTGCTGTTTAGTTGAGGCTGGCCTTGAACTCACGATCCTCCTGACTCAGCCTCGAAGAATGCTAGATGATAGGTGTGAACCACCACAACCAGCTCAAAACGTTAAAAACAACAACAAACTTGGAGGGATGCTTCTGGATCCAAGAAGTCTGGACAAGGAATATCCAACCTATATTTAAAACCATGCACCCAGCCAGGCCTGGTGGCCCACAGCTGTCATCCCAGCACTTCGACGGCAGAGGCGAGAGGATCCCTGCGAGTTTGAGGCCACCCTGAGGTAGTGAGACTGTCTCAAAAACTGAAGACAAAAAAATAAAACCCAGGCGGGAGGTTTAGCTTAGTGGCACAAGCACCTGCCTAGCAAGCACAGGGTCATGAGTTCGATCCCCGGCACAGGAAAAAAAAAAAAAAAAAAAAAAACCAGGGCTGAGGATTTAGCTCAGCAGCGTAAGTGCCTGCCTTGCAATCCCAAGGTTGTGAGTTTGATCCCTGCTACAAAAAAAAAAAAAAAAAAAGCTAAGATTTTGTCAAGCACTAGGTCATAAGTTTGATCCCCGTTATACCCAAAAAACAAAAAATCAATCCTACCCTGTATATGGAGCACACACATCAGGGTCCCCTGTGCTGCTTTTGTAACTACTGTCACAGAGATCACACCGTGTCATGGGTTGCAACCAGCCACAGCAGCTGTTGGGTGCTGGGCGAATGTGCATAGTTCCAGGGTGGGTGCTCAAAGCATGTGCTCAGACTCTAAAGTGGATTTAGGGCATTTGGAGCACGCGCACAGGTTCCAGAGCCGGTGTGGAGTGCTTGGCACATGCGTGCAGGTTCCATGTAACTGCCATGCGGACTTCATCTGCTATGCCCACGGAAGCCATGGCTGTGTGGACTTGGACCAGACCACCCAGCCCATCCCAACCCCTCAGTGAGCGGCTGTGCATATGCCTATCTCAGCCGATTTCCACTGGCCCTTTCCTGTGCTGCTCTCCAGGCCTGGGCTACAGATGGACAGAAAGAAGCCCTGGAGGCAACAGTGCGTCCCTTCCCGGCCACCCCGAGTCCGACGCCGACAGGAGACAGGTGGGGACGGACTGGACAGCTATAAGGGCGTCGCGCGGGCTTTACCTTGGGAATGATCTGCTTTTGTTTGATACCTTTACTCTTCCTGTCAAAATATTAAAAACGGTTTTGTGAACAAGGGGAACATGGGGGCAGGGTTGGGTTAGTTCAGCAAGCCACAACCTGTGGGTTAGAGAGCAGGACAGGGAGGGAGCGCGTGACAGACCAGAAGGTGCCGGGTGACACCGCCTTTTCAGGACCAGCTCCACACAGTGGCCCTAAAGGACCGGAGGATGATCACCCAGCCACTCAGGGAGACTCTGACTCAGAGTAAAACAAAGACAAGAGCAGGGGATGCGGCCCAGTGCTGAGGCCCTGGCTCTACCCCCAGGACTACAAACAAAAACAAAAACAAAAAACACAGCAGAACTCTCCAAATTGGCTCCATTGTGTACAACGCTGGGTGCAGCTGTTCATGCGCCCAGTGGCTTCAAACGGACAGAGGTGCTGGTTAACAGAGAGCTGTGCCGCCCCGCCTGGTGCTGGGTCAGCACAATGTGGGCTGGGGACGGCACTGCACAGGCATCTCAAAGGGCAGCTGGGTGTGCAGATGGGTCAGTGCCAGGGACAGGCAGGTGAGACACGGCCAGGGCAACTCAGGAGCACCAAGGCCCCAGCACGGCCGGCTAGAAGAGGAAGCCAGAGGCTGCGATTGAGCATCTTAGTGGCACCAGCTGGCGAGACTAAGAGCGATGGGGACTCACAGGTCACAGAGGCGCGGCCGCTGGAGCCTGCCAAGGGACTGGAGAAGCCTGCGGGGGTCCTCACCCTGCCAGGGCAAGCCCTTGATGCTCTGGATCATCTGGTGGTGCAGTTCGCTGAGAGGGAGGGGACCACAACGGAAAGACAAGGCCATCACCTCAGGGTCCCCAGCCACCTCCAGTTACACCTGGAGAGGCGGCCCAAGAGCCAGCATCACAGTCGGGGGACATCTGTGGTCATCGGGAGTTGGGAATGCTGCTGGCTGCAGTAGGGAGCCACTCAGCACCCTATGGTGATACCCGAAGTCCCCACTGCTGACCAAGATTGGGGAGCCCTTGTTCACAGGGAAGGCAGCCCCGAGGAGGTCTTTGATCTGGCCAGCGGGAGCTCCGGGCAGCAGCCTCTGTTTTTGGCAGAGCTGAGCATGGAACCTGGGGTCACAGTGATACAGGGTGAGGGGTCCATGCAGAGCCCCCTAAATGTGTGCTTTGCTCGGTGGGTGGCATGAGGCACAAGGACTCAAGGTCCTCTTCACCTGCCTAGGGCAGCTGGTTGGCCCTGCCTGCCGGGCCTGCTCTAGAGCCCTTTTTCATTTTGAGACTGAGTCCCGCCATGTTCCCAAACTGGCTGCATAACTCCTTGAACTCAGGCGGTTCTCCTGCCTCAGCCTCCACGCAGCTGGACTACAGACACATGCCACACCACAGCTACCTGGGACCCTGGCCCCTTCTCAGAACAGCTAGCCGGGCTCTTGGGCTCCCCTGCTCTGCCCACCTCACACACTTGCCCAGGGGGCCCTCATGCTATGTCCCCAGACCTTTTTATTTATTCATTTAAGTGTATTTCTTAAAAATCCTGGGGCTGGGGATTTAGCTCAGTGGCATAAGTGTCTGCCTTGCAAGCAGGCAGTCGTGAGTTTGATCCCCAGTACCGATAAAAAGGAAAAAGACAAAAAAAAAAAAAAAAAAAAAAATCCTGAGATAATCTCTCACTAAGTCTCTAAGCTCTCAGACTGGCCTAGAACCTTCCATCCTTCTGCCTTAGCCTCCCATAGTGCAGGGTGACAGGATGCCCGGCCCCCACCCACTTTCCCCTCAGGGACCATAAACCTGTGATACCCCATGTGTGCAACTGGAGCCCGATGCTGCCTGCCCTAGGGATGTCATCTGTGGGGTTCCTGTGGATGCCAGGAACAGCAGAGCCGGGCTCTCAACCTCCTACCCAGCCAAGCCCTGTAGGACAGGCCTGCTCCGCCCTGCTGCCCAGCCCTGAAAGGCGTCCTTTGTGTGCCAGGCTGCCCCACATGCCCACGCCTGAGGCCTGCTGCATACCCGGGAACTTCCGACAAGATGGGAGCTCATGGGGCCACCATGACTGGGTAGGGCACAGTGCCATTATCTACTGGCTTTGCTCACCGGTACAGCCTCTCGGACGGTGTGTCGGCTTTTGCAGGCGGTGTTGCTGAGTGACTCTGGGCATCTGGGCTGCCCAGACCTGGAGGACAAAGCAGGGACACTGTTCAGCAGGGCTTCCCAGAGCCTGCTGGCCTTTGCAAAGGGACAGAGATCCCTTTGCTGTTTTTGTTTCTGGTGGGGCTGGGGCTGGAGCTTGAGTGCCAGGCGATGCACATCTTGGGCTGCCAACCCTTTGGGTTTTACTTGGAGATGGGGTCTTGCTGACAGGCTGACTCAAACTTCTCCTGCCTCAGTCTCCTAAATAGTTAGGAATACAGATCCGTATCACCACATCTGGGCTTTGATCACTTCTTTTTAACCTTTTCTTATAGTGCTAGGTCAATTTCCTTTTCCTTTTCCAAGGCTAGGGGTGATGCCAAGGACTCATGCCTTCTGAGCTGTACCTTACCCCTCAGATCCCACCCTCTGAGATAGAGACGACACGAAGTGCTAAGACACGGAACCACTGCATGTGATAGTCCTGTTCCTGGGACTGCTGCTGCTCACATGGTCCCACCTCGGCAGCCCCACTCACAGGACCTGTGTCTTGGAAGTGGCCTGCAGGCCTACCAGCAGACACATGGAGAAAGAAATGTGGTGTGGAATACTACTCTGCCATGAAGGATGAGCTTGTGTCTTGTGTAGGAAATGGATGTGCCCTGAGACTAGAATGTTAAGTGAAGCAAACCACATGCGAGCTTAAGTATCTCAACCACGGTTTCCCTTACTCGAGAAACCCAAAGGAGCAGAAGGGAAGAAGCGGGAGGTGGACCCTGTGTGGATGGGAGTGGCTAGGGGGGCAAGGGGCAGAGTCTGAGGACCCAGCTGCAAGTGCACAGGGCTGGGCAAACTCCAAGTCAGAGGTGGAGTGCCTGTGTGCGCAGCTGCAGTCTCTGTCTGTCTCCTGCTCCTCATCCCCGGGAAGTAGGGGGCACCTACCTGTTGCCCTCTCCCGATTCTCGGCCCGCAGGCGTGCGGCCTCCCGCATCACCGCCATGGCCCTCAAGGCAGCGCGCAGCACAGCCCAGCGGAACACGGCCACAGGCTCCATGCCAATGAGCTCGCGCACATACGCGCTGTCGCTGCCCCGCAGCAGTGCCACGATGTCAGGGCGCATGTAATCCATGTTCTTCTCCCGGAAGTCCTGCAGGTGCAGGAGGTGGGGGTGAGTGCAGGTACAGGCGATGGCAGGCAGACCACCAGCACGGAACCAGGACCTCCCACCACCGGCCAGGCTTTTAGTCTTCACAGAACTGCCTGGCCTGGACAGGACCTAGAGACCCTGCCACCTCAACCTCCGAAGCAGCTCTGGCACATACTTTAATCTGGTACTTGACTCGCCCTGCAAAGTGCTGGATGATGAAGGCGGGCTCTCTGACTGGGGTACCCAGGAAGTATTTGTTGTCCTCGTGCTGCTGCTTGAACTTGGCCAGGAGGGTCTGACTTGTGGCGTGGGGGAAGCTGGAGTGAGAATGGGAAGTTGTGGGTGGCCTGCATGGGCCCCAGGAAGGAGAAAGGGGTCAGGACCTGCCTGTGCCCACCAGCTGGGTGATATGGAGTGGGCAGGCTGCCAGACCGCAGTTTCCTCAGACCTGGGCTCTAGGGGAGGGGCAGGACCTTGAAAGGACAGGACCTTGAAGGGGTTGGTCAGTGTGGGCATGACCTCCTACCCCACCCAGGCAGACGGGGCGGTAGAATGTGCTTCATGTCCAACTCACTTGCTCTCCTCATCCAGCAGGTAGAAGAGGCCGGTGGGCTTCTTGCTGATGAGGTGGATACAGCCTACATTGTCGGTGTAGGTGATGTTGTGCCAGGTGATGCCCTCACCCTGGTACTCCTCCTGTGGCCGGCAAGGTCAGGCTTCACTGGCACGGACTGGCCGGAGGTGTGGGTGTCCCCTGACGCACAGGGTCTTATGTCCCAGGGTCCCCAAACCCACACCATTCGTGTCCCTTTAGGTACATGAATTTGCAGGTAAGCTGCACGCATCACCCCCCATGCACTAGACCTGAGTCCTCACACGGGTCCACTGTATGAAGTCATACTGTAGCGTTCAGCGAATAAGAATAAAAATGCATGTGTTTACTATAAATGTGGTTCCTCCTCTCCCTGGGTACTAGGGACTGAACCCAGAGGCACTGAGCTGTATCTTCAGCCTGTTTGTATTTTATTTTGAGACAGGGACTCGTGAAGGTGCCCAGGGCAGTTTCGAACAAGCACTCCTCCTGCCTCAGCCTCCCAGAGTTCCAGGTTGACAGGTGTGTCGCCATTGCCAGTACTGAAGTTCATCTTTGGAATATTTTTGTTTCAAGTCTGGTGCAAATCATCAGGGGGACACAGATAAGCAAAGCAGAACATCCGAGCAGCCCAGTGTGCACATGACAGTGACCACGTGAAGTGCCTGCATCTAAATCTGATGGGAAAGAACACTCGCTCTCATCAAGGCCCGGGTGTCCTGTGCATGTCCGAAAGCTCCCAGATCCCCACCTGTGCCCCACAAGGGGCTGGAGAGCTCTTTAGGAGCCAGACAGGAAAGGAACCAGGGGAAATACAGAAGGTGACCGAAAAATACAGCCAGGGCTCATGTCACAAAGCCTGTGACAAGGCAGGCATGGTGGCAAGCCTGTCATGCCAGCACTGGGAGGCTGAGGCAGGAGGATCACCAAGAGTTCAAAGCCTGGGCTACATAAAGAGACCCTGTCTCAAAAAACAAAAACAACAAACAATTAAGACTGTGATGGTAAAGAGAACCAAGAAGGGCTGGCCGAGGGAGTACTGTGAGGAGTGCTCAGGGAGTATGTTTTTTACTGTATTAAACATTTTTCTTTTTGCGACAGGGTCTCACTATGTAGTCCAGACTGGTCTTGAGCTCCTGGTGACCCTCCTTCTGAGGGACTGATGCCTCAACCTCCTGGTGCCTCAACCTTCTGAGTGCTGGGATGACAGGCCTGCACTGCCACGTCTGGCTGGCTCATCATGCTTGTAGAATGAGTGACCTGCATTATTTCCATTTCCACTAGCTGCACTTTTTGGTTTTTTCTGTGATGCCAAAGTGGATCCAGGGCCTCACACCTGTTAGACAGAGGCTTACCTCTGAGCCACACTCCAGCCTTGCCAAAGCCAGCCGTGCCAGCCTCATGTAGTGCTGTGTCCTGACGCTGCGGGGGTGGGGGTAGGGGGGACCAGAGGGTCCTTGGAAAGGCAGCCCTCTCTCTCTCTCTGGTGACTGCAGAGATGGGTGTCACCGAGGGGACCCTCACTAGAGCTACAGGGTGTGGCTTGGAGACAGCCCCCAAGCCTGGAGCACCATGACCCTCTGTGACCCTTCCTGTTCCACACAGTGGCTGCATAGGGGGCTCTGTTACAGCTCAACATGCTGCCAGCTACTAAACCCCCCAGGCATCGCTGGGAACCAGCCCACATCCTGCTCTCCCAACCACTCCACCAGCCAAGTTCTAAGGGCCAGGAGTTGCTAGGCTTGATGGGGAAAATGACTGCATGTTTGCAGAAATCCACAGGATTTCCCCATCAGAGCCATCAGAACAAGGGAGAGTACTGGAATAGCCTGGCCACATAGTCCTAAAGTGACACCAACTGCTGCCCCTGACCACAGCAAGCCCCTCTCTGGGAGAGGACTTGTCCGTTTGGGCAGACAAAGTTTAAAAATGACCCAAGGCTCCAAACAGCTTCATAGCTTCCTCACCCTGGGGCTGGGTGGGATTTTTGTCAAGTTTCCCTGCAGTCAGGTTCTGGTGTCCTGGGCCTCAAGGGAGATTCTGGGCTGCAAGTCCCACTTCCCGTGGGCCAGTGACCGACAATGCTTGACTGGGGACCAGAGGGTTCAGCAATTCTACTTTCAGTTTGTCTCCAGCTTTTAAAAATCTCTTAAGTTTTGAGACAGAGTCTCACTAAGTTGCTAAGTTGCCCAGATTAATGTGTTAAATTGCTTGGCCAGATTGGGCTCGAACTTGCCACCCTCCTGCCTCCACCTCCCAAAGTGCCAGAATGACAGGTGTGTGCCCAACTCACAGGCCTGTCTAAATTTCATCTGGAGACACAGTGTCATGAAGTGACCCAGCTTGGCCTCAAATGTGTGATCCTCCTGCCTTGGACTCCTGGCCACTGCACCCACATTCCCTGCAACACTGTTCACAAAAAGACAGGCGCGGAAGCCCCCCACACATCCCAGGAGACGGACTACACAAAGTGGGGTCCCACAGTACGTGTGACTGAGCCCCCGAAAGGGAGGGTGGCTGCAGCCTGAGGGCCTTTGGGAGTAGGACTGACTGTCCAGAGTGCACACTGCAGGCCCCTGTTCATACCTGGACCACAGAGTGGGAAAGCAGGTAGGCAGGTGGCAGCAGAGGGGAGGATGCAGCCGCAGACCTAGCCTGGCCCAGGCGGCCCGTGTAGGTGCACTTGGCCCCTACCAAGGCCAGCCGCATGCACAAGAGCGGGTGGAGCCGCAGCAGACTTGCGCATGCGTACCTGCTCCAGTGTGAAGATATGCTGGTTGAAGTAGTACTGCAGCTGCTCGTTGGCATAGTTGATGCAGAACTGCTCAAAGCTGTTGCGCTCAAAGTCCTCAAAGCCAAAGATGTCGAGGACCCCTATGGACAGGCACTGGTGACAGAGAGGCTGTCACAGCTGGGTCCTTTGGGGGCCCGCCTTCCCAGCAGCCCTCACCCGTGGGGTTTTGCATCTTTTCCATTTCCCACTGGGGCTGGATCCGTCCTCTTCTCGTTGAGACAGGGTATCACTAAGTTACCCGGGCTGGGCTGAACTTTGGATCTTCCTGCCTCAGCCTCCTGGTGCTGAGACGACTTGTGTGGGCCACCGAGCTCAGCAGTTTTTCACTAAGGGGCTGTTTTTTGTGTTTATTTTGCGTGCTGGGGTTGGAGTAACTATGCCCCAGCCAGGAGGCCCCATCTGCCCCGTGCCAGATACCTAGAGTCATAGGACCTGTCTGCTGGATGGATCAGCCCAACAGCGATTGCAGGGCTGGGGATCCCTGGGGGACACTCACCGAGACAGCCTCCTCCATGTCCTTCTTGTTGAGGAGTGCATGGTTGATCCGCAGCACGATCCAGTCAAACAGGGCGCTATACAGGGACTTGGCCATGGAGTCACGGGCAGTGATGGCCTGGGGACAGGGCACCTGCTCAGGCTGTGCAGAGCTGAGGGGCTGTCAGCCTCAAACTCCTGGGCTCAAGAGCCTGTCCTGCCTGAGCTTCCTGAGCAGCTGGGGTAACAGGTACAAATCATTGCTCCTGGTTACTTTCTCATTTAAAAACAAAATCTTGTTTTGTATTTATGTTTTGGTTTATGACTTGCCTCTTTCCTGAATAGAACTGCAAGCCCCTGTGCTTTCCATCTGGAACCTGGGACAGAACCCAGGAGCGCTATGCCCTGGGGCACCCTCAGCCCTCTATTTGTTATTCTCAGACAGGGCCTCAGTGATTCTCCTGCCACAGCCTCCTGAGGAGCTGGGATGGGGACCAGTGCCCTGCAAGCACCAGGCCAGCCTCCCTGTTCCCCGTGCATCCCTTCCACACAGGTACACACAGGGCAGCCACTAGGTCTCAGTGGCCCAGTGACTTTTATAGGGCCAGCTACCCCTACTGAGGTCTGGTCGGTGCCTCCATGAGCTCATGTGGCCTCAACACTGTCAAGTGCTCTGTATGTAGGTTACAGTATTCAGGTCACTGCTGCAAATGTGGAAGCCACGCACCCTGCCCCTCTCTGCTTCTCTGGGATACAGTAGCGGCTTCCTGTGGTGCTGCACGAACCCTGGTCTTCATGGCCCAGACTGTCCACAACACATGTGAGAAATGCCACGCAGTCACCCAAATGGCCCCCTGAGCCCAGGTACTTGACCCAGTCACTCAGCTCAACCACTCCCGCAGTCAGGTGGCAGGGAGGCGGGACCCAGGAGAGCTTTGGGGACCACGCTGTCATGGGGACAGCCCTGCATAAGTGCCTTCTGGGCTGAGGAGAGAGGTCTGGATCTCAGGCAATTTGGGCCAGAATGGGCTTCACTGCACCCACTAGGTTCTGCTGTAGAAGCCAGAGGGCAGCAATGGTCAGTATGCAAATGACTGGGTATAGCTGTGAGCCAACATAACTACTTGGGCAGGGAAGTGTGCGCGCGCACACACATACACACTCATTCGCGCTCACACACACTATCCACAGCTCCCTGAGTAGCCATCAACAAGGGGCTGAAAGTGCCGGGTGGAAAATCCATGGAAACACAATTTGGTGGTTTAAGCCAGCTCCATCCTGGGGCCTCTGCCCAGCAGCCCCATGGGGTATGCAACCAGCGACCCCACTGGTCATGCAAAGCTATTCAGCAAGCAGCTTTGGTGGCCAGGTCACAGCCCAGCAGAAGACGCCCGTTCCCCGCCTGCGGGATTCTCCCCACACATACTGCCAGGTCTGTCCTCTGGTCCTCTGGTGCTGAGTTACTGGGGCTGCCCTTTCCACAGGGCTCACCGACTAGCTGAGCTGCAGCTCAGGGGAACAGGGGTGGCCACACACACCACGGTTGTATTTATATTTCAAAAACCTGATGAAGACCAAAGGTAGGGTAGCTGGGGACTTGCCCCTTGTCCTGGCGCTATCCATGGCCACTCTGGGGTTTCCTTTCCTGAGGGTCTGCACCAGATCTGACCCAAAACCCAGGGACCACGGCCACAAGTGCCACTCAGTGGAGAGGCAGTGCCAGGCACCTCGGCCACCAGACCCAGCACGGGGCACTCTGGCTCCCGCCTGGCGTCACAACAGCCAGGAAGGTGAAGGGTCCCCAGGGCGCAGGGGCCCTGGGAGAGAGGGCTCTGGGCGGCTGTGGGCCAAGCTGGGACTAGCAGCGGGCATGCCTGCAGCGTGCCTTCTACAGTAATGAATACTAACACGGGCTGTGGCGTGTTTCTCCATCTCAGAACTGACCCCTGGACACAATGTCCACAGAGTGGCCCCCACTGCAGGCCAGGTGGCACCTACCTCGCTGAGGCTGTAGGGCAGGATGAGCTTGTCGTTGGCGGTCACTGTTTTTCTTTTGGTCAGGACCTCAACCAGGATTTCTCGCTTTACCTGCAGTAAGGTCAAGGTCAAGGTCAAGGAGAGGTAGGCCTTGGGAGGAGAAGCTTTGTGTCCAGGCCCATGGGCTGACAGGAACCTCGGGACCACTTCCGAGGCAGTGCCCTGAATGTGCAGAGCCTCCAGGTCCCCACCTGTGCGTGGGGTCCAGGTGTGGGCTTGGGCTTCACCAAGACCAAGACCTGATGCCCTCAGCCTGCCCTTAGCTGACCCCAGTAGGAATGGTGTGGGCCAGGGGGTCCCATCATCTTTCCCAACGCGCCTATGCAACCTAGGGACTCAACAGAGGCTGCAGACCAAGATACCTTCTTTAAACAAAGCTGCTAGTCAAACGAGGTGTTGCATGGGAGACTGAGGCAGGAAGAGCCCAAGTTAAAACACTTTTCTGGAAACTTAGGAAGAGGCAGTCTGAAACCAAAAAAGGGCTGGGGATCTAGCTCAGCACCAGACCATGGGCCTCAGCCAGAACTCACAAAACAAAACAGAAAAGAAAAGGACATAGGCCACCTTTAAGCCCACAGCAGCCAGCCCTGGGTTGAGCTGCTCTGCCAGGGGGTACCCTCCTGTGCAACATAGGGTGCTGAGGGGTGCCCCAACCTCCACCACCACCTCAGCTGTGTTCAGACACTGCCTTGAGGGCTAAGGTGCTGAGCTATTGCAGTGGAGACCAGCGGCAGGGAGCCACATCCCCAGAAAAACGGCCTGGACAACAAGGCTGCACTGCTAGTTTGCCCTGGCTGGCTTCTAAGCCCCAGTCCAAGGGATCCTCCTGCTACAGCCTCCCTAGAAGGTAGGACAACAGATGCCTGGCCAAACCACTTTTGGGTATGTGTATGTGGTTTTATGAGACAGGTCTCATTATACAGTCAGTCCAGGCTGGCCTCAAACTTGTGGCAATCCTCCTGCCTCAGCCTCCTGAGTGCCAGAATGACAAGTGTGTGCCACCACCCTTGACTCTGCAAGGGCGTTTTGCTTGAATGATGCAACGGGAGGTGGTGCAGGCCAGGGAGAGGATCAGAAATGAGAAGGGACCCAGCAGCAGGGACGGGAGGAAAGTCCACTGGCCAGCTCCGGTGGAAGACACGCAGGCGTCTGTCTATCCCGGCTGTGGTACAGGGTGGTAGGGTGTGTATGCAGTACCTTTAGCAGCTGCGACAGCGTGTCTAGCACCTCACTCGGCCCCACCTCTAGGCCCTCGTCTCGGCCAGTGGCCCTCTTCTTATAGGTAATGTTGCCCAGGTACAGGATGGCAGACAGCACAGAGAAGATTCTGCGGGCACAAGCGAGGGGGTCAGGGGCAGCAGATCCCCTCCCGGGGGGCAGGAGCCCCCTGCTTCTCCCCGGGACTGAACTTCTGTTCCTGGCTAAGGTAGGAGCCAGGCCAAAGTGGTACCCAAGCTCTCCACCCAGCACCTCCAGGTGACTCACTCTTGTCTAAGGGAGATCTGGGCACGGAGCCCAAGGCTCTGCACATGCTAGGCAAGGGCTACAGCACAGGCACTCACTGTGAACAATGACATCACCATTACCATCTTCTGGAATTTCTAAGATAGGCCTTGCTACCTAGGGACTCCTTAGATCCTCCTGCCTCAGCCTCCTATGTACTGGGAGGGGCAGATTGCGCCACCATGCCTGTGTGCATGAAGCAGAACATCGCACCACACTCCCTAACATGCAACAGGTCAGTAGGCCCATAGCCTGGCATGGGGCACAGAGGTGGAGACAGAAGGAGCCTAAGCTCACACCCAGCTGGGCAACTCAGGGACACAAGGTGTCAAGATAAAATAAACAGGGCTGGGGATCCAGCTGTGGGCAAAGACTCCAGGTTCACATGCACACAGAGGCAAGCACAGCACACACTTTCCCAGGAGAGCTCAGGAAACTGCCCCAGTTTGCATGTCACAGGATGGAACGTCTGTCCCCGTCTGAGCAGCTCAGCCTAGGCTGAGGCTGAAGCTGACCCGCTTGGGGCTGCTTTCCAGACAGCAGGCACGGTGAGCGGCTGCCTCCTTCCCCACACGATGACACAAGGTGAAACCAGGGCAGACTGTGTTGTAGACTGTTTTCTGTTTCTTTGTGCAACTAGGGCCTGAACCCAGCCCTTTTGTGTTTTGAGACCAGGGCCTTGCTCAGCTGCCTACAGGGATTTGAGCCTGCAGCACTCCTGCCTCAGCCTCCCAAGTAGATCACAGCTGTGGTCAAGTGTGCATGCAGCTGGGCAGTGACTGGCACCCCTGCCCGGGTGGCCCATGCCCCCTCCCCACACAGCCCTGAGATCCAGGCCAGGCCACTCACTGCCTCTTGGTGGCAGGGAGGAAGCCCACCATCTCCATGGCCTGCTTCAGCCGTGCGAAGTCATGTTTCAGGTCTTCCCCATCCTCGATCTTCAAGTTATGCTGGAAAACATGGCCGGCCGTGGGCTGGTGGGGCAGGGTGCAGGATGCTGGGGCCAAGCCAGGTGAGGAGAGGGGAAGGGACTTCCTACTGTGCTCCATGGTGGCCGGGGCAGGCCAAGCCGGGCAACGCTCACCTGGTTGAGGTAGAAGTAGTCCTCGGGCTGCCGGAGCTGGAACTCCTGGCGCTCCTCCTCGCTGACCCCAAGGAGCAGGTAGTAGAACACGTGGTAGTTCCTGGAAGGTGGGGGGACACTAGGGCTGAGGACACCAGGCAGGGTAGCCGCAGAGCACCATGGACCCTCATGTCATCTGGCCCCTTGAAACCTGCAGTCCTGCCTCAGCCTCCTGAGCGGCAGTGACAGGTGTAGCCACCACCCCCAACTGACCAGTGAGGTCCTTGAGTGACCTTGTTTGGGCAGAGTCGGGACCACTGCAGCACTAGAGATGCTGTGAGGCCAGGTTGAGGAAGCTGCCCAGTGGCCCCACCCACACCCCGCCCCTAGGGGCCCTGTACCGCTCATCCTTCTCCTGCGACACCAGGCGCGACTTCTCCAGCAGGTATTTCTCCACCACAGCTCTGTCACCAACAGAGGAGGAGCACAGTGTTAGGTGACTCACTGCTTTCAGTTGTGTTTTTGTTTGCACTATGGGCAGAGGCAGGGCTTTGGGGCTGCATCCCCATCAGGAACGTTCTGCCCTTGACTGGTTTTGTTGTTGTTTTTGCAACAGGGTCTCATTTTGTAATCAAGGCTGGCCCCAAATTCATGATCCTCCTGCTTCAGTTTCTCACATGAGGACTGCGGTGTCACCAGGGTGCATGGGGGCGTGGTCTACTATGAGTGAACTTCTATGGCATACAGTGGTCACCTTAAATACCACCCTGCCTGCCACCAGAGCGACATTGACAGGCGCTGGGTGGTCATTCCCCTGAGCGATGGTGACTGGCCTGATGACTCCCTCAGGGACAGGTTGCTCAGCCGCTCATCTGTAGGGCCCGTTTCCTCAGGCTGGGGCAGGGAGCCAGAACACACTCACTCCCGCCCACCGTGTGAGCCCAAGGAAGCCAGGCCTGTGGTCAGGTCAGCAAACATGTCACAACCCCAAGACTCTCCCCTGGCCCCAAGCAGTTGATCGTGTCCTCCTGTCTTTGGGGATGAATTTCCATTTCCAGAATCTCAAGCAGAGGGAACAGCAGGGAGTCTGTGCTGAGACTCTGAGAACAGACTGTGCCACAGGGTACACCAAGCTGCCTTCCCTTTTCAACAACCGAGTAATAGTCCGTGGTGGGCTGTACCACACTGTGCTCACCCACCTGATGCCGAGTGCACACCTGCGTCACCCCAAAGTGGAGCTATCCTCACGCTTTCGGCCGGGGACACCTGTTGCTGTTTCCCCCATGACTCTCCCATGGCAGGCGCTAGACTGGGGTGTGGAGTCACATGTGTGAACCCCCTGAGGACGTTCCCTGTGCTGTAGGGGTATGACAGGCCAACACCCATGGGGGCACTGAGCTGTCACTGGACATATTCGGTCCTTCCCTTTTCCCTTCCTGATCATTTTCAAATCCTGGCCCCTGACGAGTGGTCTTCTAAACCCAGTGGGGTGGCACACATCTGTCGTCTCAGAACTCAAGGAGGTTGAGGCAAGAGGGGTGTTGAAGCTCAGCAACCCAATAATAAAAGATAAAAAGGGCCAGGGATGAGCCCATTGCAAAGGCCCTGGGACCCAGGAAAACGGTGGGGGCCTGATGGGCCCTGAGCCCATGTGTGAAGACACAAGAAGCTGACCCTTCACACACTGGGGAAGTGAAGGCAGCATGGCCAGCCCTGATCTGGGCCAAGTGAGGAGCAGCAGGACAAACATCACTTGCCCTGCATCAAGCAGAAGCAGAACTGGCAGGGCCTCTCCTCCAGGCAGGAAGTGCTTTGGACAAGGTGGGAGAGAGCATGGGAAGAACAGACAGGTGCAGCAGAGGCCAAACACCAAGGGTCAGAGCTGGGAGTGACAGGGCACCTCTGGTACCCCCCAGCACTGGTGGTGGGGTGGTCCCTACAGCAAGTGATGCCTTCCTGGCACTGAAGGGCTGTGTGGGCTGCATGGCCCTCAGTCCTAGAAGCCCCTGTTGATGGTTGGAGGGCACGTGGGTGACAGCAGGAGCTGCCGGGCACTGCTTTGTCAGAGAAAGGGGAAGTCAGGCATGGGGTCAAAACCTAGCTCCTTGATAGGCTGAGGCAGGAGGACCGTCCAGGCCAACAGGGAGACCTGGCTTTTGCTTTACAGCAGCAGTGAGCAGAGAAGAAGGAGGAAGACGTCCGTCACGCACACCCACTGCAGCCAATGGTTTCTGCCCACAGCACCAGGAAGGAACCACACTCCTCTCTCACACTGGGCAAGCCCTGCTTGAGCTGTGTCCAACCCAGCTGAGCTGCTTCAGCTGGCCTTAACCTGGGATACTCCTGCCTCAGCCTCCTGAGGGTACATTTTGGGTCTTAAGTATCCACAAAGGGCCAGGCAATAAAGGCCCATCGAGGCTCTGGCAGCCCATGAGGTGGTGGAGCTGGGTAGAGATCCTCAGTCCTTGGGGAGTTAAGGAGGGGACTGGACCCCACCCGTCCTCTTCCTGTTCCTCCCTGGCCGTGAGTCAGCACCTGAGCTGCCTGCAGCATCCTGGGGCTGCTGGGTCACAAGCTGGACCTCAACCAGGTGCACTCGGAGGCTGAGGTGGGAGGGTCACCGTGAGTTCGAGGCTGACCTGGCCTCTACAGTGAGACCCCGTCTCAGATAGGCAGTCAGAAGCGCCTGAGGCCGAGCACACTCACCCACGTACAATGCCGCTCTCCAGGTAGTTGACTTGGATGAACTTGCCGAAGCGGCTGGAGTTGTTATTGTGGGCTGTCTTGGCGTTGCCAAAGGCCTGCGGGGACAGAGGCAGGAGGCAGTCAGACCCCAGCCCCGGTCTCCTTCCTGCTGCAGCCCAGCTGCAGGTCAGGGTCCAAGGCTCTGCAGCCTAGAGCAGGGGTTGAAGGGCCTGGGCCAAGGCATTGAGACCCATCCTCACACCGATGCACCAAGGGGACACCCACATACCAACCCATACCCCATGGGGTACTCTCCACAGGGCAGCATCCCTCTGAGTTCATGGGGTTAGCGTAGCAGAGCCTTGGGACATCAAAGGCCTGGACACCTTCTAGCACGGAACTTGAGGGTGCCAGGTCACCCCAGGAGTCTGCAGCTGCAGGGGAGACTCAACCATTGCCGTAGGGACAAGGGGTCATCGTTCACCTGAGGCAGCACACGGGGACTAATCTACCCGCTGCTTTGGCTGCCCCCTTTCTTCATCCTGTCTTGGACTTGCTAGGTGGCCCAGGCTAACCTTGACCTCTCAGGATTCTCCTGCCTCAGCCTCCCTAAGCTGGTGACGGCTGTGCCACCTTGCTGGGCTAAGACTCCCCACATTACAGTGCATGGTTCAGTGCGTTTGGGAAATTCCCAATGTCACTAACTGCCGCTCCCACTTAGGCTACAGTGGTTTCAGCCTAAACAGAGACCCTGTCCCTGTGAGCCTGCCCCTTGCTCTGGCAACCCTGAATCTGTTTCCTGTTCCTATGGATCACCTGCTCAGGGCTTGTCCTGTTAGTGACAGCACACGTCAGGTGGCCATCAGGGCTGGGTGTCTCTCACTCAGCACCAGCTTCCACCATGAGAAAAAACCTTTTTCCTTTTCCTGGCTGGGTAACATTCCACACAGAAAAAGACTGTGCCCCCATGTACCTGCTGAGGGGCATCTGGATGGTGCTGGCCTCTAGCTGCTGTGTGTAGTGATACCATGCAGTGTTTTTTTTTCTTTTTGGTACCAGGGACTGAACTCATGACCTCAAACTTGCCAGGCAGGCACTTGTGCTGCTGAGCTACATCCCCAGCCCTTCTGGGCAGGTTTTGTATGGATACATTTTCACCTCTCTGAGTGATGGGCAGGGTCACTCGGTGCATTCAAGTCTGACATTTTTGAGGAGCTGCCAGGCTGGTTACTAAGCGTGGCCCCAACATCAAATACCCTCATCAGCACTGCCTGGGGCCCATTTCCCTGCTGACCCCCCACTTCATCTTTCCCTGCTCAGCTCTGCTTTGACTTTTCTGTTTTGTTTCTGAATTGGACTCTCACTGCACTGTCCCAAACTCCCAGCTCAAGCCACCATCTTCCTGTCTCAGCTTTTGGAGCAGCCGGACGGCAGTGTTACCAACCAGACTCAGGCACAGTGTGGGGTCTCCTGGGCCGCATGTCACAGGGCTTGTGTGCAGGGGCACCCCGCCCCCGCCCACCTACCTCACTGGGCACCCGCAAACAGCCAGCAAAGACCATGAGGCACCTGAACCCCAGGGTTTAGACAAGGACATCAGCCCATTCCAGGGGACAGGGCTTTCTGTGGGAGATGCTGAGGTTCTGAGGGAAGCTTGCTTTTAAAGTGGTAGTGGTGCTGAGATGGACTGTGGCCCTAGTCATCTCCATGTCCAGATTTTGAGACAGAGGGGAACCAAGCTTGAGAGGGCAGGCCTATCATCCTAGCACTTGGGAGGCTGAAGCAGGACTGATGCAAGTTTGAGGGCAGCCTGGGCTACACAGTGAGTTCAAGGCCCGCCTGGATAACCTAGTGAGACCATCTCAAAAAATAAATAGTTGAAGAAGAAAGACAGACAGACACAGACAGTAAAAAAGAAATCATAATAGTAGTAAAGCAGCAGGGAGGGAGGGCACAGGTAGAGGTTTTGAGTCAGACTCTCAGTGGCTTCATGAATCCCAGTCTGGCCAGGCTTGCAGTGGGTGCTGTGTGGCCCAAGGTGCATGGAACCCTGCACATGCAGAGGCAGAAGTAGGAGTGTCCCAGGGGCCTCTGGTCTCCCCAGCTCAGTCCCTAGCTGAGGCCAGGCTTGAGAAGGCTCAGTCTGGGGGCGGAGCCCTGGGCAGGACAGGAAGCGGGAGTGAGGGGGTTGGGGGGGGGGTGCGGGTGGGTCCCTAGGAGGAGGCACAAGACATGCCTGGCATCCCCACCACAGGCAGCTGGCCAGGCAGGCGCCTGGGGTCTCTGCTGGGGTGCCTGAAGCTGGGGAGGGACAGCTGCAAGGGTCCCTCCCCAGCAGGAGCTGTCTCCCGGCTGCCCACTCCCCCCCCAGGCTGCTCCGTGACCTCATACATCTGGTATGCACTCTAGGCTGCTCTGCACAGCCTAAAAATACCCAGCGCCCCAGGGCGGGGATGGGGCAGGAATAGCTGTCCACCCGGTGCCAACGTTCACATGGCCCAGAAGACAGAGGGAACTGGGCTGGGCGTCGTGCAAGCAGGGTCCCTGACGGGGGACCAGTAGGCGGTGCGTGGGGACCACTGTCACCAGTAGGAAGGTAGGCTGGAAAAGCCTCCAGGCAAGCCTCTCTGCTCTCCAGGGAACAGTGGCCTCGGCCACACCATGAGGCACACTGGTGGTGGGATAAAACCTTGTGCCCAGTTAGAGGGCAGGTGCCTGCTGTTCCAGCTACAAACCCCCCTTACCCCCCATTAAAATATTATCCTTACAAGTTACTTGCCTGCTAAATGCATGCTAACCCTTGCCAAACCCCAAAACAAGAGATAACTAACATCCAAATAGTATAATAACCTTATTATACTGTCATAACACAAACCCATTCGTATTCATAGGATGGAGGCTAAGGAATTGCCCATTCTATGAACTATACTATATAATAATACACTCGCACCCAAGTTAATGTAGCTTATACATAAAGCAAAGCACTGAAAATGCCTAGATGAGTCCTTGACTCCATAAACAATAGGTTTGGTCCTGGCCTTTTTACTAGTTGTTTGCAGGGTTATACATACAAAAATCCCTATGCCCTCTGTGAGAATGCCCTCTGTGCTACATCCAGGTTAAAAGGAGCAGGTATCAAGCACACTACAAAGTAGCTCACAACGCCTTGCTTTGCCACACCCCACAGGAAACAGCAGTAATAAAAATTAAGCAATAAACGAAAGTTTGACTAAGTCACGCAACTATTAGGGTTGATAAATTTCGTGCCAGCCACTGTGGTCATACGATTAACCCAAATTAATAAAATCTGGCGTAAAAATTTTTAGAAATATAAAAAATAAGACTAAGCTTTATCCAAGTCATAGAAAACTCCAGATAAAGTATAAACCAAAAACGAAAGTAATCTTAGTAAGTCTGAACACACGAAAGCTAAGGCCCAAACTGGGAGTAGATACCCTACTATGCTTAACCGTAAACATAAAAACTTGCATAACAGGGGCTGGGGATTTGGTTCAGCGGCATAAGCGCCTGCCTTGCAAGCGTGTGGTCATGACTTCGATCCCTGGTACCGGTAAAAACACAAAAAAATTTAAAAAAAAAAAACTTGCATAACAAAAGTTTTCGCCTGAGAACTATTAGCAATAGCTTAAAACTCAAAGGACTTGGTGGTGCTTTATAACCACCTAGAGGAGCCTGTTCTATAATCGATAAACCCCGATACACCTCACCACCCCTTGCTAATTCAGCCTATATACCATACCACCATCTTCAGCAAACCCAATTATGGAAACAAAGTAAGCACAAGTATATTACATAAAAATGTAGGTCAAGGTGTAGCCAATGGAGAGGGAAGAAATGGGTTACATTTTCTTACTGAAGAACAGCAGTCGCAAGTCTTTATGAAATTTAAGCACCTAAGGAGGATTTAGTAGTAAACCAATAATAGAGAGCTTGGTTGAACTAGGCCATGAAGCACGTACACACACCTGTCACCCTCCTCAAGTACCCAAAAATTTTCAATACAAAACTAATATATATAAGAGGAGACAAGTTGTAAGAAGGTAAGCATACTGCAAAGTGTGCTTGGAAACAAAGTGTAGCTTAAATCAAAGCATCCAGCTTACACCCGGAAGATTTCAACTACCAATGACCACTTTGAACCTACCCTAGCCCTAAAACCTATAACTACAACTACCCTTATGAATATAAAACAAAACATTTTTCTTAAAAAGTATAGGAGATAGAACTTTTTTTTGGTGCTATAGAGGCAGTACCGCAAGGGAAAGATGAAAGATAAGAATTAATAGTAAAAAAAAGCATAGATTATCCCTACTACCTTTTGTATAATGAATTAACTAGAACCAATTTGGCAAAGTGAACTGAAGCCAACTACCACGAAACTAAACGAGCTACTTCCAAACAGCTAACACAGCAAACTCGTCTATGTGGCAAAATAGTGAGATTTGGAAGTAGAGGTGAGAAGCCAACCGAGCTTGGTGACAGCTCGCTATCCAAGTAAGAATCTTAGTTCAGCTTTAAGTTTTCCCAAATTACCAAATTCAATGAAAACTTAAAACTTACTTTAAAGAGGGACAGCTCTTTAAAATAAGGAAACAACCTTCAACAGCGGGTAAAAAGTAGGACCTTCATAGCTGGCCTAAAAGCAGCCATCAATTAAGAAAGCGTTCAAGCTCAACAAATCACATAACTCTTAATACCAATAAAACTTAATGAACCCCTGACAGGTGGATTAATCTATAAGCACATAGAAGAAATAATGTTAATATTAGTAACAAGAAGTTGTTACTGCCTCAGAACAAAGTAAGAAAAGGCTGCTAGGTGGGTATGGGGGTGCACATCTATCACCCCAGTGCTCCAGGAGGCCGAGCCTGGACAACTCAGTGATTTAGTAAGAGCCTGACTCGCTCTAAGAGAAGAGATGGGGATGCAGTTCTGTGTGAAGGGGCCACAAAGCAGGCAGAGGACCGCCCCGGGGACAGCCCAGGGATGCCAACTCTACAGCATCACCCATGCCTGGGTCTACCCAAAGGCAACCAAGTCTGTGTGTAAGAGGGACAACAGTAACACCCCATATTTGCCACAGCACTATGGGCCA